CTGCCGCTACGGCCTATTCGAATACAATGTCATGCCCTTTGGACTCAGCAATGCTCCTGGCGTCTTCCAGTACCTGATGAACGACATCTTCTGCTACATTCTCGATGTGTTTGTTGTCGTCTACCTCGATGATATCCTGATATTCTCCAATAACCCCGAAGATCACCCCAAACATGTCCGCGAAGTCTTGTCCCGCCTCCGACAGCATGGGTTGTACGCCAAACCAGAGAAGTGCGAATTCAACCGCGAATCCGTTGAGTTCCTAGGCTTCATCATCTCCAAGAAAGGCATCCAGATGGACCCCAAGAAGATCGCTGCCATCACGGATTGGGAACCTCCCAAGAATGTCAAAGGCGTCCAGCGGTTCCTCGGCTTTGCCAACTTCTATTGCCGATTCATCCAAGGTTATTCCAAGATCGCTACCCCGCTCACAGCCCTGACCCGGAAAGACATCCCGTACGCCTGGACACCCGCCGCAAACACCGCCTTCGAGAACCTGAAGAAAGCATTCACCACCGCCCCCATCCTTGCTCACCCTGACCCAGAGAAGCCCTTCGTCGTCGAAACTGACGCCTCCGACTTCGCTCTTGGCGCAGTTCTCCTCCAACCTGACCAGGACAATCAGCTCCACCCCGTGGCCTTCCACTCTCGCAAATTCACGGCCGAAGAGATCAACTACGAGATCTACGACAAGGAACTTCTGGCCATCCAAGACTCCTTTGCCCAGTGGCGACACCATCTCATTGGCGCCCGTCACAAGATCACCGTTTACTCCGACCATAAAAACCTTCAGTACTTCATGACCACCCGCACCCTGAACCGCCGCCAAGCCCGCTGGTCGATATTCTTCTCGGATTTTGACTTTGTCATTACCTATCGCCCCGGTTCCCAGCAGCACCAAGCCGATGCCCTCTCCCAACGCTCCGAACATGAGCTAAAAAAGGGGGAAGAGGCGTTCCGCTCCCAGGCAACCACAATTTTGACTCCCGAACGCCTTCGACTCGCCGCGGCCTACCTCACACCCATGGATACCATGCTGCTTGACAAGATTAAGGCCGCCCAGGCCTCTGATCCCCTCGCTAAGACCATTCGGCAAAAGCTCAAGATACCCCTCGCCCAACGAACCGAGGAAACCCAAGATCGTATCAAGCGGTTCTCAGATGAAGATGGGATCCTGCTGCACGATAACCCTGGTCTATGTCCCCACCAACGAGCTCCGAGCTGAAGTCTGCCACGACATGCACGATACACTCCTAGCCGGCCACTTTGGGATGTCCAAGACGCTCGAACTCGCCTCCCGCAACTACTGGTGGCACAGCCAGTGGCGCTTCGTCAAGGCCTACCACAAGTCCTGCGATACCTGTCCTGTAGCCAAGCGAAACTCCAGTCGACACAAACCATATGGCCTACTCCAGCCTAACAGTATCCCTACCCGCCCTTGGGGATCTTGGTCCCTGGACTTTATCACCGGTCTGCCTCCCGTGGACGGGTACGACTCCATTCCTGAACGTCAACTGTCGCCTCACCAAGATGGCCCACTTCATCGCCTGCAGCGAGTCAGAATCCGCCGAATCCACCGCCGACCTAGTCTTCCACAACATCATCCGTCTCCACGGCCTCCCCGACGACGTCATCTCTGACCGAGGACCCGAGTTTAAGTCCCGGTTCTGGCGTCGACTTCTCGAACTCCTTCGGGCAAAAGCCAACCTCTCCTCGGCCTTCCACCCCCAGAGCGATGGCCAGACGGAACGCACCAACCAGATCCTGGAGCAGTATCTCCGATGCTTTTGCAACCACCAACAGGACAACTGGAAACAGCTTCTGTCGTCCACCGAGTTCGCCTACAACAACACCCACCAGTCCGCCTCCCAGACCATCCCCTTCTACGCCAACAAGGGTCTCCCCCCCCGCTTCAGCTTCGCGGCCTCTGCTACCTCCAAATCCGTCAACCCCGCTGCTGAAGCCCACGCTAAACAAATCAGTGAAGTCCATGAACAGCTCGCCCTCGAGCTCAAGGAAGCCCAAGATCAAATGAAGCGCTACGCCGACGCTAAACGAATTCCTGGACCGGACTTCAAGCCTGGCGACCACGTCTGGCTCCTCCGCAAAAACCTCCAGACAACCCGGCCCTCTCAGAAACTCGACCATCCCAAGATTGGGCCATTCCCCATCGTTGAAAAAATCAATCCCGTCGCCTACCGGCTCAAGCTCCCGCCTACGTACAAAATCCACGATGTCTTCCATGTCTCGCTCCTCGAACCCCGCTTCACCATCCCCGAACGACACGAACCCGAACCCGCGCCCCCAGAGACCGTTGAGGGTCAAGAAGAGTCGGTTGTCGAAGCCATCCTTGACTCTCGCATCCATTGTCGTCGCCTTCAGTACTTGGTCAAATGGCAGGGCTGGCCTGACTCCGAGAACACCTGGGAGCCCGTGGAACACCTCACCTATACCGACGCACTCCTCCAGGACTTCCACAGCGCGTACCCCAACAAGCCTTCCTCTGTCCCCGTAGCTCCTCCTCTGCGGCCACACCAAACTGGACGCCGCCGCCGCCGCCGCTAAAGAGAGGGGTGATGTTATGGACGGCGCGCCCATACCATAAGCTTACCTACTGACAGCCGCCAATGTCAACCGCCAAATGTCAAACGCCAATGTCAATGTCAATGTCAGTGTCAATGTCAGTGTCAATGACAATGTCAATGCCACTCCTCCTCTCTCCTCTCATTTCGCCAATCCTCTTGCAATATCGCCACTCCTCCTCTCTCCTCTCATTTTGCCAATCCCCCCTCGGCTTCTCCACACCCCCCACTACTTCCCCATAGCCAGCAGCTGTAGCAATGCTCTCTACGCTCGCCACGCACGCTCTAGGAGCATAGCTGGCGCCCCCCCAGTCCCCTCTTGTTGTTGTTGTTCTCTGATCTGCTGGGTTGCCTATCTATAAATAGCCGGCCTCTCTTCGTTCATTCCCTTCCTCCCCAGCAGATCAACACCAGTTCTTCTCATCTCCTGTTCTAGTCCTTGTTTCTTGTTTCGCCAATACAATCTCTTGTCGCCTATCACACTCGCCCTGTCTTCTCTACTTCGCTTCCGCCCCGTCGTCGAGATCATAACATTGAAGTCCGTTGGTGAGGATTAACCTCACGTTGATCGGAATGACCAAGGTAAATACACCTAAGTGGGAATTCACTGCATTGAGTGAGACTCACTCACTCACTCACCAATTGATCATACGGTAGATGATGGCCGCCCATACATCATCTGGCGCAAACGGAAAAAAGAGCAGCAAACCAAACCGCACCCCTTCGGAAAGCATCTCACCTATAATGACTCCCTCAAGCAGTACACTGGAGAAGTTGATCATGACAATCGATACACCCACCTTGATCAGAAGATCGTAGTTGTTACTGACAAGGAAACGAACAAGATTGTATTCGCGGCAAAATTTCACCCATTTGGCACCATGTCAGCGGCTGACAGGAAGCGATTCGAAGAGATCGCCCTCCACCTGCATCAACAGCGCAAGCTGTCTCATCATGTAAAGGTGAATAGTGCCCAGACGGCTGGCACTATGATTGCCGTTGGCTGGCGTGGTGGCACAGACAGGGGAAGGACCACGGAGATCTATCAGCCGCTGATGAAGAAGGCCACGGTCAGCAAGGAGAAATGGCCCGCCTTACAAGCTGAGTTACCTAAAATTGAAGCACACTATCAGCACTTCCTCAATGAGTTTTCACCTTACTTGCTGTCTCAGATCAAAGAGCATGCAAAGGAACTACGCGTACCTACTTTCTCACAATCAGAGTTCGCCAACCTTGTACCCAATGACTTGTTCGCCAGCAACATCACCGCCACATCCCATGACTTTGCCAACAAATTTCACCGTGACAATGATAGGTCAAACCTCACTTATGGGTTGCTCCCTCTATGGGAGACGACGGGCCATCTGAAAACCAAGGCGGATGGGTTTGCCTGTGCCGGTGGAGTCTTTGCAAATGCAGACTACCGAGTACATGTTGACTTTGAGCCATGCGACGGCGTAGTAGAGATCATTTGGCGGGGACCCGAGGATGCGCATGCAACCACATCATCTGTTAGAGGACCTGACTCAACTCGTCTTGGTTCATCTGTACAGATCAATGAGCAGCTTGTTGGGCGTATCAATAAGCTGTTTTGACTACATGAGGAAGGTGTGGACGTTGCAGGTCACATACGCGGGCGATCAGAGACTTTTGAACGTTTTCAATAGACTTTGTGTATTTTGTCTAGTGAAAAGTTGGTGATTGTGATTGTGATTGTCTCCCGTTGCAGAGACTTCCGTCTGAAGGAAAAAGAACAGACGACAATGATCAGTACGTAGAATCCCAACAACATTGTTTCAAAACAAGCAGTGTCACAGATACTCTCATTTCCCACACTCTTGCATAGCGCATCAGAGTCTTGCCCGTGCCAAAGGTCTTGTATCATACTCGACCCGGGAATTGGAAGTGAGGGGAAGGGAAGTGACGAGGGTGACCGGGTAGAAAAACTTGCACTCTGCGTACCCCCTTATACCCATACCTTATACTGTATCGCACGTATCTTAACCGCATTTCTTTCCTCGCATTTATTTGTTGTCCCCATTTCAGCTCTGCCAGGCAGTTGTGGAGGCAAAATTACTTGCACATGGCTGTGTCCCCCCGCTTGTTTTTCAACCCTGGTCTCTTTTTGGAAAATATGATTTTTTTGCCATGTTTGGTTACGAGCAGTTGTTTTTGGGGGTTGAGGAGAGATGCATGATGGATGTGGCACGTAGACGGTGCTCCTCTGGACGGTGCTCCTCTGGACGGTGTCCTCTGCGCATGCGCATGGGACATTTGTATGGCGCACCGACGGCTTCATCCCGACGGTCATCACCAAGTCACTGCTTCCAGATCCCAATCACGCTCGTCCTCCTGTTGTACGTTGGTCGGAGTTCTTGCGTCGACCGAATGCGTGTGTCAAAATACGCGTCAAAAGGGCGCTTGTCCACCCACCCACCCTACGTACATAAAGTGCAGGCACCCCTTCTCCACCTCCCTCAACCCTGTTCTCACAGCACGACTATCAACCAACGAACGAGTCAACCGCAGCACATTTACCCAAACAGCACAACACAGAGAAATGACAATCCAACCCGTCACCCCGATCCCTCGCACATCCACCACCGCCCTCCTCTCCGCCTTCATCAAATCCGCGTGCTGGGACGAACGGACCTCCATGTCTTTCGCCAACCCCTCCGCCACCATCATCACAACCCCATCCTTCACTTACCACTACCAGAAAGGCGCCAAATTCACCCACATCTTCATATACGACCACATTGGCGCTGAGGAGGACATGCAGGGTGATTTGGCTGGTATTTTGGAGGGATTAGGCAAAGGCGTGAAGGTATGGGTGGATGGGGGCGTGGCATCGCCGCATGCCACGCCCTCCATACTCGAGCAAGCCGGGTTCACAAAACGCGAGTTCACGCATACGGATGTGGCGAGACTGTTGGAGATGGTGGATACGCACGGCACCACCATCGCGCCCACATCCATTCCCCCGCCAGAGGGGGTGACGATCCACGAGATCACATCGTCAACCGATCCACGATTCGCCGCCCGATGCGACATTGAGAGCGATGTTTTTGTGTACATCCCCACGCATGCCTCCCATCTGCCGGCTGCGCTGGCGGAGATGACCGACCGGTATGGTGACTACCACCTTCTTGCAACTGCTGGGGAGGAGACGGTGGCGTACATGACGCTCCGAGTCCACCGCGGTGTGGCGTACCTGCAGGGTTCGGGCGTGGCAGAGGCGTGGAGGAAGAAGGGTATCACCAAGGCGTTGTTGGCGAGGACGGTCACGAAAGCTGTTGAGTTGGGGTTTGAGGTGATGTTGACTGCGGGTTGCGATGATGATGCGGTGGGGGCTTGGACTGCTATGGGGTTCAAGGAGGTGTACACTTATTCGACTTGGGAGATTCAGTTGTGAAGGGGATGTTGGACGGCTCTGTTCTATGATTGCGAACGAACTTTTGGTAGGTGGGGCACAGGGGTATGTAGAGAACTTGTACATATAGAGTAGCTGCATTCATTGCTATGGCGTTGAAAATATACTATGGCGTTGAAAATAGATCAATAGCCTTTCAAAACCGTTAAGGCCCAGAGCTCTGCCACCGGGATGCCATAACGTTCAAACCAACAGTGACTTCCCTGCTATCCGGATCCAGATGTGAGACTCCAATCTTGACAGCTCAACGAACTCCCGAAAGGTCGACTCCAAGATGTACCTCCTCAATGTTCATAAAAGGCTATACCTCCTCAATGGGACCTCCCAATGTCCTTCACCTCCCATAACTCCTCAATGGGGACCTTGTAAACCTGTGTGAAATGCAAATATATTGAATGCCTACATACTTACATACATGCGTGTGAAGGAGATCCCCTCACATCCTAAGCTAGAAATGCATACATACCCCCTGTGCCCGCCCCTCCCCTTCCCCTGCCCTGCCAAGCGCCCCGCCTGCCCCGCCGACGAGGCCCGACGCTCACGGACGCACGGGCTCGCCGGCGACGCGGCAAAGGGCGAGGACGGGCGAGGACGGGCGAGGACGGGCGAGGCCTCCGACCTCATCCGCCCAAAAAAAGACCAAAAAGAACTCCAATAATGAGGGCGAGCCCTCTCCCGACTGTGTGACATCCCCCGCAGCTCTCGTATCTCACTCCCCCCAAAGGATCTTCTCCCTCTTCGCCACAATTTTTCCGATAGCCCCCCTCAACTTCCTCCAGGGGTAGATCTTGATATCCTTCTCAATGTTGCGCGGGCGCGGGTTGGGGTAGGCCATTATCTGGGTGAAGAAGGAGGAGGTGGGTTTGCGGGAGATGGTGCAGGGGCGGAGGGATTCGAGATTGCGGCGTATCCGGTTTTTGGCTTCGGTTGTGTAGCTGGGGGGGGGGGGGGGGGGGGTCGGGGAATGAGGGACATTGAAGATGTGAAATTGCGGTAGTTGTTGGGAGATGAGGAAAGGGAAACGACAAGAGGGATGGGGATATTTGGGATAAACGATGGGGGATTGGGAGGTATTAAGCAAGGAAGAAAGGCATTAAGCAAGATGATTGGGTCAGCCCGCATGGTATTCTCCATTGTATTAATTCAAAATTCCCACCGCCCGCGATACCTACCGTTGCTGCAGAACAAACTCCAACATGGAGATAAAGCTAACACAAAAGACATCAGCGAAAACGTTTCTAATTTGTTAATCCCACCAAATTGTTTATCCCACGAGAAACACTCAGATAGTACACATACTCAACACTAGTAATATAACAACCGCCCTTCTCGCGCCAGTTGATGCTTGAAACGAGATGTGTAGATGATGGGTCGGCCGTCGGGAGGGAAGGGTTGTACGGAGTGACCCTGTAGGAGAGCGTGGTCGGGTTTGGAAACGTGCGGACGATTTGGACGATCCGTCGGCCTGCTTGGCGTTCTTGAGGTGTCCTGTTTGAATTTTGTTTGAAGGGGATGTGTTCAGTATAGCACGAAAAACATATATCGCATCGCCGAAGATTGCGCGGAATATTTGAGGCAGCGATGACATACCACACATTGGCATCACCCATCCTCTCAATCGCCTCATCAATCTCCCACGCATCCATCTCGCCCGCGCTGCTCTCCCGCGCCTCGCTCTCCTCGTCCATATCATTCTCCTCCCCCTCCTCCGTCTCCTTCTCAACGCCCACTTCTTCCTCATCATTCCACCTAACCCCATCCGCACACCTAAAATACGAATCCGACGACCACGACGACGCGGTGGACGCCACGGGGCTGATGGGCATCATTGTCGGGTGCTTGCAGCGGAAGTGGTCGGCGGGTGAGGGGGGAGTGAGGGAGGCGAGGAGGCCGGGAAAGGGTGGGGTTTGCGGGATTATGGGGATGCCGTCTGTGGGAGATGAGAGTGAGGGGGACGAGGTAGCATGGGGGATGTGGAAAGAGGGCTTACATGTGCAGTTGCTCAGGTCCGGTGTCATGAGGCGGTCTTCGTCGGTGCTAAGATCGGCGTCGGACCCAGGAAGAGAGGGTGAGAGCGAGCTTTGTGGGGTCGGGGGTAGGTCGATGTGGGGGTCATGGGTGCCGTTGGGATAGTATGTGATTTGTTTGCCTGGCAAGCATACCCGATTTGACATCAGCACAGATATGTATTGTTGAGAAGGGAAGAAAGCGCAGGCTCACCATGTTCAATCTTGACATCCACATACCCAAACAACCCAACATGCCCAGCCCACCTCCCCGCATCGCCCGCGTCAAGCACAAGCGCAACCGGCACATCGCTTTCCATATACCCCGTCCAGCTCAATTCCGGCACGCCCAACGACAGCATCACAGCGCCCGAATGTAACACCACCTGACTAACAGCATTCTCCAAATAAAAGCCGAACTGAACACTGTACACGGCGGATGTGAACGTCTGCGGCGCGTTGAACAGGAGCTCGAGCGTATCGCCGGCACGACCGTGCTCAGGGCCCCAGTTGGAGAGATAGATGTGAATGGGTGGGAGGTGCGTTGTGGCGGTGATTACGGTACCGTCGGGGGCGACGGGGAGGACTTCGAGCTTTTGAGGGGGGGTGGAGTAGGGGTGGTGGTGGTTGGCTGGAATATTTGGAGAGAAGAACAATAAAAACGTTAATGTCGATGTAGGTCGCCCTGAGGAATGGGGATCGAATAGAGGCAACGCACCATCATGCTGCATAAGCCTTCCAGACTGGGTCACAGTAGTCTCCTGCTCACGCTCGTCGCTCTCGAATTCTTCGTAAACTCCGTCGTCGTCGTCGTTGTTTTCGTCGTTTTCGTCGTTGTGGTTTTCTTCCTCCTCACCGTCAGCTTCAGACGAATGCACGTCAGACATAGCTCGCTCGGTCCAGTCCTGACTTCCCCACTCCGGCGCAAGGTGCAGGAACGCACCCCAGTCGTCGAAGAAGTCATCGTGGTAGAGGCGCTCACTCATTGTTGGAGGTGTGTGTGTCGTCGTTCAGGGAGCCCATCCCCTTTTTTTACTTGTGCTGGAGGAAGTTTTGGCGCAGGTGTGAGAGTGATTGATAGATGAAGAAGGAAGGAGGAAGGAGAGACCCCTGCTTCTCGAATTCGGAGAGACGCATGAAGGGACATGCGAAAGAGGGGCATTTGGCCTCTTTGACATTTTGGCTGGCATTAGGCATTGAGAACAGCGCAAGGGACTGCCGGGGCAAACATCCGAGCGTGACAGTTCAGTCGCTCTGATACCTGCCCAGAAAGTGCGATGGTTCAATTTTCGGCGGCCTTTGTGGGGGATGAAAGCAAGGGATTGCTCTAGCTCTTCCCAGAAGAAGGAGATACGGGAAAGCAAGGAGTCACTGGGGACGAAAAGGTTAAAAAGGTACGCCTTCCTTCGGAGCGATCCCCCCCTCTCACCTAACTGGGACTATGCGCAACCACCGGAGGATAGGGAGGTAAGGGATTGGTGCCATTGGAAGTCCTCCCCGAGTCCCAGTCACTCCACGAATTTATAATCTCTGGGAGACTGGGACTCGGCAGGGACTGCGTGGCACGGTGTGGGGCGGCACGCTGGTGTGAATGACGCTAGAATCTGTGGAGGTTGAGGACAGAAGGATAGGAAGGGTCGCTGAGCAGCTGATGCCTGATGGAACAGGCGTATTGAACTTAGCTTGCATGGCTCAAATGGTCCCCCTGACTGACAGCCGGGGTAGTATATCTCTGCTGGGAGCAAAGATGGAGCGTGAGTAGTGGGCTATACGTTTGACGTTTCCATGTTAGGCGTGGAAGGGACAGGCTTGCGGTCAGTGTGGAAAGGGACGGGCGTGATGGGCAGCAGATATGCCTGGCGTATAGATACGGCGGTCCCCGTGACTGACAGCTGGGAGTTTAGTATACCTATGTGACGCCTGGCACGAGGACGGGAAGTGGCTGACAGCGCTTTTTTGACGCTTTCACTTTGACAGGACCGCGCTGTTGTATTCGCTGGTCACTTCTTGTCCGAAACGCTTTCCATTTGTCCGAACTCTGAACGATCTGGAATCTGGACTTCCCCAATGGCATAGGAGAAGGTTGTACTTCTCGAAAGGCCCTTCCGAGGAGAGGCATTTTGCAACACTTGTATAGGAGAGCGGAGAATCCGGCAAGAAGTCCTATCAACAGACTCACCGGGAAAGTGTCCTTCGATTCTGGCTGAGCATCGACAATAAGGAGAATTCTAGCAATATTACCGCCGCAATGGACGACGACACAACGCAACGAGACTCCCACCTACTGTCTATATGTGCGGCCCTGGGGGGATATGAGGAGTCGGAGCGCTTTGTGGAGGGTGTCGGGCTCGTTGAAGGCCGGTACTATGTCATGGGCGACGAAACGCTGGGTACGAAGTCTTAGTCGGGGTACTTGGGACAAGCAGCGTTAAGGTCTCGTACTGAACCCCATTGTCATCGTCAGCCTGTTTGAGAGACTTGAAGAAGCTGCTTCGAAACGACCAGAGTTCGAAAGAAAAGACTGTGTTGCGAGCGCTGGGGAGGTGGAATATTCTGCAGACGGACTTGATACCTATCCTATTGGCGGCAAAGGCGACCGGGCAGGAGAAGATATCGCAGACTGTTGGTGCGTATGCACTGTAGGGGTTGAATTTTGGCAGACTGCCGAAGGCTGCAGGAGCAAGACGACTAAACGCGGTCTATGTGAAAAAGTCCAGCTATTTGTGCCTCTCACATGGCCGGTTGACCCGGAATCGATCGACGCTGCTGGTCAGCAGGAGATTCAAAGAGGGTACAAGGAAGCATTCCTTCAAGAGGGTGTGCTCCAAGCTATTATGGACCAACTGCTCAAGCCGTTTGCTAAGATATACCGGTACGACCGTTGATGCATCAGCCATCGTTCTCGCCATTTGGTGTGCTCCGGCCTCACTGCCAAAGTTTTTCTCGCAGGGAGAGGACGGATAGAGATCACACATTTGTCGCTCTGATCCTGACACTGTTCCGCAACCTCCTGGCCATCCGGGATGACCAGGCTGACATCACATCCACGGTGGAGAAGTATCGGAGATCAACCCTGCAGGTAATCACGTTGGCATTCCCGTCCTGGCCTTTATTCGAAGGAAGACTGGTTCCTGATGTAATGCCCAACAGGAAGACTTGATCATACACTTGGAAAAGGCAGACATCGTCGCTCTCCTCCTGTCTCTCGCGGGCTCAGTGGACGACCGGGAATACGTCGAGTACAACATGATCATAATGGAGATCTTCTACTACTTCTTCCTTGAGCGTGATCCGGAGCATCTGGTCTCGGCTGCAAAGGTCCGCCTTCCAAATTGCGTTCGCTGACAGCAAAAATGGGCTGCTGATAGGTCGGTTTTCGTAGAGTCGGTCGACGGAACTGGCTGCCTTGAGAGCCGAGGAACAACGGCTTAAGCAGCAGGCGCGGAAGGCAGCCACGAGGCATTCGAGATTCGGCGGAACGTTGTCTTTCAAGCTTACCGTAAGGACCACCATCGCGTCGAATGACCGGGGACTGCATGCATTGAAGTATGCATTTCATGTTTAGGACGGACAAACCTTCACAGTGCACAACCCAACAGCCGCCTACAACAGCGTCGAGGAAGCGCTGGACAAAAACAAGGGTGCGCAACGCGAGGTGCGCAATAAAGTGGGGCAGAACGAGATGAAGAAGGCACGGGCTGTTAGAAGCTCGGAAGCGGCCAGAATCTATTCCGAGACGGCGAGTGCTTTCTTGGCGAATTGCTTTAATTGTGAGTATTCTGCTGATGCCGCTATCGGTTGTGATCAAAGAGTCGGTATTTGACGGAATCGCGCTTCTAGGCATGGTGGAGTCCATCAGACGGGACTTTGCAGCCGAGCGCGACAAAGTACAGGAGCATCACTACGCGCGTTTCCTGTGGCTCTGCTCGTTCTTCCTGAAGTTCCAATTAGCATGCCTTCGTGTGGGTATCATCCGTGTGGCAACACACTCGTGAGCCTCCGATCGTCTCATCTCTCAACTTTTCTCGCAGGAATACCACCGAAAAGGCGAGGTAAACAGAGAAGCTGGACTTGCACCACCAGAGACGAGCGAGATGGATTTCGACACCGTCACCGAGTTCCTGGATCTTCGCGGTCTGGAGTTTGTGTGTGGCCGCATAAACCGTGCGAAGGACGAAAAGGTTTGTGAACATATCTTTGCCGTTGCACAAACTCACTTTTCCCATGTTCCTGACGCATACCACGCTTCTGAAGAGATGGCCAGAAGTCTATGTTGGGATCGACTGCCTGAAGCAAATCGTAAGGACCCGTCACTCTATGAGTATGTGAGCGACACCGTGACTCAACTTACCCTTTGATTTCATCGGCAGCTTCTATCCCTCGACGCCATGATGCTCTCCGCAGACGAGGAGCTGCGCGAAGCCTCTGAAACTATCCAGAAGAACATGTACTACGACCACTCGACTATCGAGTTGGCTTTCAGTCTTGTCACGAGTTTCAAGCGGAATCATCATTTGAGGTGCGAACTGACATCCTTGAAGAAATGCAAGCAGTGATGAAATACTCACGCAAGGCCTTCCCGATTTATAGCCATTTGAAGACTCTTGTTGAATTGGTACATGTCCTCCTCAAGATGCTCGAATACTATTCCCAGCAAAACGCCACGATGCTCAGGCGGAAGACGGTCAAAAAGAAGAAGAGACCAGGTCCGAGTGGTATGTCAACCTGTTTTTGTCGGTGCATATTTGTATTTTTGTAGGTCCAGTTGACGCTTATGATGTATGATAGGCCCGCAAGCCCGAGCCGAAGGCGACGAAAGTGAAGACGGCGAGCCGGATGTACAGAACGAGGCTGCCGAGGAGGCCATTCGCGAGTCGAAGGTTACGTTCAACCACATTGTCGCCGTGAGTCTCAAACCCATCCATGCTCAGTTCTTGTGGGAAGCAGATTGACTTTGTCGTCGTCCCCCCCAGCGTTTCGCGACGGATGGCACCGTATCGACATACTGCGTTCTGTTGAAGCATTACCGGGAGGTTGAAACACAGTACATATATTTCATAACTGTGATGTTCCATCGGTTGTTTTTTAAGGGCGGGGCTGGGGCGCCGCTGTTTTATAAGGTGAGAAAAAGCACTTACTCTTTCGCATTCATTCGTTCTGCCCCCGCGCTAACGAAGATGTTCGACATCGTAGCTGTCGGTCCTCCACCTCTTCAACAAGATCCTAGCCGACAAACGCGTGCTCCCGGTCTGCAAAGCGTTCTCGGAGCTGTATGCGTTCATAACGTACGCTACAGGCAAGTTCTTTAAGAAGGCGGAGGAGTATCCTATGTTGTTCCTTGAGGTATGGTTCGCGTTTTTGCCTGTTGCAGAATGGACATAAACATCTCGGACGGAGTGGATGAATTGGTATATGATGTTTTGTAGGTCTTGTACACCAAAACGAAAGGCGACTGCATGCGGATTGAGTTTGGGAACGAGGACCCGGTGCTGCCGTCCAAAGAGGACGAGGATACGGGGGTTGTTAAGGATATCGAGGTTAAGCCTGGGTATGATTTTCAACTCTGCTTGTTCAGCTCATTCCGTTTGCGTGGTTCTCATTGTGTGCGTTGTTTGGCTCACGTAGGTTGACATGGGGCGAGGAAGTGCAAGTCGCTGTGACCCTCCTGGTGGAGAAGGATGAGCGGGAGTTGGTAACGTGGATCACCGATGTGAGTCTTGCAATTTCGAATTCGCAGCTTTCATAGGGATAGCTGACATCTCTTGGTGCAGATCCTACTGGACGCGGCAACGCTGCGATCGCCGCGGCCGCCGACTGATGGGGTTGCTATGGATGAGGAGGTTGTTGTTAGCGAGGCTTATGGTATGTCGTTGCACGATACGTATTTCGCGAGTTGGCCGGTTCGGGTGAAGAGGGACGCTGATGGATGACTGGTTGATGGCACGTAGATATTAAGCATGAGACGGAAGAACAAGGCGTGGCACTTCAGCGGAACGTTGCCTTACGGTTATTGCTTCGCCTGTTGAGCTTTGAGGAGGTTACCGATGAAGGTAAGGAACGTTTCTTGCATCCCGAGTCCATACGACGTGCTCATCCACATCCCACGCCCCAGGCCCTTCCATATTCTACCGCATCCCCCCCATCATCACCTCCACATATCTCCTCGGCCACCGCGAAACCATCATCCGGTACCTCGAAACACCCAACGTTGAAGACGTCTCCGACATGGTCCGCAAGAAGCCGAAGAAGCGGAAACGGAAGGCGGCGGCGAGTGCGGGGACGAGGAAGGCTAAGGAGGTCAAGCAGTTCAAATCTAAACAGGTATGTTGGGTTGGTTTGCGTGAGTGTTCGGGGGGGTGAGCTTTTTGGTATTGAACTTTTCTGGGATGGCTAGTTTGTGTCGGATAGCGATGACGATGACGACGCGGAGTTCTACGCGCGGGAACGGGCGCTGAAGGAGAAATACGATGCGATTTATAAGATGATGATGGAAGGTGGGCCCGACGCTGCTGCCACTACCACTACTGCTGGTAGTAAGGGCAAGAGCATGAGTAAACCCACGACCGCACAAAACAGCGGGAGCGGGACGAGCACCCCGATCTCGGTGTCGGATGTCGAGTCGGTGAGCGGGAGCGGGAGTGGGAGTGAGTCTGAGGAAGATTCGAGGCCGCCGCCGTCGAACCGGATATCACCGGTTTTGGAGACTGGACGACCGAAACCTCGTGTGACAGCGAGTCCGATAGTCAAACGGGCTTTGACGGGGAGACGTCATGTTTTGGAGTCGGATGAGGATGACGATGAGGGGTTGGGGGGGAATGATAGTGGCAATGACAACCCCGGGGTGGGAAGCGGTGCGCCTACCATAGCAGCAGCCGCAGAACCGTCTACCGTCGCCACGCCGCAAGGACAGCGTGCGTTTGGAGGTGTGTTGGATAACACGCTACAGGCGTTGGATAATGCGCTATCAGGCCCCGTGACGACAGGAGGGGAGGTGGATTTCGAGGAGCTGCTGATGTCGCCTGCTACGAAGCGGAGACGGCGGGAGGAAAAGGGGTCGGGGGGTGTTGGTGGGAAGGGTGGGGTGGAGAATGGGTACGATGTGGGGATTGGAAGTGAGGGGAAGGGAAGTGATGAGGGTGACCGGGTAGAGAACTTGGGGGATGCGGAGGAAGAAAGGGCTGTGAAGGGCACTGTGAAGCGGAGACGGGTGTTCCAGGTATGTTGTTAGCGGCGTCTTGGGATTGGCTTGTTTTGATGCTGATCTAGGTCTGTGTCTGTGCAGGATTCGGATTCTGAGGCGGAGGAGACACAGGGGTGTTAATAGACACGGGTTCAAGCAATGACAGTCGGCGTGTATATTTTTGAGTACGGGCGTTAAGGAGCGCACTATCGCATCATTTTATGTTGATACACTTTGAAAATGGAACACACATAGACCCGCTAGTGATGTTCTTTGCAACAGCTGAGGCTGTACTCTGGAGCCCACTCCTTCGAGCTAACTATCCATAACCACCTCAGCCGCACTTACAACCCCCCTAACCGTCCTCAACCACTCGTTCCCCTCTCCCCACCACGCACCCCTAACACCGCCTTCCAAAAAGACCCTCGAAAACGCCACCGCCACATCCACCGTATTCGCATCCACCTCCTTCCCCCCTACACTAATCCCACTATACACCTTCGTCGACTCCCACAACGGCTTCCCCGGCCCTGGCAGATGCGACTCAACCAGCTCGGTCAGTGACGACAACGCCGGATTCACGACCAAGAAATCGGTGGTGAGCGCGAAATGCGTCGTTAGGCGGCTGATGAAGGTCATGAGCGCAAGGCGGAGGTCGAGGCCTGTTATGCGGATACATCCACTCGATGATGATGGAACACAGTGGTGAACGACTTCATCGAAGAGTTTCCTACAGCTCTGCGTATCGAGTACCAACGCCTCGAGCGCGTGTGAAGCGGATGTGATTTGGATGAGTTTTGTGGCGATGTGGTGAGGGAGGGATGTTGATGTCGCTTGTGGGAAGTTGGAATCACGGGGATGCGTTTCCTTGCGTATTTCGATCAATTGTGCACGAACAACGCTGGCGATCTTTGCGACGACGCGGGTGCGTGCGGGGATGTTTAGGTGGGTCCAGATATGTGCGCCACCGCGGTTGGTTTGTTCATGTGGTGATGATGCGGACCGGTGGGCTACGGAGGGTGCGAACGGTGGTGAAGATATGAGCAAGTTCTGCAGCAACTGGGCGGATGCGAGGGCTGCGAATGTAGGTGCGGGGTTTATGTGGAGCGGGGTGAGACGGGTTGCGGGGTGGGATTGCAGGTGGGTGTAGCGGGCGGTGGTGGTGGAAGACGTTAGGAGGATGGAGAGGGTGCGGAGGGTTGTGGTGAGGATGGAGGTTGCGGTGTGGGATGTGGATGTTGGGAGGGCTGAACAGCGGGCGCAGACGTCGAGAGTGATGTTGGTGAGGGATGTCGCGCAGAGGAGTTGGGTTGCCCATGCACTGCCGTGGCAGATACCATTCCTGCGTCAGAGAAGCAAACCTGTAATAGCTATGTGTAAAGAGTAATGCATACATACCAGACAGACGCCCTTTCCACGGCCGAAGCATGCACTTTCATTGCCGTGCCGTCGAACACACGCGCGATCATCTTGACTGCGTCGACGGCAAGATTCCCTGCACGATCGGAACGGAAGCCTAGTCCGACCGTTTCCTCCCCGCTGCTTTCGAAAGTCCGTATTTGCTTCAGACATACTGGGACGAGACTGATACAAAGTCCCGTACCCCACGTGCTGCATTGTTCTTTTGTGTTCTCCTGGTTGGTTTTGCTGATGAGGTCCCCAACGGCGCTCAAGATGTTCCTGGCTTCCTCCTCGTCCCTTGGACGTAGATACGGCAAATTCGCCAAGCCTGATACGTGTTCCACGACGCATATCGCTGGAGGAGTTTGACGCCTCACCCTCGCGCTAACTTCGTTAATTTGACATAGGACCTGCTCCGTCTGAGATAGTGATGCAAGAAGGCTTGGCAGGTCCGGGCGGTGTGACGAGGTGAGAGAGCGTAGTTCCTTCAAGAGGGTTTGTAGCTTCCTGCAGTAGGCGTCATCGTCCTTGGAGGTGGGAGAGAGGGAGGCGAGAAAAGCGGCGGTGAGGGAAGATATCCGGCCAGCGAAGGACAGGTCTTTGTCGTCGTCTTGGGACATCAAGTTATATGCTTCCCACCTCTCCAGGTGTTGTTGGCAGTGTTTCCTGCTGCCGGTTTGGTGAAAAAGGTGTTCCAAGGGGTGTCCGAAAGCGCGCGTTGTCCGAATCCAAGGTTGTCCGAACGCCCTCTCTCGTCGGGAGCGCCTTTTGGGGTCCCCACTCGTTATTATTGGGCTCGCACATGACCCTTGCGACGCTTTCACAGCTCGCAATACAGCCTTCAATACCAACGACGCCATGACGTACGGTAGCAGAGGCAGAGGGCGAGGAGGTGGCGGTGGAGGAGGTCGATGGCGCTCGAGAGGCAACGGTCATAGTGGGGGCGGCTACAACAAGCGGCCGTGGCAGAAACGGACAGGAAGAGACTTCAGCAATAACGGACAGCAGTTAGCAGAAACAGTGGCGAACGACCCGGAGGTTCAGGACGCCGAGACGAGAGCAACCGCTGTCATTGCGAATACCACTACCACAAACGAAGGCAGCGATATCCCCGTGGAAGAGTCATGGGGTACTCCAGGAGAATTCGAAGCTCGTATCGAGGAAATACGGGTCACGGACGAGTTGGACGAAAACATGGGCTTTTGGAGATACCGAGAAGGGCCAGAGAAGCTCGGCTGGCTAGTCAACATGCACCCTGTGCGTATTCTACTTGACGTCCTTTCGAAACGTTGCTGTTCAGTACTGAGCCTCTTTCTCCATCGTAGACAATGGTGCTCGACGGAGAATGGGGTTCTGGAAAATCTGCCGTCGATTTGTACTTCTTGGAGGAAGACGGCGAAACTTTCAAAGCAACAATCCTATATGAGCCATACTTCTATGTTGTGTGCAAGGTACTGCCTCTACTATAGATTGAATGTCACAGCCCCATCGTGACAACATTGCTTCCTAGGCTGGAACCGAGGCAGACGTGGAGGAGTACATACAACGCCGCTTTACAAATCTCGTGCTCTCGGTCGAGAGGAAAGAGAAGGAAGATCTGAAACTCGTGAGCATCTCCCTTGTGTTTGCACTCGGACAAACAAGAAGCATTGGTCTGAAATCCGAATGTTGAACAGGCAAATCACTTACTCGGGCACAAACGCACAATCCTGAAACTCCGCTTCTGGAACACCCAAAACCTCAATGTCGTGCGGAGAACATTCCTACAAGCGGTCGCAAGCAACAAACGGAAAGAGGAGACTTCTGGCACATACGATGTCGTCGCCGAGTGAGTGTGAAAACCCAGTCCTATCGTCGTGTGAGGATGACAGTTTCCTGATGTCATTGCAGATTAGGAGGCGAGTTCGGCCAAGCACAAGAATCAAGCGCTAACCTCTCCAATCGCGACGTCCTCGATTTCGTACTCGACGTGCGGGAACACGATCTGATGTACTACGTCCGTGCCGCTATCGACTGCGGTCCGTACTCATCTTCACACATCACTCTTGCTGGACGCGCCCTAACTCATCTCTTTGTGATTGCATTACAGACCTGAGAGTAGGACTATGGTACAACGTCCGAGCCCACCAAGGCTCCATAACCATCGAGCCGCGCCCCGATAAAGTCAAACGTGCCGACCCCGTAGTCCTCGCCTTCGACATCGAGACGACTAAATTGCCGTTGAAGTTCCCTGACGCGAATATTGACTCGATTATGATGATTTCGTATATGATTGATGGACAGGTGCGCCGGTGATTTACGAAAAGGGGGAATTGGGAACGCAAATTAAATCATGTGATGTTGCTTGCAGGGATACCTGATCACAAACCGCGAAATCGTCTCAGACGACATCGACGATTTTGAATATACACCGAAACCCGAATTCGACGGGCCGTTCACGATCTTCAACGAGCTGGATGAGGTTCGTACACCAAGCTTTCTCTGTGTGCACGACACCACCCAAGTTCTCACCACATTGATTGTTCCAGGAAGCCCTCATCCGCCGCTTCTTCGAACATGTCCGTGACGCCCGCCCAACCATCATCGTCACATATAACGGCGACTGGTTCGATTGGCCTTTTGTGGAGACCAGGGCGGCTGTGTATGGGCTTAACATGAAGAAGGTTCGGAAAGAGCATCCGGATATCCGCGTACGTGCGACACCTAGGTTGACGACATGGTTTTGCAGGAAATCGGATTCGGCAAAGATGACAGCGGCGAATACAAGAGCTCGTATGCGATTCATATGGATGCGCTGTGTTGGGTTAAGCGGGATAGTTACTTGCCGCAGGGGAGTCAAGGGTTAAAGGTACGTGGGGAATGTTGGCGGTGGTTGTCGATGAATGTTGCTGAACGGGACAATCATTCGTGAAGGCTGTTACAACCGCTAAGCTCGGCTATAACCCCATGGAGCTCGACCCTGAGGACATGACGCGGTAAGCACCTTCTCTCCTTCTTCCCTCCACCATTTTCATCGCATCTAACGCCAACAACCAATTTCAAAGATTTGCATCAGAACAACCCCAAGTCCTAGCCCAATACTCCGTATCCGACGCCGTCGCGACCTACTACCTGTACATGAAATACGTGCACCCCTTCATCTTCTCGCTGTGCAATATCATCCCGATGAACCCGGACGATGTGCTGAGGAGGGGGAGTGGGACGCTTTGTGAGGCGCTGTTGATGGTTCGTACATGGCAATACCTTCTCAATCATTGGAGGTTGCCGTTTACTCATATGACCTCCAAACAGGTGGAGGCGTTTAAGGTGAATGTATTAATGCCAAACAAGCACCAAGAGAAAGTAGGACAATTCTTTGAGGGACACCTTTTGGAGAGCGAGACGTATGTGGGTGGGCACGTGGAGGCGCTCGAGGCGGGCGTGTTTAGGAAGGATTTGCCGTGCAAGTTTCGGTTGGTGCCTGAGGCTTTTCAGCAGGTATGTGGGGATGTGAGGGGTTTTGTCATGAGGAGAGAGGGATTTGAGGATGGAGACTGATAAGTTGTTTTGGGGGTAGTTGATGGATGAGGTGGATGCTGCGTTGCAGTTTAGTGTGGTTGTGGAGGGGAAGCTTTCTATGGAGGATGTTGCGAATTATGATGAGGTATGTGCCATGAGATGCGTGTCGACACAGACTGAGTGCTGTTTATGCTAAATGTGCGATATAGGTCAAAGCCCAAATCCTCAGCGCCCTCGAAAACCTCCGGGACCTCCCGAACCGTCTCGAAAAGCCGTCCATCTACCACTTAGACGTCGCGGCCATGTACCCCAACATCATCCTCACCAACCGTCTCCAACCCGACGCCCTCGTCTCCGAAGAAATGTGCGCCGCCTGCGACTTCAACCAAGGCCCCGGCAGCACCTGCCAACGCCCCATGACCTGGTCCTGGCGCGGCGAGTACTTCCCCGCCAAACGCAGCGAATACAACATGATCCGCAACCAAATGGAGCAGGAAAAATTCCCGGGCCGATTCCCTACCGACCCGCTCCGACCCTTCCATGAGCTCCGACCCGGTGAACAGCATGCGGCGATCAAGAAACGGTTGAGTCTTTATTCAAGGAAGGTGTATAATAAGATCCATGAGACCAAGATTGTCGCGAAGGAGAGTGTGGTGTGTCAGCGGGAGAACCCGTTTTATGTGGATACCGTGAGAGCGTTTAGGGATCGCCGGTATGAGTATAAGGCGCTGTTGAAGACGTGGAAGGGGAAGATGGATGTGGCGGCTGCTGAGGGGAATTTGACGGGCGTGGATGAGGCGAAAAAGTTGATTGTGGTTTATGATTCGTTGCAGTTGGCTCATAAGTGAGTACTTTTGGTGTTGTGTTGCTTGGGAGAGATGAAAGGAAGACTTATCTGAATTTTTTTTCTGAATAGGTGTATCTTGAACTCGTTCTACGGATACGTGATGAGGAAAGGCGCCCGGTGGTACTCGATGGAGATGGCCGGCATCGTCTGTCTCACAGGCGCCAAGATCATCCAACTCGCCCGCGCACGCGTCGAACAGATCGGCCGCCCACTCGAGCTCGACACGGACGGGATCTGGTGCATCTTCCCGCAAACCTTTCCGGAGAACTTTGCCTTCAAACTGAAGAACGGCAAAGTGTTCCCGATCTCGTACCCCTGCGTCATGCTCAACCATCTCGTGCATGATCAGTTCACGAATCACCAGTACCAGGATTTGTCGGATCCGGTTAGGAAAACGTACGCGACTCACAGCGAGAACAGTATCTTCTTTGAAGTCGACGGGCCGTACCGCGCCATGATCTTGCCCTCCAGTACCGAGGAGGATAAGTTGCTGAAGAAGCGGTACGCGGTGTTCAACGACGACGGGACGCTCGCGGAACTGAAAGGGTTTGAGGTTAAGCGCCGTGGGGAGCTGAAGCTGATCAAGATCTTCCAGAGTCAGATCTTCAAAGTGTTTCTGGAGGGCACGACGTTGGATTCGTGTTACGAGGCCGTCGCGGCGGTGGCGAACCAGTGGTTGGACATTCTGTATTCGAAGGGCGCGCATCTGGACGACAACGAGCTGTTTGACCTGATTTCGGAAAATCGGAGCATGAGCAAGAGTCTGGAGGATTACGGCGCGCAGAAGAGTACGTCGATCAGTACCGCGAAACGATTAGCGGAGTTGTTGGGCGACGAGATGGTAAAAGACAAAGGCCTCAACTGCAAATTCATCATCTCGGCCAAACCGCACGATATCCCCGTCTCGGAACGCGCCGTCCCCGTCGTCATCTTCCAAACCGAAGCCTCGGTCCGCAAACACTTCCTCCGTAAATGGCTGAAAGACAACTCACTGACGACGTTTGATATCAGAGAGATTCTGGACTGGAATTACTATTTGGAGCGGTTTGGGAGCGTTATCCAGAAATTGATTACGATTCCGGCTGCCATGCAGGGCGTGGGCAATCCCGTGCCGAGGGTTAAGCATCCGGAGTGGTTGGCTAAACGGGTTGCCAGTAAGGACGATCGGACGAGGCAGTATCGGATTACGGATATGTTTCGGAGGGGGGTTGTTGGGGAGGGTGATGGGGATGCGGGGAAGGGGATGGAGTTGGATGTTGGGGAGGAGGACGATGAAGAAGATGCAGCGCAGGGGGAGAGAGGTGCGATTCAAGATATGGAGGATTTCGGTGGCGACAAACGACCCGTGCAAGCCGTTGCGATGGTCAACAAGTCGACCAGTGTACTGGGCAAGCGCAAGAAACGGGCGCAACAGCAACCCGTACGGTTTGAAGAAGACTACTCGACCCTCCCCGCGCGCGACCAGCCGCAGAACTGCCCGGACCCGAGCGAAGATTACGAAGCGTGGCTGGAGTTCCAGAAGCGGAAGTGGAAACGACGACGAGCGCATCGGGAGCGGCTAGCGTCTGGGTTTGGCGCGTGGAACGCGACGCAGCAGGATAAAGCGGGGCAGCCGTTGAATGTGCAGAGCTTCTTCAGGCGGCAGACGGGGAATATCCTCCGGTCGACCTGGCAGGTGCTGTCGATTGCTGAGACGGATATTCCGGGCGATTTCAAGGTCTGGGCGTTGGTTGAGGGGCAGTTGCATGCGATCAAACTTTCGGTGCCACGGACGATCTATGTCAACAGTCGGATACCGGACCCGGACGAAGACACCAACCGAGTCGGACTGCAGATGACGCGCCGAGTGCGTACCTTACCTCGCTCCCACCCGTGCCTGTTCCTGTACGAGATGACGATGTCGGAAGTCTTCTACCGCGAGAACGCGGGGATGTTTGCCTCGATGGCGAACCACCAGCAGATCGAGGGTATCTACGAAACACAGGTCCCGCTCGAGTTCCGCGCGCTGATCAAGCTCGGGTGTATGGCGAAAGTCGACGAGAAACGGATTGCCGGTGGACGTGGATTGGAGGATGGGTTTGCGTTGGGGGAAGTTGTGCACCACCAGGCGGATTTCGCGAGGACGTATTTGACCAGTGGCGACGCGTTGCAGTATGTGTACCTGTTCCATGCGGGGAGCGGACAGCGCGGCGTGTGGGGCGTCTTTGCCCCTGCGATGGGACGGGCGTGGGTGTTTGTCACCGACCCGGCGCAGAACAAGGACGCGATCCCAAATCTGAAGAGGGTGTATCGGGAGCGGTTGCAGGAGGTGCGGGAGCAGGCGACGCAGGAGGACGTGAGTGCATCGCAGACGGCGTCGCAGAGGAAAGGGGCGATGGAGCGCGATCTTGTCGAGTATGCGGACAGTGTGGAGTTTACGGTTGCGATACATGCGGACGAGGCGGCGACGATTGCGGGCGTGAATAGGACGTTGAGGGATTACCAGGCCCAACGACGCGGGCCGACGGTGCTGGCGCTGCAGTCGCATCGGGACACGAAGCATTTGAGGATGGATGGGTTGTCGTTGATTCAGGACTTCCCGGTGGTCTGTATCCCCACCTACCACAAGGATACGGCGTTCCCCGCGTTGGGGTGGCAGCAATACGCCTGCACGCGGATGCTGGGGCATTACCTGACTCTGAATGCATTTCTCAAAGAACGCATCGCCCTCGCGCGGTACGCCGACGTGCCCTTCTGCAACCTGCCCGACGACTACACGTCGTTCCTGGCTGATCTCGGCCTCGCGCGGCGGATGACGCGCGCGGACATGATCCTCTGGTACTCGGCGTCTGAGAAACCGGACCTGGGCGGACGCGAGCAGGACGACAACCGGTTCGAGCTAGACGAGCTGGTCAACCCGGAGATCAACGTGCCCGGATCGTACCAGACGGTGTGCGTGGACGTGCAGATCCTTGATTTCGCGCTGAACACGTTGATGCATTCGAGTATGCTGCACGACGTTGATGATGCGAGTGGCGCGATCGGGTCCAGTTTCCAGCAGGTCGGGCATCTGATGGATGAGTATGCCAAGCCGGGCGAGGATGGGACTGAGGAGGTTGCCGGGAATGTGGACGAGAGTCAGGTCACGCCTGCGACCTTCAGTGTGCTGAAATCGATGGTGATGGGATGGGCGGACGAGGTGCGCCGCCGCAATCGGTTCGCGTCGTACCTGCTCGAGCACCTGTACCGGTGGCTGACGACCTCCTCGTCGCGGATGTACGACCCGGCGTTGTTGGCGTTGGTGCATAACCTGATGCGCAAGGTGTTCGTGAAGCTGATTGCGGACCTGAAGAAACTCGGCGCCCGGATCGTGTTTGCGAGCTTTGACCGGATTGTGCTCGCCACCAACAAGACGGATATTCGGACCGCGGTCGGGTACGGCGTGTATGTCCTTGAGGCGCTGGGCAAGAAGACGATTTTCGAGACGCTCGAGTTGAAGCCGGAGCGGTACTGGACCTTTTTGCTGTGGATGGACTCGCATAACCATGGCGGGCTGCAGTGCAATAACGCGGACGAGTTGCTGGCGGCACGGAAAGCGGCTGTGAATCTGAGAATCGAGGATCGGATAGCAGTGAAGCCGGATATTGGAGCGGATATGGACTGGAATATCGGCGAGTACCTACCCCCCGCGGTGCAGCGCAAGTTTCTGAAGATCGTCGCGGAGTATATCTACGAGGTGCAGAGTTTCACGGAGCGGGCTATGCTCCACGGCGCCGGCGGCGGAGAGGTCCCCCATGCCGTGTGGGACCCGAGCAAGCCGTCGCCGTTGACGGAGATGTTGCGCGGGTTGATTCGCTCCAAATTGAAAGACCGGATCTTGAAGTTGTTGCCCGACATGGTTCGCAAGCGCGGCGGCGGCGGCGGCGACGCGAACGACGACGACGCGACCGCATACACGTTCCCAACGCTCCCCGGCTCACACCTCAAGATGGTCAACCCGGCCCTCGAGTTCGCGAAATGCATCTGCGCGGTGCTAGCCCTCAACGGCGACCTCGAACGCGAGGTCCGTGTTCTGAAAAGCAACCTGTTGAGTCTGGCGGGTTCGCAGGGCGAATTCAGCGACGAGGCGGACTTTGTGAACCCGTGTGAGCCGTTCCGCCTGCCGCAGGTCATCTGCGGGTTCTGTAACCATTGCCGGGATCTGGATCTGACGCGGGATCGGGATCTGTTGCCGCGGTATCTGAACGATGAGGGTGGTGAGAATATGGATCCCAACACGGGATCTGGGAGTCATACGACAACGACACCATGGACATGCCCCGCCTGCCAAACCCCCTACGACCCCCTCGCGATCGAACAACGATTGATTGAAGTCCTCCAACGACGTCTCGCGGCGTGGCAGCAGCAAGATGTGGCCTGCACGCGGTGTCGAATGGTCAAAGCGGAGGATCTGAGAGAGCATTGTGCGGCGTGTTCGGGGGATGTGAAGACGGTGTGGGCCAGAGAGGAGTTTGTGAGGCGGACGAGGGTGTTTGGGAATATTGCGCGGTTTTGGGGGATGGGCCTTTTGGGGGAGATTGTTGGGTGGGTATTGACTGTTATTTAGAGTTGGTGCGAGCGGAGATGAGGCCTGGCGAGGCGTGTGGGATGCATGTGGCTGTTTTAGATTGGCGGTAGTTTATTCTCAAAGGCGTACGAGGTGTATACTGTTCTGAAGACATGGAGCAATTTTGGGTTTTCTTTCACATTCACAGTGTTCATTGGTTTCTTTATGGGAATGCGCCGTGGGAAAGTGAGCGATGCGATACAAAACTCTCTTTTTGCATTTTTCATCATTTCAAAACCAACATTTCCTTTCACGCTTTGAAACAAAACTGTGTGTACATGGGTCTGGCATGGTCACCATCGTTAAACAATGGTACCATCCACCGTCAGGTAACTTTAACTATGGCGCAACATCAACCTCCATAGGCTGCGGCGCCACTTCCGTTTCCACTTCCGATTCCAACGGAGGCGGTGGCGGCGGGGGTATAGCGTCTATAACGCTCGCCTGTCCATTTTGTTGTTCGATTGGGGGGAGTGGGGAGGGTGATGAATGTGGTTGTGATTGTGGTACGTCGGTTGTTATGGGTGAGGTTGGGGAGGGTGCTGGTGGTAAGGCGGGTAGGGATAAGTTCGGATTTGATGGTTGGGAGGTTGGGGGTGGCGATGTTGGTGTTGTTGTCGTGGGGAGAAGTGGTGCGGGTGCGAGTGCGGGTATGCTCGGGCTGGGGTGGGCTGCGGTTAGGGTTTGTTGGAGGGCTGGTAAAAAGGGAGTGTAAGATGAAGCGGTGGGGGCTTGTGAGAGGATGTGGATGCTCGGTTGCTCACCTTGGTAATGCCGCACCAATTTATCTCGATTGCTTTCCGGTAGCACTCTGCGTAGGAATTTCAGGTCTCTAGGTTCTGATACGAAACGTTTCTAACGTGAGTAGCGCGCCGATGTTGGAAAACCTTCCTGGAACACAAAAACATACCAGGCCGCCACCCCCCCTCCTCATCCTCCTCCACAATATGCGGCGCCGGCAAACACTCATCCAACAGCCGTCGACAGCTCTGACACAGCGCCAGCGGCACGATACCCGTTTCGTTGGCGATGGGGACGACCATCGCTCGCAGTGGTGTTGCTGCTGTAGTCTTGCGGGATTTGTTGGGGTTGGGTTGATTGCATTTGGAGCAGGTGGAGAGGGAGGGGTAGGTTGTGGAGGGCGGGAGGGGGTCGCGGGCGCGCTTGGTGCCCAGGCGGGAGACTAAGGGGAGGGGGTAGGGTTAGGATAGACTCGGGAAGATGTATGCAAAGCAATAGTTGTTCGTGCCCCTACTTGTGGGATGTGCTTGTCCCTGTGAGGTTTTGGCCGTTTGTTTTGGTTTTGCGTGGGTGATTGCGGTTGCGGCAGCGATGCTGTTTGCGGGCAGCGAAGATTTGAGGGAGCCGTTGGTTTTCGTGGATGCGAGTGTTGCGTGGGCCTGTCAGGATGCAAACAGTGTAAGCCCTCGACTCCGATAGTGTACCGATCCCGCATGACCCAGAAGACTTTCTCTACTCGCCTTTTTAGGTCCAGCCTGCTTCTCAACGCCTTTCGTTACCCCCATCTTATTCATCGAGTCCTTCCTCACCAAGCCCGTATGGCTCGTCCTCCTACTCACAGCCCCCGACCCTCTCTTCTTCCCCGCGTCCCCACCACCATCCTCCTCATTCTCCCCACTCTTCTCCCTCTTCCCATCCGCGATTGCCGCCGCCGCCGCAGCAGCAGCCACCGCGTCGTCTGAGTGCAACCGAGGCACTTTCGAGCGGTCTTCAAACACGCAGCTCTGGAGCCAGGTGAAAGCAGGCGGGATTTTGCCGGATTCCCAGTAGAGCGTGGCGAGGATTACAGCTTTATCGGTGCAGAAGGCTTTGCCGTTCTTGCCGTCGACGTAGGAGGTGTAAGGGGGGCGGAATGGGCAGAAGGCTTTGAAATCGGATTCGCGGACTATGTTGCTTTTTTTGTGAGAGATTGGGTAAACGTCCTAAGTTGAGTGTTGCGAATAGATTTGGGTGGGCTCTTCCCAAATCGCCAGCTTTCCACCTCCTTCGGCTCCACTGTGACTGCACCCGACAAGAATCGGCGTGAGGCCTAAAGACTACGTGACACTTACAAGGAAGCATCTTCAAAGTACACAACGACACATTCGCCTTCCCTCGGATTCGTAACCTGTCCGTTCACACTCTTCTTGAACGTATGAAACTCATCCTTCGGCACAACCTACACCCAACCATCCCAAAAGCGTCAACAATTCAGATTTCGAATGCCACACATCCTACACAGCAGAGTGTTCTGAATGTACCATTGCAGGCCACCACCAAGGTGAAGTGTTATCCTCCGGGTCGACAAAGACGATCTGCCTCCGTGGCGGTTTTGCGCGAGGGTTCCGTGGCGGAATGGGACATGTCGGCGGAGGTGTGTCGGTGAGGACGTCGTCGGTCCGCATTTGTCAGATGGGGATAGTCTCTCCCTCTATGTTGTTCTTGAAGAGGACGGGGCTTCTCTCTCTCCGGGATGCTGGTCCAAAACTGCTATATAACTGTTGCAGCACGAACGTACTGTATATGTAGTACTACGTTTCCTGCCAAAACTCGTCGACACGAATGGATGCAACTTCCATTTCGAGTATGCACAGTCACAGTCACAGTCTCTCGTCTCTCCCGTCACCGTCGCTTCCCTTCCCAGCTTCCCACTCCCAGTCTGACTCCGCGCGGTCTGCCGCTTGAGTGCGTGCGCGTCTGCCAACGGGGTGCGCGGTGCGCTGAGAGGGCGCGTCGGAAAGCGTCAGAGCGCCGAGAGAGAGAGAGAGAAAAACAACGTGCGTATTGAATGTGTCCAGCTCACGTGACATTTCTCGCTTGCATACCTAGTCTTATATCGGCGGGGAAAAAGGGCTCAGAACGCAACCGCAACAGTGTCAACCAACACCCCTGCGTTGCTCCCAATCACCAACAGTCGCAATGGCCGCCGTCAACACCGCCTCGACGCTCATAATAAACCGCCTCGCTGCTCGCTGGGCCTCACGGGCTTCTTCCTCACTCATATCGTCCTCGCAATATCTCCCAACAACAACAACGACAGGCGCCCTGCACACTCTCATCCCACGTTTGTCCGCAACCACTGTCGGCCTCACAACCCCGCACCCTCCATCCCAAACAATACTCTCCCGTCCGTCCTCCACAGCGACAAATAATGCCCCACCACCACCACAGTCCCCCGACGGCGCCTCACAGCCTCACCCCTGCGTCATCATCGGCTCAGGTCCGGCGGGCCACACCGCCGCCATCTACCTCGCCCGCGCCAACCTCCGCCCCATCCTCTACGAAGGTTTCATGGCTGGCGGCGTCGCAGCCGGTGGCCAACTCACAACAACCACCGACGTCGAAAACTTCCCGGGTTTCCCCACCGGCATATCCGGCCCTGACCTAACCGACAAATTCCGCGCCCAGTCCGTCAGCGTCGGCACCGAAATCCGCACCGAAACCATCACGAAAGTCGACCTATCCTCCCGCCCGTTCAAACTATATCCAGAAGGCCGCGAAGATGAACCCCCGGTTCTCGCCCACTCCGTCGTTATCGCCACCGGCGCAACCGCGAAACGCATGCACATCCCCGGCGAAGACAAATACTGGCAGGCCGGCATCTCCGCCTGCGCCGTCTGCGATGGGGCCGTGCCCATTTTTCGCAAGAAACCCCTTGCGGTTGTCGGCGGCGGCGACTCGGCGGCCGAGGAAGCCACCTTTCTCACGAAATACGCGTCAAAAGTCTACGTCCTCGTCCGCCGAGACAAGTTACGCGCGTCGAAAACAATGGCTGACCGGTTACTCAAACACCCCAAAATTGAAGTCCTGTGGAACACCGTCCCCGTCGAAGCTACGGGTGACGGCAAGCTGCTCAAAGCGCTGATCGTGCAGGACACGAAAACGGGCGAGAACCGCTCACTCTCCGTCAATGGCCTCTTCTACGCCATCGGACACACGCCCAACACCTCCATGCTTAAAAGCGAGACAGGTGGTGAAAGTCCGGTGAAAATGGACGCGGATGGGTATATCGTGACGACGCCGGGAACGTCGCTGACGAGCGTCGAGGGCGTGTTTGCCGCGGGCGACGTGCAGGATAGGCGGTATAGGCAGGCTGTTACGGCTGCTGGATCCGGGTGTGCGGCGGCGCTGGATTGTGAGCGGTGGTTGGAGACGCAGGAGGTGCATTGATGGGAGTTGTGGGTTTCGTGATAGCATTTGGGGAGGGTATGAGATGGGTTTTTGGATAGCTGGAGAGAGAGGGAGACTAACGCCAGGTGCAGCATTAGAGTGAGGTGACCCTTGACCATACCGTAGACATAACATATTGCAGAAGGGGTCTAGACAGCCTAGCATGCATTCTTGATACATCCACCATTCGCTAGAGAACACAACCTTGTTGACAGCGTCGGCGACCCGTTGTGGGGATAGTCGTTCGTCTTCTTTTGCTCCGCTCCTTCATGTTCACTTCGCGTTCCAACTTTTTCTGGGAAAGTGCACCCCGCCGACATTGGCCTCAAAATGCCAAACACAACCACCGACGACGACACAGACGGCGGTCTACCCTCCACAACACTCCCTGCTCCACCACAGCCCCCGTCAATACCACCTAACGAACTCGATGTGCGCGTCGGCGACCCGCTAGAAGCGTCCCCATGGTCAACCATCGAGAGCGATCCAGGTGAGGATGACTTCTCGCATAAGACTTTGAAAGCTGAGATCCTTATCTATGTCTTGGGGAGAATTTAGCGGTGTTCACGGAACTAGCAGCCAAGATCGGCATCAAAGGCGTGCAGGTGGAGGAGATCTTTTCGATGGATGAGGGTTCTTTTGACGCGCTAGGGTACGATACCATCTTTCACTCGTGAACCGTTGGGTCAGGATTAACGATCGTGATGGTCCGGTAGACAAATCTACGGCCTAATCTTCCTCTTCCGATGGCAAGACGCGGACACGGAGGAGAGCGCGAAGCAACCGGGCGAGAAGGATGGGGACGGCTTGTTTTTTCTAAATCAGGTATATACGCCTCACATCCCTCTATTCATGTAGCGGTTGGGATTGATGATTTTTTTGAGTTAGGTGGTGGAAAACGCCTGTGCGACGCAGGCACTTGTTAGCATCGCGCTGAACTGCTCCGACGTGCCCGGGATCGACATTGGGGATGAGTTGCGACGGTTTAAGGAGTTTACGAGGGATTTCTCGCCGGCTGTACGTTCTCCCTCCGTCCCATCTTTTCTTTCCGGGGGATGAATCTGATGCTCATGTGCGCCGAATGGGTTCGTTCTTTTTTTTTTTCCATGACCGAATAGATGAGAGGCCTAGCCCTAGTCAACAGCCACGCCCTCCGCACCGCTCACAACAGTTTTGCTCGGTAACGTTCCGTCCCTCCCTCCCTGCCCCCACCCATCCTTTCCCCCTTCCCTCCATACCACTAACGCCCCCAAAAGCCAAACAGACCTCCCCGTTCTAAACTACCCCATCCCCGAAAACCACACCCCAAAAAGCAAAAAACGAAAACATGAAGAAGACGAGCAGGACCCGCCGTACCACTTCATCTCGTATCTGATGTACAGGGGCAGTGTGTGGGAAGTGGATGGGTTGAAGAGGTGGGCCAAGCGGTTGGGTGCGGTCGGGGAGGGGCAGGGGTGGGTGGGTGTTGCGTTGGGGGCAGTCAGGGAGCGGATGAAGGGGTTAGTATCGTTTCCCTACCGGCTACGTTGGTGGCTGTGGCGCGTGGATTGTATATGCACTCGGGTGGTGTGGAAAAACTCATCACGTTTCTCCCCTCGCATAGTTACGAAAACGACGCAGTGGAATTCAACCTCATGGCGGTGACCCACGACCGGCTGCTCACACTGACTGCCGAGCACGCCGAACAGACAAAAGTCGCGGAGGAGATGCGCGCGCGGCTGGACTCGCTGCCTACCCTCAACGACGAGGAACGGGAGGCGATGGTGTCGACGTTGAGGATCGTGCTGGCGCAGTGTGATGCGACGCAGCGGGGGATCGAGGCGTTGAGGAGTGACCGGGAACGCAGTAAGGTAAACCCCGCGAAAGACACTCCCCTCCCGCACTGTGGGGGGGCAACAGGATGGGTTTATTGATCCTGTGATGGTTTTACAGGCAGAAAACATCCGCCGCCGCTTCAATTACGGACCGTTCATCAAACGATACCTGGAGCTGCTGCATAAGAAGGATTTGTTGGCGGGTGTGCTTGAATCGTGATGCGGTTCGTGAAAAACAATCAGGATACCACAAAGAGCAGCATGGCGGGGGGTTTTTTTGGGATGTTTTGCAGCGTGCATGTTGGGAATGGGACGGAGTTTGTGTGGGGTGGTGAGGGGGGAGAGACCCGCACGGCGTAAGTGCGAAATGTTAGGCTGTTAGCGGGGCGAACATATGCGGACGTTAGGACGCATCCTGCACAGGGCATCTAAAGCAAGTGCTTCGTCTTTTAGATAGAGGAGAGGTTGGATGTACAGTATATATACAATGTGGATCAATCACAAGAAGGTATACAGTATAGACGGTTCGTGTACATCCTTGTCGGTCAACAGACCAGAAACACCGACGGCTCGACTAGATCTAATCAATGGAAAGTTCATCTGACCGACCGATCCCCGCCAACACAGCATCGTCCTCCAAAGCGCTTCGTCGGTCCCGTAGAGATCCCATATTACTTGACAAGTTATCACATTCCCCTTTATATACATATCTCATATAGCAGCGCCACACTCCCCAAGCGCTTTCTTTCGGCAGGATGCGCGGCCAATCCCACACATTCGTTGCTTCGCAAAACCGGTAAACACCGAACCAGCCGTTGCATAGCCAGCAGTGACGGCAACAGCGGGGGCTGTCGACAGGAGATATACGTTCCGCCCGTATCATCATGGAGACGCTCACCTGCCAATGAGTGCTCCCTCACTCGGCGAATGGTATTGTACCCGTGCCAAAGGTCTCGTATCATCCTCGACGCGGTCCTTCCCACGCTGCGTGAAGGCGGGCACCAGCGAGTGCCGCCGGAGCGCCCTCGGGGCGACTGCGGGCGAGTACGATACGAGACCTTGGCACGAGTAGATTCGCATAGCGCGGGCACCCGTCGTATCTCGTAGGATTTGCGCACAGCAAGAAGGAATCCCGAGCGAGAATCGTCGGAATGGCGAATGCTCGAACGAGAGGACCCGGAGGGACTCGCTCATCGGATGTGCGAGAATTGGAACAGTGCACTCACTTTCTCAAAAAATACGGGCGCAAACTTGTTCCAGGCTCCGCTGCGCTGCACCCGCACTCCGGTACGACTTTCCAAAGGGATTGCCAGTGCCACCTGCCTGCGGTTTCACATAGACGGGACGGTTGACTTTTGACACCCCCCCCCCCCCCCCCGCCCACTTCGCACTGTCAAAGCCCGTCATGCCCGCGATGGTGACATACACCCCCAATTATGAGAATGCATGCAGCACAAGCAGTTCGGGATGAGCTGAGCAGTATGTTTGGAACAGATCTCAACTCGCGGAAAGCGACCGTCAACGGATTCATCGAGGATATTAATATGCTCCACATGCAGAAACTAACGCGTAGGGACTAGAAAGAGCTAGAACGAGAAAAAAAAGGGAAATCACGCAAAGCTCAAACAGTTGAGCGTTGTTATGTCTAGTACCATTCTAATAACACAACAACTCCCATCTATATCCCTCCTCACCCTCTACTTGGGCCCAATCATCGTCTCAGGCCTCACATACTTCTCAAACTCCTCCGGTGTCAAAAGCCCCAAACTCACGGTGGCCTCCTTCAACGTCGTCCCCTCCTTATGGGCCTTCTTTGCCGCCTTTGCCGCATTATCATACCCAATATAGGGGTTGAGCGCCGTGACAAGCATGAGGGATTCGTGCAGGAGGGAGTGGATGCGGTCGGTGTTGGCCTGGATGCCGATGATGCATTTGTCGGTGAAGGAAGTGGAGGCGTCGGCGAGGAGACGGATGGAGTGGAGGAGGTTGCGAATCAGGACGGGTTTGAAGACGTTCAGCTGCGGGGAGGAGAGGGGTGTGGGTTAATATTGAGTTGGAACGGGAAGGGCATGCAGGATTGGATGGATACGTCGAGACATACCTCAAAGTGACCTTGAAGACCTGAGACGGAAATGGCGGTGTGGTTTCCAATCACTTGGGCGCACACCATCGTCATGGCTTCGCATTGCGTTGGGTTGACCTAAAAGCATGAATGTCAATCAGACAAGAGTGTCGATGAGACGAATGATTTTTTCCCTCGTGCATTACGCACCTTCCCAGGCATGATGGAAGAACCAGGCTCGTTCTCGGGCAGACGAAGTTCACCCAATCCGCAGCGGGGCCCTGACCCGAGGAGGCGGATATCGTTGGCGATCTTGTTGAGGGAGACCGCGACGGTGTTGAGGGCGCCACTGGCTTCTACGATCGCATCGTGAGCGGCCAGGGCTTCAAACTGGAGATTTTGAGATAACAGTCAATTCCCTACGGTTCATCAATGAACTGAAGTAACTCACGGATACCCTCCAAATCTCACCTTGTTGGGAGCAGTCCGGAAAGGGATTCCCGTATCCTGCGCAATCTGCGCCGCAACCTTCTCCGCAAACCCCTTCTTCGCATTCAACCCTGTCCCAACAGCCGTCCCACCCTGCGCAAGGTTATACAGCCTCGGCAGCGTATCCTTAACCCTCTCAATCGCATAAGTGACCTGCTGGGCGTAGCCGGAAAACTCCTGGCCAAGGGTTAGGGGTGTCGCGTCCTGCAAGTGGGTGCGCCCGATCTTGACGATGCCGGCGAACTCGGCGACCTTTGCTTGGAGCGCTTTTTCGAGCTTTTGTAGGCCGGGGAGAAGACGTTCATGGGTTTCGATGGCGGCGGCGACGTGCATTGCGGTTGGGAAGGTGTCGTTACTGGACTGGCCATTGTTGACGTGGTCGTTTGGGTGAACGGGTTTCTTGCTGCCCAGTTCACCGCCGAGGATCTCGATCGCGCGGTTGGACAAGACTTCGTTCACGTTCATGTTGGTCTGTGTGCCGCTGCCCGTCTGCCAGACAACCAGCGGGAAGTGTTCCTTGTGTTGTCCTGCAATTACCTAATGGAAACAAGAGGGAGGGGCATGAATACAAGCGATCGATGAAGCGAAGTGATGAGTGGATGGTCGGTTGACGGTTGATGGTTGATGGTTGATGGATGAAACAATACCCTGCTCGCTCCGCTGCGACGAGGAGATTGGGCGGCGGAAGGCAGGAGGGTTCCTCGCTTCGCTCGCTGCCACTCACTGCATACCGCGGTGAGGGGAAGCAAAGGGCGCAATGTGGGTTCGCTCCGCTCTCGCTCTCATCGCAACCGAAAGGCGTTCGCTTCGCTCGTTGCAGACAGGTCACCATCACTCGCTTCGCTCGCGAAAGCCCGTTACAGTCCGAATTCGCTCCGCGAATCAACCTTGCCTACGGCGCAATCCAGCCAGGCTCTGCCCATAACCGTTCGCTTACGTTCTCGCTCACACTCTCGCTTGGCACATACCTCATCAGCGGCCTTGATGATCGCCTCAGCCACCGTCTTATCGAGATGAGTCTCAGCATTCACTTTCGCCGCCGCCTTTTTCACAATAGCGAACGCCTTGATCACGGGATAAGGCATCCTCTCAGTTTCCCCCCCAATATCAAAGTTCATTAGGGACCGCTGAGTCTGAGCGCCCCAGTACTTGTCTGCGGGCACTTGGAGCTCTCCCATCGTATCCTTTTCCGTGCGGTACTTTTGCTGTTGAAAAGAGAAAGTATACGTTAGTTCAAGAAAGGGACGTGGGAATGTGCAATGCTTCCGAAGACACATACGAGAAGGGAGGAAGCGGCGGAGAAGAAACGAGGCTGCTGGTGTTGGGAGGCGGAGACGAGGGCGCCGAGCCTGAGGGCAGCCCTGGGGGCGGAGGAGGCGGCGACGAGACGGAGCATCGTTGCGGGCTGTAAGAGCGGCGTGTAATGCAAGTGCGAGTGGGAAAGAAAGCAAATACGGCGTAAGAAGAGGCGTTTGTGCAAAAATTGGTGCTCGGCCTTACACTCGGTCGTTTTAATACACGTCTGAAGCAAGATGGAGTCGGAATCATCTCACGCTTCAACCTCAACGTTGAATCCGCGGAGGAATATGCCACCACAATTGCACACCCCAACACAAGCAACATGCTCTCCGGTGGGTAAATGCCCGACGAAAACATCTATCTGACCAGCTTGGAGCGGGAGAGAAGGAGGCGATCGAAGGGATTCCGTTGTCCCCAACTCCAACTCCAGGCGAGGCAGCCCATGCCCTCGACGCATTACTGAGTGCCGGGAAACGTCTGCTCACCTACGCCGATCCCAGTATCGCATTTGGGTTGTTTACGTTTGATCACTACGGAGCATGCAACAGCAACAGGGACATCTCCGATGCTATCTGCAATGCTTAGTGACGGGTCGGCTAATGCTGATAATGCTGATAATGCTGATAAGCGCATTGAGACCCATTTTCGCACACTTGCACGTAAGCTACAAAAGATTCGGTTGCCATTGTCCTCATGCTCGGTGTGTCTGTCCACTAATGTGGAATATTATGGAAACCGCCCCATGCCCCCCCAAACGCCGCATGTACTTTACCTCCAGGGAGGATGTCGTTGCGTTTGTCAAAGAACGCTACAATGAGGCATACGTGAAGGAGTGTCACCGGACACGTTTTCGCAAGATATCGGCCTTTCATGAGCGGTGCCCAAATGCGAGCGGGTGTCCACCATATCATCCATAATTTGCTACGGCAAAAGCAAAAATGGATGAAGGTCAGCGAGACATGTGGGGAATGTACGCCCCTTACCTGGAATTCAAGTGGCGTAAAAAGGGGCAGAAGCTGTCTCTAGGTAAGGCGACCGGGTTCCCGCATGCATTGACAGCACACTCACCCATGTATTATAGATGACATTTTTGCTCCGGTTCTCCCAAATGACCCTCTCGCTATGCGGTCCTGGGCGCGGATCCCCCAGTTTGTTGACAAGGCTGCATGGGCACAGAACCGGGAAGGAGATCACCAGCGCACAACACCCGGCCCAACCCGCACTACCACACCCAGCGCCGTCTCAACCCCCAACATTGGTTTTGCTTTCGGCGAAGTTGAGGTCGTGGCAGACAGCGGCGGGGGAGTTGAGGGAGTTGACGAGGACCCGGAGCGACAGATGGACGGCGCGAACATGAGGATGTGGGATGATCTCATTTTCCCATGTGTCATATCTTGGGTAAGCAACCACAGGCGCAAATCACAGTTCTTGGACATCCTTTTCAACATTGACAAAAATGGAACCTAGGCTGGATCCTATTTCGGAAAGTCGATGAACAACCATATAGGCATAAACATAGTCATAGACGTAGTTGAATCGCTAGAAATGGATTGGGCTTGGACCCTAGGTTGGAGAAACAGATTCAGCATGCCCTCAACTCTGTAGGTTGCGACGGTCGATGTTCAACGCGAAATGAATACTATCAAAGAGGTCGGAGGATCCCTTGTGCTGGCTGTGCGGCGAGCTCTTCCTTCTCGCTATGGCTCAAGCCAGTCTGTCGTCCTCAGCGGATATGATTCAGGCGAGATTGAGCTTTGTAGCAGATGGAAAGTCTAAGAAGTTGTACATGTAAGCCGGGAAAGTTGGGATGGAGGAACAGGCGAGTACGCTGAACCCCGCAAAAGGTGAGGCGGTAGCGTCTTACCAGCCCCAGATCGAACTTCGCGGCCTGGTCTTTTCCTCGTCCTGGGGTCACAGGGAAACCTGGCGCGCTGTCGAAATCCGTCAAAACCCCGCGGCCAAGCTGGCAAGCTACTCCCCGCTTCCGCGTCAAACACGTTTCAAGCGAGGGCCAGCGTCGCACTTTCGCCCGCTATCGACAGCAGGATACCCTCGCACACGGACTGTACTAGAACCCGCATAACACATCTACAGTCCTCTCGAAAGGACCCGTTGTCGCTGACCTTCCTTTGACGTTACATGATAGCACCACGAGTTTCGATCTTGGGGACTCAGGGTTATGATACGGGACACGGCACATGATTCTGGTGATTTGGGGGGGCCAAACACCAGATCGAGGGCGTCGAGCACCCGCAGCGGCTTCTACAAGCGACTCTGCTATGCATCATGACTCGATTGAGCAGTTGCCAATGAATACTTAAGGCAAGGTCTTCCTGAATCCTCAGTGAGACTTATCAAAGACATTCGCAGAGCATTTCATAGAATCATAGCAGAAATATATAGACCGTCTTTAGCAATCCAGGCATGCTTTGTCCCCTCCTCCTTCTCGCGACAGGTCTTGCTGCTGTGTCTGCTGCCGCAAATGCCCCTAGCGGCTTTGTCGCAACCTCCGGAACGAAATTCGTGGATGGAAAGTAAGTGCATACGCCCGAGCCAGTAGCCAGCATCGTTTCAGGAGGAAGTCTCACGGCTCAGTCGGCTTTCCCTTTGTTGTCAACAGGTCGTTCCCATTCCACGGGACGAATGGGTATTACATTCCGTTCAACGACAGGCGCCTAGCCGATGACTTCTTCCAAACAGCCAGTACTCTCAAGATCAAGGTTGTTCGCACGTGGGCCTTCTCCGATGTCGTCGCCGCCGACGAAGGCAAACGCGTTTGGTTTCAATCATTCGACGGTCGCCAAACAAAGTTCAATGATGGTTCAACGGGACTCGAAATGCTGGACTACGTTGTGCAGCAGGCGGGATTGAAGGGGATCAAGTTGATTTTGCCGTTGGTGAATAACTGGAGCGACTTCGGCGGAATGGATTTGTGTAGGTTTCCCTGCACTGAAGCCTGATAGTCAGTCTGACGCTCATATGTGTCGGAACAGATGTCAAGTCGTTCGGAGGATCAAGCCACGGTGATTTCTACAAGAGAACGGACATCAAAGAGTAAGAACATGTTGATTTTCAGCGATCGATAGAATGGCCCACCTGACATATTAAGTCCAGGGCCTACAAAGCGTACGTTTCACATATCGTCCAGCGACGTAATTCGTTGACGGGCACACCATACATCCAAGATCCAACCATTCTGGCGTGGGAGCTGACAAACGAAGCGCGATGTAAAGCTGACCAGCTTCCATCCGGCTCATGCTCTTCGGCCGACATCGCCTCCTGGATGACGGAGATGTCGACATTCATCAAATCACTCGACCGCAACCATCTCGTCACATCCGGTGACGAAGGGTTCTATGCGAGAAGCGGAGAGTCATATCCCGACAACGGTGCTGATGGCACGGACTTTGAGAAGATCATGGCCATCCAAACGTTGGATTTTGGGACGTTCCACACCTACCCCGAAAACTTTGGCACGGACTTACAGTCTTACGCGCTAAAGACTATCCAGGATCATTCCCTCACTGCAGAGCGTCTGAACAAGCCGGTGCTGTGGGAAGAATATGGAATCAAAGACAAAGGCTCCCGTCCCCGCATCATTTCCGAGTGGCATGCGGCTCTGGGTCGCAGCGCAATCGACACAAGCTTAGTGTGGATGGTGGCAGGTCCCAGTTACGAGGACTTCGACGGGTTTACAGTGCATCCTGGTGACCCGTACATGAAGCAATTGGTCATTGACCCTATGGCAGCTATCGAGGCAGATGCCGGGTCTCCCACTGCACCGTTGCCTCCACCAAAGCCTTCACCCACCTCGGAACCCGCCCCTTCTCAACCGCCGATATGCACCGGCATAACGATAACCGCCACGGATTCTAGAGGAAGAGCATGGGGATTTGAGGAAGGCAAATCCTGTATGGTCCGCACTTGCGAAAGCACTGCCATCACGGCGGTTGATGCGGCAGGAAGGCAATGGGGTTTCGAAAACCAGCAGTCGTGTTTGATCAAGACATGTGCCAACAAGACCGTTACCACTGTTGACTCCGCTGGACGCAAATGGGGATTTGAGGACGGGCGGTCTTGTTTGATTGTGTAGATCGGTAGCGGGAGCATCTCCCGATATTGACTAGAAATTAGGTGGGTTGTCATTAGAACAGGTATTGCCGATTCGTATATTCATACAAATTTACTGTACGTGGGTGGACTAAGTCCGTATCAAACATTTACAATGGGTGAACTACGTCCGTATCAAACAAGTTATGTACAACAGCTGCAGCGTACACCATCGCGAGTATGTACGTGCTCTGTAGAATTGGACTTTCTCATACAGAAGAAATATGTACGACCGCATCAGGCAATGCAGCAGGGGCTGCAGCAGCGTCTGGAATGAAAGTCGCCCATTCTCCATTGAGATCCTGCACCGTTAGAGTCCACTCGTTTTCGTCGGCCTCAAACTCAAACTCGCCCAGTCCATCGACCTTGAACGACATGCTCGCAGCATCGAACTTGCCGATGACACCCGCGCTCACGTTGATGGCGGCCGCGGTGGCAGCGGAGAAGATGTAGTCGATTTTTTGGAGGGTGGCGTTCTGCACCGGGGAAGCCATCTTGACGACGAAGCTGGTTGGGTCGACGAACTTAAAACCGGGTGGTGCAGCGGCGGGATTCTTGTTTTGCGTCACGCTGAGTACGTTCGGGGTGGAGGCATTGTATTCGAGCTCGAACAGACCGACATCCTGACGGAGAAAGGAAGGAAAGGGCAGAACACGGTTAGAATATATAGTTCAGTCAACGGGAAGTACACCAGCTCTACTCACCGAAGTCGGGAAAGCGATGTCATTCTTGAAATCTCCTCCAGAGACCGGGGTGCCTTTCCCAAAGTCGCTTTGAAGGACAACCTCCACTTTGGCCTCCTTGCCTTCCTCTCTCTTAAGCGTCACCGCCGTGGCAGGGATGAAGATTCCCCATTCACCGTTCAAGTCGTTCACGGTGAGTGTGTATTCTCTCTCTTCCGCCTCAAACTCAAGTTCGCCGATTGTGTTGTCGACGATGAAAGTGCCCTCTGCGGAGAGCTTGCCGATACGGCCTTGAGCAACGTCCACTTGGGAAACAAACGACGCTTTTAAATCAAACACAAAGGAGGAGGAAGGTGAAGCTGAGTATGCGCGGAATGGGATATTCTTTGCTGACAACGGAAAACGCGTACATACCGGTCGGATCGAAGAAAAAATCAATCTTCTGCAATGTTGCTCCAGTGACGTTGGGGCCCAGGGAGACTACGTAGGAGACAGGGTCCATGAAGATGAACCCAGGTGGGGGGGCGACCGGGTTGGATTTTGTGGTGACGACGACGACCGCTGGAGCAGAGCCCTGGAATTCCACCTCGAACGCGCCGTGGGGCTGATATTTGGGTTAAACACGCGATGGTAGGACGTTGCAAGGAAAATGCGAGAACATACACCAGTGGGATAGAGAACGTTGTTCTTGGCATTGGGCCGCAATCCGGTTGCCCCGCCAAAAGTGCCGTTCATTAGCACTTCAACGGCCGGCGGGGCAGCGTCCCCGACTCCCGTGGCGGCTGCCGGCGCCGCCATGGTGGTGCAATCGGCTACCGCTGGTGGAGATGGAGGTGGGCTGACGGCCCGCCCACCACCGCCGGGGGTAGGGATAGCTATGACTGCGGTGAGATGCAAGGCGGCCATGAAAAGGGCGTTCACTATGACCATGTTGAAAGGATGCGGATGTCGAGTGGAAATGAATCTGTTGACTATGCTGGTGTGGACGACGGATGGACACAAGAAGGAGGGGTGCAACGGCGCAGGGAAAGGAAACCACCCGGGACCTTTTATATGGGGTTCAACATATGCATGTCGCGGGGTTCATGGCCGACATCCCTTTGCCGAGGGTTGGCGAATCTCCGGGTTTGTTCGCCATTAGCAGGATTCCCCTCCTGATCCTGTTCCTCCTTACTGCTGCTACTTACTACTACTGCTGCGTTGGAGTTCATCAAGCTTGGCGGAGTTGGATGAATTAAGGTTGGGTGATAGCTTGGAACCGGGATCCGCCTCGACTTGTGGGCGTCTGACATGAAACCACGCACTTTGCCCATCGCCGGAGCAGAGAGTCCCATCAAAGTCTCATCTTGAAGGGGCGTCGCGTCTTGCTTCCACTGCATAGTCCGAAAGGCATTGCATAGTAGCATACTACGTAGTCCGAAAGCGGCAATTGACTTGCAAGTTACAACGCCGATCCTCCTTCGACACGTTCGACGATTCCAGAAACCTTAAAAAACTCTAATCGCCAAAACCCTAAAAAGCTTTATGCCGGTGACACAGGATTAACGTTTGCCGTGTTGAAGGTATAAAACATGAAATCAATGTCGGTCACTCACGGGTATTTGGCTTTGCGGCAGTCGCTCATTTATTTCAGGGCGTGCACAGCTTTGGGTCCACTGACGCCATGTCCCCCTTTCCGGGTGGCGCGTTAACCTTAACCCTAATTCCCCGTGTTTCACTGTGTGTTTCACCGTCTATGCTGTAATTAATATATGGACGCGTCTACTGGACGCGCCTACTCGAAGCTGCATGCGTCTATAGCGGGTGTTGGGAACTTGACGATGCGAGGACTGGCAGCCGGCGAGTATTTAAAAGAGGAGAAGGACATCTCTTCCTCCGCCCCCATCAACCTCCCACCATCCCAACGAACACATCCCTTCCACGCCCTTCTCCATTCCCAATCCCAGAAACAACACTGCAAACATGCACAGCACCCGCTCGTGGCTCGTGCTGCTCGTCCTTGCGCTGGCCGTACTTTTCTCAGTTTCCGAGGTATCCGCCGGGAAATCTCTGACTTCTAGGCGAGGTGAGTCCAGTTAACACGTCTTGAAATCCAGCCGGGGTACGGGATGGATTGAACTGACGCATGAACCGCCTTTGCTCTAATAGCCAGTCTTCAACGCCGCACCGCACAAGCCCTTGCACGTCGTGATGATGATGATGGTGGTGATGACGACGACGACGACGACAACCGCGGCCGTCGCGTTGGTGGTCGGATCGGCGGCAACGTCGGCAACGCGGGCAACAACGTCTGCAACCGTCCGGTACGTCAACGATCCTATGATGCCACCTCCACTTCTGCTCTCCTTGTATCATGTATTTCTTACACCTGTTCGCTCCTATCCTTTCGCCCTCCCTACAGCGCACATCAAACTGTCCGGATGATTGCTGGAGCGCCATCAACGGCGGATGCGTCGAGACCGACACCGGCAATTTTTTCTCTGGCGGGGAATGCACGGCTTGCACCGGGTTCCCAGTCATAGATGACTAGGTCTTTCGTTGAAGTCCATACGACATGCACTCGTTCGAACGTGGGAAAACACCGGGGCTTCAGTGAACATGGAGCCTTTCTCAACACTTCTAGATCGTTCAAACTCTTTGTAAATACTTGTAAATAGGTGCAACCGCCTGAACACACTTGTAAATATGCCAGCCCCCTCGTACATACTTGTATATACTTTGAGCGCCTTGTATATACGCCTACTGCGACGTAAAATATACATTTTGTACATAAAAGCATCGGATAGCGTATCGGATGCACATCAAACCTGCTGCAAAAACCCTTTCCTGCTTCCCACGATGAGCTTCGCGTGTCCACTCTCTACATCATGGTGCAAAACGAGAGCCTGAGAAGTAGATTTTCAAGTCATTTCTGGGGCGACCAGCGTCTTCCATACTGGATGGGACTCTACAGTAGGCATTTCATAGTCCTGAGGGAGAACCGCACTGACAGGATATCCTATTCCAAAAAAAAATGGCGAACTCGAATCCGCAAGTAAATGGTATCAACTCTAGCCAACCCCTACATTATCGTCCCCTACAGACGCCACCGCACCTCTCCAAATATATCTACAGCAGATTGCAACTGCGATTGTTCAAAATGATGTCTAAAGAACGACCGCCTTAATAATCCAGCTATCCAAATCCCCAGCCGGACAATCATTGGTGCCAATCCGTCCGCCCAGATCCACCGAAGCATAGATCTCCCACCCATTCATCTTAATACAATGCAGTAACGAAAGCGCAAGCGACCGAGAGAGTATCGTATCTGTGCCATACGTGTGCCAAGGGTTTCCGGCTAGCTTCAACTCATAAGCCCGTGGGTCAGAGTCGAAGGGTCCGTGATGCTGGATTCCGCGCGCCCAGCTTTGCTTTACGCATTGGACAATGGTGGCTTGGAGGTCTGGCGGGAGGCCGATGAGACGGATGCGGTCTGATCGGTTGAAGGAGATGGCGCCGAAGTGGGGGTCCATTTTTGAGGATCCTGCACCGCCAGCGAGTGGGGCCCTCGTAGAGTGTGGTATGACAAATGACTCAAAGAACCACGAGTCGCTGTCGCCTTGCTTTTTCGAAAGGTCGGTGCTGACTGCAAGCCGCCAGCCTCGAGAGAACATAAATGACAGGATATCACGGGCGAGCAAGCGGCAAGTAATTGCGTCGTCTCCTTGACCACGCCATGGCCTGCCACTCAGCTTGTATTCCAGTGATGGGCCGTAACGTTGAACGCGCTGCACGCCTTTCTGCCAGGACCGGGTAAGAAGGGCGGCGAAGTCTGGGATGAGTTCCTGGGGTACGTTGAGGAGGCGGAGTTTGTCGCTTTCGTGAAGGGAGATACAGCAGAAGCTTGTCGCTGCTGCGTAGGACGGAGGCGAGACGCTGTTCAGCATTATGCCGGAAATGTACGTACAGGTATGTGCTCTCGCAAGCGATTGGCGGTTTGTTGGTGGTTGTTGGAGCGAGGTGATGTGGGTTGCGGCCTGAAAGTTGCAGAGTACCCTCCTGTTATGTACGAGAGCGTTGAGATTGCTCGGATGTGCCCTGGCAGCACGTGCAGCCCCTCCCCTCAGGCCCACAGTTCTCGCCAAGTTACGCAGAAAACTATCAAGTATTATGCTGATGCTCAGTTTCCTTGCACTCGCTTTCAAGCCTTGAAAGTCAGTTCGCCCCGACAAGGGAAGAGTGTTGTAAACAACCAGTTTCAGCCACAGCTTCCTTTTTATAGTTGCCGTACCCCTTTTCTTCTCTGCAGATAGAGAGCTGGTTGTGTGTGCGCAGACCGTCCGATCGAATGTCTATAAAACGAGTGGTGTGTGTGAAGGGGAATAAAGTAACGAGTTCCACAACAAAGAGAAGATGAATCAAACTCGTGTAAATTTAAAGAATGGAGGGCGATTGACGACTTGATAGGCGCTGTATGATTCAAGGCCGGTTGTCTGCGTCGTCTGGTTCCCTTTGCAAATGACAATGGAGAAAAAAAAAGATAAAATGGGCCTGAATACTGAAATGTGCAATCTGAGGCCACTTCTCCCATTGTGACGACAAAGGAAAAGGCAGCGGCGGCGGGAGAAAGGACGGCTCATATCTGGCGACAACGACCTGTTGAACCGCGGCAAGAAATATCCCCAAGGAATAAGCAGAGGAATGGCGTCTACATGGGGAACATCCCGACGATTTCGAACGAGAGGTGCATCGGGGAGTATTTTTCAACCGATGCAAGCTAGTTGTCGGATGACAAGAAGAGGGAGCGCATGAAGCAAAGCAAGGCAATGCGTGCAAGGTGGGATAAAGGCGTCGGGCATGGGTGTCAAGGAGAAGTTGATCAAGGATAGCAAAGAACATCGTGGCCCACGGACGATGAATTTGCCGGGGACGGAATAAAGCAGATTCTGCGAGTCTTCCCGTGACGTAGCTTAGCTTGTGCCAAGATGGTGATATGCCACCTATGCACATCGGTTGATCCACGTAGGTGCAACACCACAAGGCGATGGAAGTGGGTTGCGGAGAGGTTGCTTGGCCAAAAACGCTTGCTGCTATCCGCCGCCGACCTTGTCGTTCAGAACCCGATCGAATGGACAAGATGTGGCATACCAGAGTTATGAAGTGCCTGATGCACCTGGACGAGTCTACTGTTGGCCACATAGGAGGCGATGGACATGATCTTCTTCACCACTGTGCTGGAAGACATTGCGATCCGCCGCTGACTTACGATTCTGAGGGTCTCTCATATCGCGGTTTTGGGGGACGCGTTTTCCCAGGTAGCGATTTTAATTGTTTTTCTCATGTGTTTTGCTACGGACTTTTAACCGGATGTCTGTTTCTCTTGAGCTTCTCCACCAAGTAATGCTGGACGACCGCCCCCAGACAACAAGCACAAGCAGCGAGATGGGAAGCCAGGCCTGGACACTGATCCTCATCTCGGTGGGTTTATACACTGGAGAGTGATGGAAAACGACCCCTGCGACCGTATGAGCGAACGACGGTGACTGTGAGAGACGGAGGAGTGCCACAAGCGTTCCAGATGGCGGAGAAGAAGGACAGAAACCATTGCTTGGCAATAGTCAAGCCCGGCCGAGCCGCCTTGCGTGAAGCTTGGGATGAAGACAATAAAACAGAAGTCGAGGAGTCAGTCGGCCAAGTTTCTGGAAAGAAGACGGATGGAACCGATATGTTTGACGTGATCGCGCGCCGGCGAGTTCCCTCAGAATTGTCGAGGCCGTTAGAGCAGCAACTAGAGCAACTATGGCGAAAGGCCTTGCGCGGGTGGACGCACCAGATTCATGAGAGTGTCAATGGACCCCTGCGAGCGCCGTCGCTCCGGTTGAACCAAAGGACGCGGTGTGAACCGACCGCGCATTTTTGGTAGACCTCGATGAAAAGCGAACCATTGGCAACATTGCGGCGGTCTTCCGTGGGTATACGAACCTCCTCAATGTCATCTGCGCTAGCGCAGAGACCTGCAGGAAATTTCGGCCACCCGCAACAGGGAGGCACAGGTGATGAGGGGGGTTTCCGTGGTCCGGTGAGGACCCTGTCGCGGCTATTGGGTGAGGAAGTCACCCTCGCGCTTTTGCGGTGGGAGCCAGGGGCATTCACTCTGTTGAAGGAGGAGGCGGAGTTACCAACGTAAAATAATGATAAAATAAAAGATTCAACCAGAAGATAGAGAGCAAAGCTGGATTCCCAAGCGAGGTGTATTTGGTGTCGCCGTTCGAGGTACGTACGCATCCCGCAAGATGAAGGCAAGTGCGTGCCATGTTCTGAAATCTGGTTATCCGGTCTAGGACGCCAGTATGGCTTGTTGGCACGGAGATCTGGAAACACTACTCCCCTCGACCCTCCACCTCCTTCAACAGCATACATATCGAACGGTTATCCATCGACAAACAACGGCACTTGATCGGGCGCATGGGGAGCGAGTTTACCGTACCAGTCGGTTTCCTGGACGCTACGCCCTCCTTATCTGACAGGAGCCCAGTCAACCATTCAATGATCGATTCAAGGGGAAGGAACCTCAGAGGTATTCGGAGAGCTTTGCGCTGCTCGGGATAGTGTCGGATGTGAAGGGCGGTGATCGATTGCGGCCGAAGCGGATTGTCAGCATCGGTTCATCAGATATGCAGGGCATCAACTTGTACATCAACTTCCAGCACCAACCGTATCCGCCTCCAACTCTGATCGTCGCCATCTACGAGTGGTCCAAGCTGTTCGGAAGGGCGGTTTTTTTTGATCAACATATCCTACTTGCATATACATCTGGAGCAGAATGCCCGTAAGAAGGTGAACCTCCCACTCGCGTCGTCGGAGCGGCCTGACTGGAAAGTTATGATTGGAAACGCAAGGGTTATGAGCATCGGCAAGATCCCGTGCAAGGAGACGAGGAAGCGCTGGTATGCAAGAATGTCTCTCCCGCCGGCACTGGGGCGATTAAGGTCGTCGTATACATATCAGAACCATGCGTCACTGATGATCGAGGTCATGGACGGTATTCAGCGCATCAACTTTGCTGGTGACGACCACGCACACGACTGTAGTCTACGGTCTTTGGATGCTTTTGGCCTGTACATGCCGAAATTGGCGGGATCCCACTATGGGCAGGCTCCACCAACGTGGACTGCTGCCATAAGCTATGACACCCATCTGGAAGAAAACACTGATATTTACCTCGCTCGCATCGACTCCGATGCGCGGCGCGCGACACCTGTGCCGACCTGCTTGGACCGATCAGTATACAAACTCAGCCTGTTACGATCTTTCGTACCGTGTCACCGGATGGAAGGAGGCTGTCGATGGTGAAAATCAAATGAATAAGCGTGTTTAGCGTTTCTGTTGGACCGATTTCTTTGTGTGTGGAAGGATCCAACCCGCGAATCAGCACACTGGGTTGAGAATCGTCATGACACTGGAGGAGGAGTATTCCAGCATGCGCGACTTGTCCCGGTGTATCATTCCACGGAGAGAAGTCTTGCACTTTTGAAAATCCAGAAACGACGGAACATGTTTTCATCTCGGGATCTGTGTATTTGCGGGTGGTTGGACGAGAGCAAACCCCGGCCGAGACACTCGATAAGCGACAGAAATGGAGGTGACCGTAAGCGATGCGAGCTGGAATGGGGTCGATGCACTGCAAGAATGAATGTATTCTGGGACAGAGACCTGGCCTTTTTCGCTTTCGAAAATGCCTCATGGCACCATCTTCTGTCTCCCTGCTTGGTTGAGCGTTGTATCCGTCCACGGGCAGATGTCTCCGCGTCTGAATGTGGGTAGTCAACGGCATAAACCGTCGAGTCCCTTCCAATATATATATCGCTGTTTCCAGTCGATGATAGTTCGCGCGGCCGGTACCGTCCAGGCCGTGACTAGAACGTAGAGCTTTGACAGTTTATTGACGGAGGTCACACGAAGCTCGCAGCGGAGTTACTAGCGATGATCTGAACCGTCTGAGGGTGGGAACGTTCATTCATACTATGTTTGATTTTCTTTCGCAATGCCGTATTTGCATGGGTTGGACTTTGCGTTAAAAAAGCTCGCCTTCTTCTCTCTTCGGACCTCACATCCAACAACTTTGGCCGTGTCGGATCATGATGATGGGCGAGAATGGTGTCAATATGAGTCAAAAGCGACGCGTGGGATCATTTCTCACGCTGTCATTTTCTTTCCCTTCAGAATTCACACCCCTCCCTCACTGGCTCCCAGCACCCATTGAGAACACACAAGACTGCTGCTGCGTATGTTCACACGATGCATTCTCTCGCCATTCTCTCTCTCTGGAATGCTCGTCGTCGTCGTCGTCGTCGCCGTCTTCCCTTCATGTGGAAGGCGAGGTACCCGCACAGTTCGAGTGTTCTGTCGATGCGAAAGACACTTGTAGGTGATAGGGGCGCGCAAAAACGCTTGCTCGCTGTGGTTGCCTTGACAAGAGGGCTATTCGCAACTCCCCCTCCGCGCTCGCCCCGCCGCCTTCTTGTTTTCCTTCCCGTCCGTGCATAAAGAGAAGAAGAGGCTGACCTGCGTATCCCTCCGGCCCCCGCACTTCCACTCCCTCCCACTTCGCAACCCTTCAGTCTGCACATGCAGCGGTACATGCACTACTGTACTCACTGACAATACCCGGTAGCCTTCGCCTTCCTGCCTTTTGGCAAGCGTACTACTTCACCACTAAACTCACCGTCACACTCGGTCCCGTCCCTCTTCTTTTGCGCCCCTCGCCGATTCATAGCGTCTCACCCTCCATCCCCACGCATACACCTCAACGCATTTCCCCGACACCGAGCAGCACGGCCCAGTTGCGTTCTAGCTGCCTCGGCAGTCGTTAGAAAGCCGCGCGTTCGTTCTTTCCACCATAATAGGAAAGCCATCGTTGAAGGCCACCTCCGCTTTTTCCCTTCAAATACTTTCTTCTTTTTTTTTCCCGTCGGCGTCAACTCCTTCGGCATCGTGCACACCTTCGCTCGAGCAGCCCCCTGCGCGTACAAGGCTCACCGGTGCCAAACGCTCTGCTCCCGTCCGCGGTCCATTCTCCCCTTCTCAAAGCACACTTACCACCGTCTGACCCAAGATGCCGTGGTACAAGCGAAAACCGGTGTCCCTATTGACGCTGCCGCCTGAGGTTGAGCGCACGAACCTGTTCCGTATTCATGGCCACCGCGGCGTTTATCAACAAGAAAACGCTCTATATGGTTCCCCGGCTTCCGGACCGCCTTCCAGGCCTCGCACACCGGCGCACGGCGGTTATCCCAACCATCCGGACCGTCCTCAGCAGTCTCAATCCCAGGAATCTGATCAGATGGACGAGTCGGAGCAGCCACAGCCCATGTATGGATTGCATGCCCAGACGGAAGTCTGGCAGATCAGATGTACCGGCGAGATCTTCACCAGTTACGAGTGAGTTCTGACATCCACACATCATAGACTGCTCATGGAAAACGATCATGAAGTTGACGCTAATTCGCACTCGTTTAATCTTCTAGAGACTATGTTGCGCGGTATGGCTTTCTCCGCAAGAGGCAGTTCACATGTGGAAAGACCGGAATATCGAATCTCACCTACGAGGAGGCGCTCGAGTCTGAGAGGCAAGCCGTAAAACGAATAGAAGAAAGTTTTCCGGAGGTCTGGCGTGCGCCTGCGATTCGGATGATCCATTACAGTGAGTTGATGATATCTTTCCTGGATCCTTCTTCTGCGCGACGTGGTTCTGATTTCTCTTTTCCCCAACCTCCCAAGGCACGGACAAACTCAACAACTTGATTGAGGACCTCTACGAACAGTTCGCGGGACATCTGTACATGTTCGAGCACGTGTACGTCAGTGTGGTTGGCACGCTCGCACTAGCCAAGATCCTCGGGGCCATGTCCCCACCAGACGCAAAACCATACCAGATCCTGGAAAACCTGGACGGTCCCTTCCCGACCGATAACTTTGAAATTCTCTACCGCGTGAACCTGGTGGACAAAAATGACGAGCTGCTTACCATCGAGGAGACGGAGGGTATACCCGTGGAGTACATTCTCCCTGTCGCACAACTGCGGCGCGATCGAGGGATCTTGGCCAAGCAGAGCTTCAAGAAATTCATCCGGGATGTCGCGACGAGGGATGTGTGGCCTGGTGCGCCATGGATCGTGCGGCCGGAGTTCCTGCAGGAGTATCGCGTCCCGGATGTCATGCCGCCGGCGGTTCGTGAGCTGCTCGACGAGAAGCGGAGGAAGTCTTTGGCTGATGCCAAGGCGCAGGCAGCCAAGAAGGACAGGGAGAAAGCCAAGAAGAAAGCGAAACGCGAGAGCGAAGCAGCCTTTCTCGAGGAAGGCGATGAGGGAGGTGAAGACGACAGCGGTCCGAAAGCAGGCGCAAAGAAGAAAGGGCGGCCACGCAAGAATCCCGAAGCCGAGGAGACATCGAGCGGAAAAAAGAAAGGCGGCCGTCCAAAGAAAGCGGCATCGCCTGAAGCTGCCCCAGTCCCACCGCCCAAGCCAGCCAAGCCGAAACGGAAACCGAAACCCAAGCCTCTGCGATTCCCTATGGATGATCTGGAGCTTCTTGCGCACGCTGATCAGCTCAAAGAACTGCCTGGATGGCCCACCGCCACGATTCCTGAACCGCAGACGGATTTCGGCGACGTTCCTCCGCCGTTGGTCGGGGATCTTATACAAGTGGTCAATTTCTTGAACATCTACTCTCGGCCATTAAACATGTTCCCGTTCACGGTCGCCGACTTCATATCCTCGCTATCGAGCACGACGTTGGATGGACCGAGTTCGCTCGTCAACGAGGCGTTTGCATGTCTTCTTCGCGTCGCTTGTAATGAGTACGGGTTCAAGGTAGGCGATATGGACACGCCTCCTGTCCACCCAGAGGCCAAGGCGGCCATCACTCTAGTTGCGGACGATCAATCCGCCGAGGGACTGTTACCGACAGTCACGCCGGAAACCCGCACGGCGATGGAGCAGTACGCAGCGACCTACAGCACCTTCACAGACGACGAGCGCGCAGCGCTTGACCAATGGTGGAAATGGGAGCCCGAGAAATGGAACCGCGAAGTCCCAACAGGCAAGCGCGGAGCCACAGCAGCAGCTCAGCAGCAGCTGAAAGAAGGCCCGTCGTTGTTGAGACTCAAAGCGTGGCAGATTGTGCTTGCGGGCGCGTTAAGGGACTGTGCGAGTATTGAAAGTGTACCGGACAAGTGGCCCATTCTTGCCAAGCTGCTGTGTGGGGAGCATCATGGGGAGGATGTGGAGGATGAGATGGAGATCGATGTTAAGGACGATGAGGACCCCGTGGTGGCCGCGGGAGATACGTCTGCAGCTATGGACATTGTGATTGATGATGATGAGACGCCTTCACCCGCCGCGACGGATCTGGGGACACCCGAGGTGGAAGACGGGACTGCGAGGCCGTTTGGATTGCGCAAACGCCGTCGACGCGAATATGACGACGATTACGAGGCTGGATCGGATTACCCGTCCAAGCGCGAGGGCGACCCGGCATCCAACACGGCGGCGGGTCGTGGCGCCCGCGCCCAGCACCGCGCACAGGTCAAGGGCGTAACCACCGAAGTTGGTTCCGTCCCTGCTCCCGCCTCGAAAGCCCGCGCCACGCCAACCGCGACTGCTTCGTCAACATCGGGTGCGGCAAGCAAGAAAAAGGGCAAATCCAAAAAAGCCAAACTGGCCTTCGACCGGCTAATCGACCACACCCAAACCGGCTTCTCCACCCGCCTCACCGCCGCACACCGCGTCCAACTCCTCACCTTCCTCGTCGACCACCTCGTCGGCACCTCTGACGTGATCCGCGACTACATCGATGAGTGCATCGAGTGTGCCAACGAGCTGCGGAAGGAGAAACGCGAGATTTGGAGGGAGAAGAGGGAGCTTGCGGCGCTTGTGGCGGAGTTTGAGAAGGTGGAGAGGGATGAGGCGGCGGCGGCGGCTTATAAGGAGGCTGTCAAGGAGGGGAGTCAGGGTGCGAATGGGGCGGAGGGTGTGGACATCACGGGTGGATCTCCGCCTGCGGAAACACACGAATCGGAACCGGGAGCTGGCGATGGAGAAAGTGTGGCCTTCAGCGTGTCTGCATCGCGGTCGTCGGATGCCGGGTCGGTGTCCTCGGGTGGCGATGATTCAGAAGGGAAAGGGAAAGGCAAGACGAATGGACGGAGTTGGGAGGACAAGGACGTCGATGTGGAAGAAGATTCAGAGGACGATCATAAGCGCCTGCTGACGTCTCGTCGGACTGGTGGGAGACACTCAACGGGAGCGTCCACCGCCAACTCCAAGCACCATAGCCCCTCTCCGCGGTCCTCTGGCCGCGGCGGTCGCCGACAAAGCGATTCCGGCGCCTCAGGCACGACAGCGACCGCCACAACCTCCCGCGTCGCGAAACTGCAAGCTGAACGTCTTCGCCAACAACACATCGACAACCTCCAACGCGCAGCCCAGGCCGCGCAACAAGCCGAACTGAAGAACGCGAAAAAAATCGCCCGCGAACGTAACCTCCAACGCAAATCCTTCCTCGACCGCGACGCCGACCTCGTCCTCCGCGACGTCGCGATCGATAACGCTATCCACCACTGCACAGCTGCCTCACGCATGGTCAAGTTTGCGACGGATAGGTACCATAATAGGTACTGGTTCTTTGACCAGCCGTTCTTTTATACTGCGCGACAGCTGCCGGAGCCGGCGATGTATAAGGCGATTGAGACGCTCCCCGGTGTGGCTGGTGCGGGAGGCGTGGGTCACCACCCGCCGCCGGTGTTTGTGCATGATCGGATATACGTTGAGTGTGTTGGGATTCAACCGCCCGGGCAAGCTGCCGACGGCGATGAGAAGAAGAACGCGACGGCAACGACAACGACACAACTGACGCCACGGGAACAAGATGTTGTGATCCAAGGCGTCACCCACGGCCGCTGGGGCTACTATTCCACCAAACGCGAAGTCGACACGCTCCTCGACGCCCTTGAAGTCCGCGGTGTGCGTGAGAAGGCACTCAAGGCCGCGCTCGAGGAGGAGGTGCTGGAAGTTTGGGAGGGTGTGGATGACGCAGGGAGTCACTCTGCACCTGTACCGCCGCTGGAGGCGACAGACGAGAATGGGGAAACGAAACCGGATGTGGGTGGAGCCGAGGTCTCGGTGGCCGGCACGACCAACGGTAAACCACGTAACCCGCGCAGCGGCCGCCGTCGATCCTCGGCCGCTGCGGCTGCGAATGCAAACAGCGCCACCACGGGGGAGGGCGAGCCGACTGTGAATGATCTTTGGGCGGAGAGTGTGCTGGGCTTGCCGGCGCCGGGGAGGGAGAAGGAGCCGACGGGGGTTTATGTTAATTGGTGGGCGGAGTAGACGGGATATTTTTTCTGTTGTGGGTGAGGGTGTGGTATAGTGCGAACATCCTGTGGCGATATATATCTTTTGCATTTCAAGGGATGGTTCATGAGGTAGAAGTGGACATTCATTTGAAAAACAAGGCGTGAATTCAATCATTTTGGAACTTCACGTGACTTGCACATCGAATTCAATTCCCGGTAAGACTCGCAGCTTATGGACGCACAGCTCACAGCGAATATCGTCTTCCCCACAGCTCCACACACAACAAACGGAACATCGCCCAAAATGTCCAAAGCACCGACCCCCGAACTCAAGAAGTACGTACCGCCTCACCCCCTGTAAAGTCTCTAGTCTCAAAATAGGGATCAGCAGCTGTTCCGGATTGGGAATGTGCGAGGCCCAGCTGGATAAACACCCACGGGTGAGATCGGTTGGTCAAGCGCAGGGGCACCGCATGGAAAGACGGGCTGATTGGGTGTAGTGCGCAAAATCGCGCTGGATGGGATTCTGGGACGTGATCAATATTCATGGAGGGGGGATTTGGGATGGGAAGGAGGGTGGATCAAGCGGGAGGATGGAAGCGGTATGCGAGGGATGTGTGTGGGGTAGGGGACGTGTGGATGGAGAGGAGCGGGAAATGGGGCCCGGGTACGAAGCTTCTTGAATGAGCGCCGGGAGTTAGCAACCATGGTGCATCGTCCCTCTTGAAAAGGCCGTCCAAAGCACAACAAGGAGAGGGGAGGCGGGACGGGTACTGAACTATAGCGTAACAGAGAAGCTGATTGGATTACTTACCGTATCTCTCCCCCATAGGTACATGGACAAGAGGTTGTTCATTCAACTTAACGGCGATAGGAAGGTTGAGGGTGTTTTGCGTGGTACGTGGTGAATGAGGGAGGATTGTTGTGGGGGGCGTCAAAAATATTTGTGAGATATTAGGGATGCGGGAAGGATTCTGCGATTGGGAAAGAGTGGCTTGGGGGTTGGTTTCGGTGGATGATTTGGACTCATTCTCGTCATTTCTCTTACAGGTTTCGATCCTTTCATGAACCTCGTCCTGGAAGAGACCGTCGAGAAGATCTCGGACACGGAGGAAAGGCAGATCGGCAGCGTCGTACGTATCTCCGTCGTATAAGCAAGCTTTTGCCATCATCCTCTGGCGAGGTTACTCAACCCTCATTCCCATCAATAGGTCATCCGCGGAAACTCGGTACTCGTCATGGAAGCGCTAGATAAAATATGAGGAAGCTCTGGCGTTCGCGCCGCTCGTACCCAGCCCAACTGCCCAAAGCATACAACAAACGACTGCCCGGGGGTTGTGGGCTGAACAACCTCTTTCCAGCAAATTCGGCCTCAGCCTGTTTAGCCATTTGGGACGGAAACCGGGCAGGAAAACAAATGCCGTGCGTGCCGGGCAAGGATTGGGGGATGCGGGGAACGAATTTGAAATCTGGGGTTGGAGGTGGATGTGACCTTGAGGCGGGGTGCCTTTGTAGCTGAGCATCGGGCGGGGCGTTGAGACGGGAGGAACCGATTTGACAGGAGTGTGAGGGTTTGTCTCGCTGGCAATCTCGCTCAATTCACCTGGAGGGAGACTCATCTGTATGCTATGCTTTTTGTCTATCTTATCTTGTATTCTTTTGTAAATATCAGGGGCCTATGATACTCTCTTTACACTCAGCGAAGGCATCTGAACTCATAACTTCTTGACCACGGCGGTTGGCCCCGGCCGATAGACGGCGCATGTGGCAGCTATAATACCATCCCACGTCGAGAGTGGGACCTCTAAAATCCAAGCACGTATACCGTGTCATGGATCACACAATACGTTATGTACCATACAGCATACCCAGAGAGGCTCTCATCAAGGAGTCTGGACCCACGCACGACCTCCTGGTCCTCCTGTTCCGGGAGTGATTTGCGGGCATGAAAGCAGGGAAGCCAGGGGTCGAGTGAGTAAGAGCGAACGCGTGGGTTGTTTGTGATGACATCCGAACAGACCCCTTTTCGCGCGTGGCATGGACGACGGACGGATGGCCCACTTATCCACAGCAGAAGCGGACTCCAATTGGCAGATATCTGCAGGTAGACGTCTGGGGAGCACATACAACACTGTCGCAGAGCCGTCAACGTCTACTCAGCATCCACCACCACTGAGTATCTAAACTCAGCCCTCCCACTCCCACTCAGACTTCCATTTTCCCACGCCGCATTTCCTTCTAACTGTCGTAACGCGTTTCGAAATTGGAAACCAGAACGACAACAACCCGTCCAGTACAATACCAGCATTAGCCTCTGGCCGCCGTTGATGACAAGAGTCGCCCCAGAACAGGCGGCTCAAGTAGCTGCGTCTCTCGCCCTCGCCCAGTCCGCCGCCGGCGGTTTGGATGCGAATACCGCGTCCACCTTACCATCCAGCGTTTCCTCTGGGAACCTCAAGCGTCAGCCAACAATGAGCAATACGAATTCGGCAAGGCCGTCTGTTGCGGCAGCGGCAGGGAGGCACAGCGTCGCGTCAGCGGGCTCTGATACGTCGAGTTTGGGGTTTGATAAGGCGGAGATGAAGAAGGCTGCTCAGGTGAGGCGCCGCGGGCGGAGTGATTCAGGGCGCTAGCGAAGCGAGCGACTGCGACAAGCGGAGCGAGGCGCAAGGATGTTTGAAGTAGGCGAGCCATAGGCGAGCCTTGGTTTGGTCTGGGAGACCGAGCGTTACCGCCTTCCACCAGACCGAACGCCTTCGCGAGCGACAGCGAGCGCGAGGGCCAAAGGGCGCAATACTCCCCTAACCAGGGCTCTTGGCGAGCCCTCAGCGAGCGTCAGATCTTTTGCGAGCGAAGCGAGCACCACATGTTCAACCATCGTTTTACCATCCGCCGATCGATCACATCATTCAACCATCGGCCCATCCAACCAAGAGTTGCGTCTGACTGACTTCAACAAAATTCATAGCAATCGGAAAACCAACAAGCAGCCGTAGCTTTCATAGAGTCGACGCTTGGACGAAAACTACCCGACGAAAGTCTTTGGGCGTCGCTGAGAAATGGCGTGATTTTGTGCGAGTAAGTGCCACCCAAGGTTGTTCAGATGTCACATCGCCCGGATACACCTGTGCTCACTTACGTTTACATCTAGGTTAATAAATAAGCTGAGACCAGGGACGATACCCATTATCAGCACTCGAAACATGCCCTTTCTGCAGATGGAAAACATTAATCGCTTTCTGACTGCAGCCCAAACTCTCGGTTTGAAGGGCCACGAAATTTTCCAGACGGTCGACTTGTTCGAAGGCAAAGAGATGCAGTCGGTCATCACCACGATCCTAACCATCGCGCGGGTCATCGCTGGAGCGCCGTTGAAGGCCCGCCCGCCAGACGATTTGAACCCATACCGCGACAATGTCATCATTCACGACGCCTCACCTCTGCCAACGAACCAAGCATCACCCTCCATCGCGCCCACCCTGCCCCCGAAATCACCGCCAACGCACGCGCCATTCCTGCAAATCAAATCCGCCTCCGCATCCAGCTTCACCACCCCGCCGCCGGCTTCCGAAAGCGGGACCGAGAAAGGCGGGAATAGTGGACGGTCGAGCATGGACAGCAGGGGTGGGGCCAGTCCGACGCCCGTGAAATCGTCAGGGGCCCCACGGTTAAAGAAATCGGAGTCGGAGCTGGGGATGAAGGTTTCGAGAAGGAGGACGGAGTCGCCTCATCGGTCTGCGAGGCCGTCGACGAGTGGAAGTGTGAGGAGTATGAAGGAAAAGACCGTTGTCGGGAACTATGTACGTTTTCGTTGGAGGTGACGAATGTTGAGAGTATGATGAGCACTGGGAATTGACTTGGTCTGAATTGACAGCAATTGGGCAGCGGGATAGGGAAGGGACAATTCGGGGCCGTATACCAGTGAGTGGGAGTCTCGCATTTCTCGTCCTCCCAAAGAATAAGGATATTCAGTATGCCCTTCTCATCAGAGCGCTGAATATGGAAACGGGGCAAGTGGCGGCCATCAAACGCATCCCGTTAGCCGATCGGAAAGAACAGGGTGTCACAGATCTGATGGTACGTGCGCATATGCGCACATCAATGGTTCCATCCGTCCTCGGCGCTCATGAAGATCGCCCTCCCCCTCATAGCAAGAAGTCGAGCTCCTCAAATCTCTAACACATACCAACATCGTCAAATACCTCGGCTTCCTACTGGACGAAAACTACCTCAACATCATTTTAGAGTGGGTTCCCCTCCTTACCTGCTTAGCGTCCATGGCAAGAGTACTGAATTTACTACCGCTTTAGATATATGGAGTGCGGGTCACTCCAGAGCGTGATGAAGAAATACAACCTACTGATCCCAGAAAAGCTCGCTGCGGTCTATTCGGAGGATATACTCAGAGGCCTGACGTATCTGCACGCTCAGGGCGTCGTGCATTGTGACTTGAAGGTGTGCTTGGGCTTTTGACAGGCAACCAAACGCTTTCGAGTGCTCATGGCGGAATCGGGTCATTTAGTGCGCGAATATTTTGACGACGAAGGACTCGACTGTGAAGTTGAGCGATTTTGGCGTGAGCAAGGTCTTGAATGGTGTTGGCGAGGACGAGGGCGCGATTGGTATGTTGTGTCGTCGAGCGCTTCCCGTGCATCTTTTCTCACCATCGGATATTGTTCACTTGCAGCGGGAACACCGTATTGGATGGCACCTGAGGTACGACTCCTAGGCATTCACATTGAATACACTTTTTTGTACTGAACATAGCACGAAAATTAGATCATCGAATTGAAAGGCGCATCGACTGCATCCGACATATGGAGCTTGGGATGTACCATCATCGAGATGGTGACCGGCAAACCGCCTTATCTCGACCTCAAGAACCCGATGACCGCCTTGTTCCGGATCGTGGAGGACGACGCGCCGCCGCTGCCGGAGGATATTTCGCAGGTGAGAGATGGGGACAGAGCAAGAGTGGGAAAGGCGTGATCTGAAAGGAGTGCCTTACCTGGGCTTGTCAATGGGATAGGAACTGCGGGACTTTTTCGGATGTTGCTTCCAGAGAGATATCACGAAACGGGCGAGCGCGAGTCAGTTGTTGCAGCATGAGTGGATACAGAAGAAGTATAAGGTACAGACTGCACACGGGTTATTTTCTAGGCATTTTTTGCGAATCTCACCATTTGATGGCGGCGAAACAGGATGTTCGCACAGCAGAGGAAAGCCTCAAACTCCTCGAAGTCGGCGCGCAGCTTATACAGGAAAATGCAAAAGACCACCCCCCTCCCACCATCACTTCACCGAGCGAATCCTCAACTCACAGCGCCTCGGCGGGCAGCACCGCAACACCGTCCTCCCCCTCTAGCGCGTCCTCCCTTCCCCCCGCCCGACTCTTCGAAGCCGTGCTGGACGCCCCACTGTCCACCATCCCAACAGATACTATCCCCTCCACGTCGTCCAGGTCGTCCCTATCAGACACGTCCTCCGCCGCGTCGTGGCGTCCTCCTCCCGGCCCGTCACCCGCGTTGGCACGGGTGGCGACACTGGACCGCCATGCGAAACAGCTTAGCGTGAAGGAAGAAGTGCAGGAGGAGTATGATGAGGAGCAAACGGGTAGCGCGGTGGACAAGAGCGCCGGGTCTGTAGGAGCTGCCGATCGGGAAGCCACGCCCGGGGTCGGATCGCAAACATTGTCGACGCTCGACGGTACCACCGCGGCCAACACCCCCGGCGAACCGTCGTTGACCACCTTGACGAGAAGTAGCTCGAGGGTTCTGAATGAGATTGGGTTACAACAGATGGAGGAGACAGCCAATGCGCTTGCGGCTGATATCGACGACAACACACCCGCTGCGGCGGCGTCACAATCACAACGCACGCAGCAGCAGCAGCAGCAGTCGAACGCCCCGCCAACCCCGCCCTCGACGCAGAGTAAACGCTCCAGTCTGAAATCCAAATCCAAAGAACAGCTTAAAGACCCGGCTGCGGATGAAGACGAGGAAACAGCGCCGGTGCCGACACAAGAACTCGCAGTCAAACCCCTCAAAGCCCGCTTCATTACCCCACCCTCCATCTCCACCGACACCCACCACCTCCCAAAAGCACCGCCACCCGCGACCGCCCCACCCACCATCGCACCCTCCCTCCCCACCACCACAACCACCGCTTCCAAATCCTCAAAACCACCACCACCAACCTCAGCAAAACGCCGCGCCTCATCCGCCTCCTCTCCGAAAGAAGAGAAGGAGAAAGATAAAGGCCTGGGAACGAATACGTCGGCGGCGGCGCTGCATAGTTTTTTGTTGAAGAGTAAGAGGAAGAGCTTTGCGGGGAGTAGTTCGAGTGGGAAGGAGAGGGAGCGGGAGCGGGAGCGGGAACGAGACGGGAGGGAGGGACAGGGGGACAAGGACTGTTTGATCATGTGATGTGGGGACTGTGTGGGAACCGCGGGGATGCTTTTGGGCGGCGCGGGAGGGATGAGGGTTGTGCTTTTGTGTCTTGTTCATGTGTGTGGCGTTGTTTGTTCGTCGGTCGTTTGTTGGGTGTGCCTTTCCCCCCCTCCCCACCTGTTTTTCTACCTTCCATATACACTGTATCATATTTTCGTTTTCACCCCGCTTCGTTCGTTTGCGCAAAATGACAGAACAGATTCGAAAACATAACACGGTCCCTCGGCGGTACGATGTTTGGGCTCTCGGAGTCCGGAGGTATATATTATTTGGGATGAGATGTATGAGGTCCAAGAAAGCGCGCCACTCGGCACAAGTCAACCCTCCTTCCCTCCCCCTTCCCTACGTAACCAGCACAAACATCATAAAAAACACAATCAACACCGCAAACACCTTCATCATCAACCAGCGATTACTACTGATCCCCTGGTAATATTTCAACAACTGACTATGAGCCCCCTCCACATTCATCTCGATATCCAGCACATTCTCATCGATCCGCTGCACCATTTCGCGCTGTGTGGCGACCATTGAGGCGAAATTCTGGTAGATCTGCCCGAGTTCCGCGATGGTGGATTCGATGGATTCGATGGCCTGCGAGCGTGATTCGATAAGTTCCATGTTGAGGGTGGATGAAGGGGCCGGGATGAGGGATTGTTGTTGGAGTTGTTGGTTGGAGGAGAGGTCGATGATGACTGCGCCGTCGCCGTTGGAGGGGGTTGTGGGGCGACGGGAGGGGTTGTACAGCGGGGAGGAGTCGAGCGGGGAGGCGCCCATGTTCATTATCCCGCCTTGTGGTGGTGGTCCGCCCATTATCCCGCCCCCGTTTGTAGCTGCTGCCCCGCTCCCTCCTCCTCCTGCGGCAGGCGTTAAAGGCGACGCGGCCGGGAAGGAGGAGTACTGATCCCTCCTATTCTTCTGCTCCTTCATATTCTCCGTCCGGATCTCGAGAATGTTCTTGAATTCGTTGGACGTGGAGGCGAGCTTGCTCTGCAATGAGGAGATGACGATCGTCGAGTGTTCGCGGACCTGTTTGTTGTTATTCGCTTGTGATGCGAGTGCCGTTGGACTACTCCCCGTATTCGCATTCCCGGCGTTCGGCCCGCCATGTTTCCGCATCCATCCCGACAACTGCGCAATCTGCTGGTTGATTTTGGCGATATCCTGCTTGATGATATATATCAGCTCGTTGATCTCGACAGGTCGGTCGTCGAAGAGTGTTTTGCGTTTGGCGAGACGGGCGAGTTTTTGGAGTTTTGTGACGGTGGAGTTGATGTCGCGGCCGATGGAGGCGGCGGCGCGCGCGAATTCGGACTTGGATTGGGGGGGTTGGGCGTGCCGGGGGGAGCGGGTGGGGGAGAGCAGGGCGTGTCGGTCGGCGGGCAGGATGCTGCCGGGGCCGCCGGACCGGGATTGGATGGACTCGACGGCGGAGAGGAATTCGGCTGTGCGGTCTTTTAGCGTCATTTCTGGGTCGTGAAAGTGGGTGGTGCGTTTCAGTGAAGTTTGCTGAGAGTGGATATGTGCCCAGGGTGGAGGCAGTAGAGACTCGTTGTGGTTGTGGGTTGGCCTGTGCTGTTGCAGCGAATAGCAAGATCTCGCAGGGGAGTGTTCGAACGAATGACAAGTGCGCTCTCGTGTTCGCCGCTTTCGGCCCCCAACGACTCGCCACGTCGCAAACAGGGACATCAACGGGTATTCGCCAAGAAGGACACACAAGCTCACATACACCGCTACCCCATCCTCCACTACATTTACTAACCTTACTGCTTCGTCTTTCTCCCACTGCTGACTCTTGTTCGCGGCCCCCAGACGACAACTCCCAAACTCCACTTCCACGCGCATTGCTTCACTTCAGCCCAAGCTGCCGTGGCAGAGACCGTACCGGCATGGCTTCTACTCGTCGCACGAACAGGAGAGACATATGGTTTAAATTGGGCAACAGCGAGCGAAGGTAGGTTGTTATCATCTTTATTCTCAAGAGTTTACATGCTCTATATGGCCATCGCAAAACGAAACAATATACGGGCGTTTGATGGAGCGAAAAGGGTGCTATTAGAAATTTACAGTGGGTATATACATCTATGTGATATGCTAGCTATAGCGACAGGCTTAAGACATGCGAGCTTCGCAATGTGGCTATCCCAAAAGCGCCCGGAGTGTCTCGTCGGCAGTGAATCTTGATGCACGCCCGGGTGCGGTGGGATGTTGAAGGCAAAGCGGGGTCTGAGGCCTGACGCGGACGGCTCCGAGCTAGATGGTGCATCGCAAAATCGGTGGGGAGGGTGTCGATAATCATGCCGATCTTTTTGCGACCGGCGACGTCTCGCCCGATGATCGCTCGGTAGGGGTCGGATGCATGGAATTGCTCGGTATAGGTGCCCCGAATCGATGCACATGTGGGTCGGGTTCGATGCGCTCACTTCCAGCTAGCCCCAGCAAAGAACGCCTTAACCCTGCCCATCTTGCCCGTCGCGGACTCCACCGACGCGGCGGAATCCTGCGTGAACGCCTTGGACATCTTGAACCCGTTGCTGTTCTTGTTGTTTGATGCAGAGTCGAGATCTTTAGCGGCGTGCTTTCCGCGGAGGAGGGCGCCTTTGTTGGCGAAGGAGGCGAGGTGGGAGGGGGTTACGTTGACCATTTTTGTTGGTTGTGTTTGGGTTGTTGGAGTTGGGGTAGGTTTCGGTTTGAGGATGTTGATTGCTTTGATGCAGTGGAGTTGATTGTTGATGTGATGAGGGAGACAGACAGGACGAGTCTCTATCCCCGCCCTTTTATACACATTTTGGAGGTCTCATCCACCATGGCATCGAGAGAGGAGAGAAAAAGCAAATGCAAGCTTCCCCACGAGCCACTTGGAAAAGGTAAAAACGTTTCCTACTGTACATTCCGACACCCTTTCCACGTCGTAAAAAAAGGTTGTGGAAAAGCAAGCCACAGTCGGAATTTGAAATTTCCTTACGTTGACGCGACTTGACGTGGGGGGTAGGAGAAGATGATGGAGAGGCAAAAAAACAAGAAGAAAGGAAGGCGTCATCATGCTCATCCTGGGCTTTTCTTTTTCCTTGTTTTCTTTTTTCCATTGGATAGAATCGGAAGGAGGGTTGTGGAAGGAAACGTCGTGGGGAAGGGAGAGGAACTTTACAAAAGTCGGGAGGATTTGGATTTTTGACTTTTCGCGCAAGTGCTGAGCCACCTCCGCCGGGCTGCGCAGTCCGCGCGTGATTCATGTGCAAGTGCAGTACTCCGATTTTGACAGCAGCCACGACTCCGATCAGCGAGTCGGACGCATGAGGGCTGCTCTGGTATGCACATGTTGACATCGATGGGGTGACAGCAAAACTGGGGTTGTTTAGGAGCCTGTGCTAAGGACTTTCCATCGATATAGGGCCCTAACTCGAGCTCCTCTGTCCATCAAAACCGCACGGGATGACCGCAAAGCGTCGTATACAGCGAGTCTAGGCTGGTTCCAGAAAGGATGCGGCACTCGAGCGTAGAGGCGTGTGGCCTGCCGATCTCGACAGCAGAGGACGACGCTCGCGCGTGTCGCCGGATGGTCGGCATATTTGAAGATGGGTGTGATGAGCTCCCAGTGGCAGGGATCGCTTTTGGTGCGTATTGCTGTCGTCTGGCTGCTGTACCTGGCAACGCGGTTATCGATCACGGCGGTACTGGCCGTGTTCTTGCCCCCCTGCACTTCACTAAGTTACCGTTCGCCAGTCGATCCCACGCCAAATGCTTGACGATGTTGGAGGTATCATCCACCCGAGTCCCCGGTTAGGGTTCCCGCCGTCCAGAGCATAATGGATTCCGTTCGAAGGTTGTGCTAATTCGTCAATGTAGTGAGCGCCGCGGCTGCCGTGTTGAGGTAGGTTGCGACAGCGGCTTCGTTGGCTGAATCGGCGCTGCTGTCGTCGTCGTCAGAGGGCACCTTTCCGTCGTCGTCGCGGATGGTGTAGTGTGTTTCGAAGACCGTGGAGCCGGGGAGCCAGCGTCCGGCACAGATGGCCTCGGTGGATACTCCGCCGTTGCGTTGAGCGGTGGTGACAGCGTGAGAGATCGATTTCGGCGTGTATTCGGGACCAATTCCCGCATCGCGCATGGCGGTGGCGACGAGTTTGGATATGGTATTCGGCGCCATAGGGGAATTCTTCAGCATGTTGATGAAGACTGCCTTGAGGCCCGCTCGGCGGGTACCTTGCAGCTCGATCATTCGAGGGTAGAGCGCACCGACGTCGAGGTTGCGAGTAGGAATGCAAGCGACGGTGATAACACAGTAGTCGTGTCCTTCAAAGACCTCTTCCTCATGTTGACGTTGATATTGCCATTCCTTAGGTCGCCACGATCGGAGTTCTAGACGGAGGTCATGATGGAGGTTTGCCAAATGGCTTGGCCGGCATTTGTTAGACAGCATGATGATGACGGCTAATTGATGACTCACTGCACACAGCTCATTCCAATCCGCCGCCGAGGATGCGACATAATTTCACAGAGTCGCCGGATTCCATATTGTCGTGTAGGCCTTCTTCCGTGGGCCGGTTCTAAGATGCATTGCCTTTACTATCGACTGAGCAAGGTACGAGCGGTGGAAGGAGCGGTTCGGGGAAAGGAGTGTGAGGGTGCTGGTGATTGCGGACCGCGCGCTTTCAATGACCTTGACGCTTTTCCCATTGTGATGGAGGGAGTCGAGGTAATTCACCACGTCCAAATCGGTGGCGCAAATGGGATCGAGACGCCGTTCAGTACACCACATACTGAAGTACTTCCAGGACAACTGTTCTTTGTGGTTCGTGGATGTTTTGTAGGCCGTGCTGGCCAATTCCGCAGCCGCTGCTGATAAACCCTGGTTTTCGAGGTGTCGCCGGACAAGCGCTGTCGTAGTGCACATATAGTACGTACTATATGTGCACTACGACACCCGCACGTTCCAAATTCGATAGAACAACTGATCCTCACCTCCCACCCAATCTGCGCGAAGCATAACCCCATTCGTCTGTACTCCTGACATATACACTTTGGCTTTGCCGCCCGTCCGACAAAGCCCAAACGCCGTGCATGCAATATCCGAGTCAGCGATGTACCATTTCGCGTACTCCATCCCACTTGCGAGCCTTGTTTTTGGCTTATTGTATTTTATCCGGCGTTTGCTCCTTTCCGTTTGTCGGATACATTCAATACACCGCCTGCATATTTTGGCCTTCTGCGTCTTTGAGTTACACCGGGATATGATCCTATGGACGTGCAACTCATTGACCGGGTTTGATGGTCCGAATGGGATGTGTCGAGGCTCCATAGGTAACGTTCGATATGGTAGCGGTTGATGTCGGCATTTCGTAGGTTCGGCCCATCGACTGCAAAAAGGAAACTCTGAGCCATGGGGCAATGTATCGAGTGGAAACATTCAGGAGCCGACACTTCCACCGACAACTCATCCCCTCGGTAGATTACCGCTCTCACGTTTTCAATGCGAACGTCGACTGTACCACGTTACTTGCGACGCAGGCAGTGGATGTAACCATCGCACGAGGAAGCAGCGTATGAAATTCGAGGCTTTGCAACACGAACCCAATTACCACGAGTGCAAAGCTCACAAAACACTTAATTGCCATCTTGGCTTCTGCGGGTGGCCAGCAAAATCCTCTGCGTCTTCGGATAGCATACTCCTGAGGCGGCGGCGGCACGGACGCAATCATGTTCAGCCACCCGCCGGCGTGGTGAGATTCCACAGACGAAGGGCCTGCCCTTGGTGCGATTTAGACGGTCCCAATCCTTGACGGGCTCTTTTTTTTTCTTTGAAACACACGTGTTGGTCTTAAGGAACTTGGATGTGCGTCGGTTACGCTGATGGGCAGCGCACAATCCTACTGTACATGGCACAGGACAGATGATCCTTCCTCAGAACCTACGGCCACAATTGCCGCACCGCCCGCGCGGCTGTTTTCGCGCCGATAACATCCCCGCAAGACATGTCAGACCGGGAGCAATTTTGAAATCATTTTCTTTCGACAGAGCATTGATTGGAAGGACTTGCATACAGCAACACTGAGCACTTGGGTTGGCGAATGAACGCTTCGTAACTTGTTTTTCGATGAGAAAGGCTGGAAGATATCAACGATGAAAAGGTTCTCACGCGCAAGTGTGATGGGAAACACTCACCGCGTGAACAGTCATGTTTAGGTTAACCACAGCTGCTGCCTGGCCGTCGATGAGGCGCGAGAGCCCTCCTTCATGTTCACGGTTATGCCTGGATTGAGCTTTCACATGCAGCCGTTGTTGGTAGGAACTGTAAGCGTGCGCGGAAATCGCTCACGCCTTCCAGTGGGCCAACGTTAAACTCAGCTGGACGTTGGGGAGAGAAGTAGGAGGTATTAGTGACGGGAAGTGACAGTACTGCAGTGATGAACCCCAGCCCAGATGCCAGCCAAGCGAGCAGTCGCACCCGGCTTCCCATCCATTCCCGACTTACCCCTCATCGCCCGCATTAACAGAACAATGAACAATATGCACGTCGAAACCTACGCCCCAACCACCGCCACCGCACCCCCTCGCTCAACTCTCATACTCATTCACGGCGGCGCCCTGTCACATCGCATGTACCGCACAACCACACCCTTCCTCACCTCCCTTGGCTACCCAATCTCAGCGCCCGACCTCCCAGGCCACGGCGCCTCTGCCTCCCTCCGCCCCTTCTCATTCGCCTCCTCCACCGCCCATATCCACGAGTACATTCAGTCTCTACGCGCCGCGACACCCGGAGGGAAGATTGTGCTTGTGGGAATAAGCCTGGGCGGACAGGCTGTTTTGGACCTTATTGCCCACCACCCGGACGCTGTTGACGCGGCTGTGGTATGCAGCGCGAGTATCCACCCCCCATCTGACCCGTCCCACCCGACGGCGATGCCAAAGATGCCGAGCGATCAAGTGCCTTCTCTCTTCTCCGAACTGAAGACTAGCGGTACAGCCTTGACGCAATTGAGGTCGTCAGGCATTGCCCCACCTTTTATTTGGTGGGAGAAACATCACCGTTACAACCGGGGAAGAATCCTCGCGACGCGTTTTCCCGTCAAGCGTTGTTTCGCCGCGCACTGACAGTTTGACAGCTGGGAGCACTGAAACAGCGCATTTTGTGGAGTACGGTACCATCAGCCTTCTGAAACCGGAAGTTGAAGTAGTGTGGAGTGCTTGCCGTGTTATATTGCAGGATTTCTCAGACACTGCAGCGTTCTCTTCTTCGGCCCAAGCCATCATCTGCCGGTTGAGAGGTTTGCAGTTTCACAGTCGTCGGACGGAAAGACACGCTCACTCAAATCCGAGTCTGCGCCCTCACCTCGCCCACGATGAGCCGATGGTACCTCTTTGCGGGAAAGCACATTTTGGATCTGGACGCTGTCGAGCGGGTTGCTTGCACCGATGTCCTGTACCTGAACGGCCATATGATCGAGACCCGTCACTCATTCAGAGACTATACTTGTGAACTGGAGAAACTTACAATCGCGCTCGAAGCCCGACACCAGCGCAAGCGTGAAGAGGAGGCTGATGATGGAAGCCGAAAAGCTGAATTTGCGGAACGTCTGCTGGGAGAGATACAGAAGAAAGTCGACTGCTTATGGAAGATGGCGGGCACCCCAGGACATCAAGAAGCTTCCGCATGCAACCATCAAAACACACTCGGGATCCCGGCCGCGCCGTCTACTTCAAATGGAGGCATCTGAAAGCGTGCACTCCTTCAACAGTGAGAAGAGCCCGCGTTACTTGTCAAGAGAGTCTGAGATTCTATATGTCTAGCAACACAATATCCCGCTCGAGGGCAAACCAGGGGGGGTCCACTTAGGGCCGCTGTGTACACAGAGCGTAGTCTTTCAGGCGTGTCATTGCGTGATGCATAGGAGCAAGCCTTTCGGTAGTCATGGAACGTATTGTGTAGCTTCTCCTGGTAGTCTTGATGATGCAACCATCCAATGTAATATGTAGCGTAAATCCATACCATCCCAATGCCAATGACGTCCACATATGTACGGTTGAGTTGAGTTGCGATGCCCTCTACTTCCGCTCCCTCTACGCTGCCTCGGTTCGAATGACTAGTGTGTGAACGCCGACGTCAGTACACATAATCCAAATTCAAGAAATTTGGGAGTGTGCGGATACGATTGTCAGCACTCGCCCCCTACTTACGCATACGTCCGTCGACCGCTTCTGGCTCATAGTTTCGGGATTGGTCGATTGGTCCACCTAATCTCATTTGCGGTTCTTGAAGAATCTTATATTAATGGACACATTCTGGAACTCGATGCTTGTGGCTATGCTATGCTACATATACACCTTATCTGGAGTGGTTTGCCCGCAACTGCCCGCAACTTTCACTCGTCATAATAATGCATGCCACTCATTTGCGCCTTATGCTCCTCCTCCTCCTCTCCCTATTGTTCCTCCTCCTGCTGCTCCTCCTCTTCCTGTTCCTCACTCACCCCACCATTCCCCTTTCCCGCCTCAAGGAGGAAGGGCAGTTACGGTTGTGCAAGCACTCAAAAAGGAGAAAATCAGAAAGGTCAGAAAGCACACTAAGTTTTCGAGTGACGTCGACGTCGTACCTAGGCGGAATACAACGCTGCACCCCGAGAAAGGTGATGCCAGAAAGCCTGCAAGTTATTCAATACCTCTAGCGCTAGCCGCTTGGTGCTGAGCTTCATGAGAGCTAGGATAGCGAGGATATTGGCCTGATTATTGCCTCGTCCGTGCGAGTCCGGCCTCCCTCCGCTTGTACTGTACGGTATGCTCACGCGTGGCTTTGGCTGTGTTCATCTGCGTCCATACTAGCTTGGAAGCCTTTTCTCCGCCGCCATTGAAAGCGTGGGAAAAATCGCAACCCTGTCAACTCTCTGCCTGCACGACTATGGGTGACGGTTGTCCTTGCAAGACGGAGTCCTTGGAACTATTACGCTGGCCGAAACACAACACCGCTTATTCACCGTGTAGATGGGCGACCACAAGCAACAGCAATTAAAAACTTTGTATATTGAGACCTTTGCAGCGGCCGCAAAAGCAGTGAGCGAGGATACGGCACGGAACTGGAAGAACAGCAAGGAACTGTATGCGCAGGCCTCGCAGGTAGAGAGACTCCTAAGAGCTGGCTATGGAGATTGTTGAACGCTCACTTTTTATCCACGTATCTTTGGCAGGGCATCTTGAAACTTTTGAAACGTATGGATTATCATGAAAACACTCAAAGGCTGCTTCCGTCGTGTCTGGCTCATCCTCTCTTCTTTTCCCCTAGTCGAAACCGATCCTCAAAAGAACCGCTTCTTGCTCGAAAAGTATGAGGAATATTCACACCGAGCGGAGCAGATATCGAGCTTGGTACCTCGGCCCTCGTTGTCTACCGCGGGGTCGAAGGTTGGTTTGAGGCTTCTTATCTAGCGAGCGAACGTCCGGATTCAACACTGATCATATTCGCTCCATCCAGATCACCTTAGGAAATGAGCCTCCATTCTCGAGACAACCGTCCTTGACGGAAATACCGAGCGGTGAGTTCTCATCCCATGTAACCATCCGTTATACATGCTCATCGCAACATCCTTTCCGCCGTCTAGATCTAGTCCCGCCGAAACAATGTTAGTGGCTTCTTTTCCCACTCGAGACTTCGCGCAACACGTCACTGATCCTCATGCATTGCAGGCACTCAATCCGGGCCCGCTTTGAAATCCGATGAGATCGACGTGCTCAGACAGTCGTCTACTATCAACGGCAGGATCTATCTACCTTGGCTGCCCTTAGATTACTCTGAACACTTCGGTACAGGGCATGTTTTCAGGTGAGCCCTCTGTCATTGTTTTCCGCAAGTTTCGGTTGCAGTGCTGACCTACAAGAGAATAGTGATCCTGACGGCCCGTTACGCCTTTCTGCGCAACAGAAGCCCAGGTTCCACTGCTGGAAGAGGGCCGGCGAGATTCGGTCGCGCATGGTGGAACCCGATGCGAAGCCTGGAGACATCTATCAAGTAGGCCATCATCCTTAGCTCTGCCAAAGTGTTATCTATCTTGGTATTAAGTTGACATTTGCGTCTCCCGAAGGATGTTGTAACAGACTGCTCAGTCGTGGCCTCCTTACTTGTAAGCTCCGCTTACGAGGCGAAGTTTGGGAAGAAGGTATCCATGCCATTTCGCGTGCTGGGCCCGGCGTTTTTGAGGACTTTGGTTTTGAGCGATGAACATCCAGGTGGTCGTTGGATGCATACATCCACAGAACTCGGAGGGCCATCCGGTCGTAAATCCGGAAGGAAAGTATGTTTTGAAGCTTATCATCAACGGCGTAGCCCGGCAGGTAAGCGAACGTCGTGTTGTCTAGCATCCCATTCTCATGATACTGATCATTCCGTGTACCACTCAGGTCATAGTTGACGACACGATACCCGTCGATCATCAATGCAAACCTCTCTGCGCATTCAGTTCCCGAGGCGATATATGGCCGAGCATCATCGAGAAAGCGTACCTGAAAGTCTGGGGCGGCTACGACTTTCCCGGGTCCAACTCGGGCATCGATCTGCACGCCATGACGGGGTGGATCCCCGAGAACATTTTCTTCAAAGACCCGCAGTTTTGCGCCAAACGGATCTTTCAGCGCTTGCGAGATGGATTGAGGACGGGAAATGCGTTGATTACTATTGCGACGGCGCCGGCGCCGGACGATGGGGCGGTCGTCCAACAGATGGAGTTGATTCGGGGCCATGCGTATGCTGTAATCGAGGCATACCCGGCCGTCATTGACGGCGCGCCGCGAGATATGCTGGAGTTCAAGAACCCTTGGCGAGCATCAGCGGGAAGTGCAACTGCAACCACCACGAAAGTCACCCAAGACGGAATCTACGCCCTGCCCTTCGACACGATCAGCACCCTCTTCGAAACCATCCACGTCTCCTGGAACCCTTCCATGTGGCGGCATCGCCACTCACTGCATGCTTCCTGGCCCAACACGGGCCCTCGCAAGGACGCGTTCAACCTCAGCGGCAACCCGCAATATTCCCTTCAAGTCGACGTGCAGCTTACGCGCCTCACCGCCGTCTGGATCCTCCTCACGAAACACGTCACGGTCACCGAGGAAAGCACCGAGTATCTTACCCTCCATGTGTACGACAACACCGGTGGAGAGAGAGTGTACTACCCCGACACGCCGTTCGTTCGCGGCGCGTACATCAATAACCCGCACATCCTCATCAAATTTACGGCGCCCGTCGGATTGAACAACTACACGGTCGTTCTCTCACAGCATGAAAAGTCTGAACGCACGTTGAGATATACCTTGACGGTGTACGCCATGTCACCATTCCGCATCACCCGCATCACCGACAAATGCACCTTCTCGCACCAAACATTAGGCGAATGGACGCGCAAGTCAGCAGGCGGGTCGATGAACCACCCCACCTTCACCCGCAACCCACGGTACGTCCTCACTATCCCGCCCATGGAACCGATCGAGATTGTAGCGACGCTGGAGGCGCCGAAGGAGTATGGCGTGAATCTGAAGGTACTGGCTGGGTTGATGGATGTGGATGTTGGGGGTGGTGGTAGTGGGAGTGGAGGGAATGCGGCGGTGGTGGATAAGGTTGTATTGAGCAGCGGGAGTTATCGGAAGGGGTTTTGCTTTTTGAGGTGTGAGTTACTCGCGGGTGAGTGTGATTTGCGGGATGTGGAACGGCGGTTTCACTGGAGAATGCTCTCCTCATTGACGGTTGTTTGCGTCTATAGCGGGAACATACACAATCATCCCGTCGACCTTCGAGCCCGGGCAACTTGGCGCGTTCGTCCTCACCGTCAACACCTCGAAACAGATCGCTTTCGAGGGTTGATAATTAGCTACGCGTCTCCGCGATACATACGTAGTGATAGGCAATCCCGTGTTTTTTAGTATAGGATAGTGTCTGATATGGTTGAAGCGCATGATTCCGTATGTAGAGATGCAGAAGCGGGGTTTGCTCTCACATCGTGCGCCACACCCATTTGGCCTGATGCATTCGGCGTGGTATGGTAGCGAGAACGGGGCCACAAACAGCTGGGATTTTGTGGATTTGCTAGCTGTATAACCCTAACCCTAACCCTAAACCTAACCCTTGTATTACGCGTGAAGGAGGTGAATTTGAAGGGAAAAGCGGACATGCATCACAGCCGACAGCCGCCAGCCCGCACATACAGTATCGCTATCTTGAGTACCATATGGACGTGCTAAGTATTATTATGCATCGTCGCAATGGCACGCACAGCAACCGATAAGCTCATGACCCTCCACCCAACACTACGCCGCATAAACAACCTTCCCAAAAATGTGAGACCCCCTCTTAGACCCGCCTAGAACGCCCAGTGTATATCTGCCTCACCCACAACCCACCTCCCCACCTCACCCCGGAGAGACCGCCCCAGCCTCCCTCCGCATCCTCTTCGCCACCCTCAAACATCTATAAATCTCATCCGCACTCATCAAATCCGCGCACTTGAACGCGTACACCAGCTCGACGAGGTCCGTGTGCGTGAAGAGGTGGTGCGAGTGTTGCAGCTTCAAGTCATCGAGAGATCGTGTTAGCATCTCGTTGGAATTGTTGACTGTGAACGAGTAGTTGAGAGGAAACTCACAGATTTCACAAATCTCAACATAGACTTCCCAAAATGACACGACCCGAGCGGGTTATCCCTTAAACAGTGCTTGTTCCATGCGAGATAGAGGGCGCGGCGGGTGAATGGGAGGGTGGGTGCAAGGCGGTCGAGGTTCTGTATATTTGTTGTCAATGAGAGTTCAAGAATGAGATGTAGTTGAGACGATACGTTACCTGGCCCTGGGTGGCTAGCATGAAGTCCATGTTCATGTGATCGTCACTACAAAACGAAAAAGGAACCGATCAGTATCACGAAGCGTGAACCTTCAGAGGATGTAAGACCGCGTACCTATCATACCCCTCCTCATCCCCGCCCAAGATCGGCAAATTCGTCGCAGTATGATACCCCCGACTATAATCAAGCACTGTCCCAACATCATACGCCGCCATCTTCTCCTCGTTCGCCCTCTCAGTATTCACCCTCTCCCGGTGTCGCCCCGCTTCCAGTTCCACAATCCCGTCTTTCGTATCCACCGTGATCGCCGAGGATGAGCGCGGGCGGAGGGTCCGTTGGGGTGTGGGTTCGGGATCGTTCGTCACGGAGCGGGCTACTGAGCGGCGTCGGCGGTCGGGTTGGGCTTCGACGATCTCTATGATTTCCTCATCTTCCACGAACCCTTCCTCATCCACAATCAACGGACCAGGCTCCTTGCAGATACCACTCCCAGCAGAAGTTCGAGGCCGTAGATTTCGATGTGGTTGAGATTGCTCATGGTCCTCGAATTTCTCCACATTCGTACAGATACCAACACTTGCGGAAGTTCGCGGCCGTAGGTTTCGGCTTGGCGGACCCTCCTTTTCCTCCCTTAGTGAGGAGATGGACCGCTTCCGAGCAGCCCTTCGCAACGCTCTCGGTGAGCCCACCACCAACACCCGCGTAGGGCCTTGCGTCCCATCGACCTCGTTTTCAATGTAGTTGTCGATATCCGCGTCCCCGCCTTCATCTTCGATCCCATGCTGATGGATCTCATAATCAATCATCTCCTCTTCCACCTCCTCTTCCACCTCGTGAAATTCGTCCCCATCCACATCCATCGCTTCCTCATTTCTACCTTCCAACTCCACCTCCCCATCCTCCTCAACCCCAACTGGCACCCTAACCTCCTCCCACTCCACCTCCACATCCAACCCACACACACCCCCAAACAACGGCCTCTCCTCCCCCTTCCTCGGCACCGGGTTACACCCCCCCTTGATCCGCACACGAAACTCCTGCGGTCCCAACGGTCTTGCAGCTGGGCGTTCCTCTGGTGGCTGTTGAGCGTCGTCATCCCCAGTGTGCAGAGCCGGGATGACACCATAAGTCCCGTTATCGTGCCGGACGAGCGTGAAATGCGCCATCTCGGTTCCATAGCCGCGGGTTTTGAATGCTGAAAAGTGAAGGGTGTTATCAATATCAGAGTCCATGTACAATCCCCCATCCCAACGCCAATGGGGGCAAAAACCACGTACTCGTACATCCAACCGTTTTCTTCCAAATCACAACCCTAACCCCCCACTCCTTCACAAGCGGAGACAGCCTCCCCGCGGGACTCACATCCGTGCCCCTACTCGCACCATTCAACTCACACCCCACCACCTTCCCACTGGAATCACGCGCGACGTCGAGGAAGAGGTGGGAGAATGTGGCGCTGGAGGCGATGCTGAATTTTTTTTTGGAGCCGCTTAGGATGCCGAGTTCTGTGCGGAGGAGGTAGTGGGTTGGGGTTGGGGAGGTTGTTGGGGCGGGTGGGGTTGGGGAGGTGAGTGTGAGGAGTGTGAGGTGGAGGCGGGGGACTAGGATACTGGGTGGTTGAGGTATGTGAGTTTGCGTGCGTATGGAAACGGATGATGCAGTAAAACTTGCTCTCACCCCATCATCCCGGCCGGAAACGTTTGGCTCTACTCACCGCTTAGTCGCCACCTCGTCCGCCGTCGCATCTCCCGTTTCAGCTTCACCCTCTGCACCCGGTAGCCCACGCCCAACTCCACCTTCATCCTCCTCCTCCTCCTCCTCCTCCTCCATCCCGTCGTCGCCAAAATCTCCCTCATCTCCACCTCCACCCTCAACCTCCCCCTCGTCATCCGCGCCGAAGGTTCCGAAGTCGTTATCGACCTCCCCAGTCGTCGTCGCCATTGCATACTCCCGCGATCGTCCCACCCCTTGCTTTCGGGGAATAAGCGTTCCGGGTGGGTCTACATCCTCTGCACTATCTTCCTCTTCACCGACTCCGTCAACCGCCGCACTGTCCGCAGTCTCGTTCATCCCAGCTTCGTCAAGCTCCCCACTACCAACTTCAACATCTCCACCGTCGCCTGGCGCAGGAAAGGCGTCAACCGCCCCCTCGCTGCCGTCAGCTTCGTCGTCGTCAGAGACGAGTTGCGGCGAGTCGCCTAGCCATCTCGCGTTTGGGAACATTTTGCGTAAGGTTTGGACGAACTAAAGAGAGTCTATTGGCTTGGTCAGGATAACGCGTCTGGGTTGGTTACGGTCTTTCGGCGAGTTTCCCATCTTGACATGCCCGTTCCCACGATCCCCAAAACACATTGCACCTGAAAACATATACAAGACAGGACCTCCAGAGGTAGAGAACTAGCTGTGTTGGGGTGGGGCTTGAAGCACATAGCCTTTTTCTCACTTTGGCTCACTCTCAGAAACGCAATTCCACGCAATCTTGGAGAATCTCCCACCCCCCCAAGAGGAGTTTGATTCCTTTCCTTCCCGTGTCTAAGGAGTCTATCGCAAGGAATCTCTCCTCATATCAACAGAGACCGCCAATCTCCTGGCCAAGAGGGAGGAACGGCTAGCCCAAATTTGTGGTCGTGGTCGTAGGGCTGCTGCCCTTGCTTCTGATTTCCAGGTGGGAACCGAATTCAACCCTTACCATATCTGACGAGATGCATCTGGACCGAAAATAAAGCAATCGTATGCGGCGGCGTGACGCAGTAAATTGTTTGTTGGGATCTTGATATACGAGAAAACCATCACATTTGATTCATTGGGGGGATACATCTTGTCCTAACCTGCCGGCTGTTCCATTTCTCCGCGAGCAGGCTTTGCGTCGACCAGCTCAATAGCTATGCCATTGACGCGGAATCCGCGAGTGGTCGATAATTGGTTTACTGCCGGAGGATCTCCCGCTTGACCGCCCTTCGCTGTCTACTGCAGTTTATAGAGTCTTCGACACACTCCAGAGCGACAAAGGCCGACACGGCACATGAAGCGCGTGCAGACGAGGAATCAATGCGACTCCTGTTCCAAAAGGCTCTCGCGTTGGAGATGTTAAAGAAGAGTCTCGAAAATACTCTAAAAAGAAGCACTCCACTGCACGAAACGGACCACTGCCAAAAAGCCACGAAATAAGAACGCCAATATTCACACGACCCACGGCACGCACGCCGTCTGGGGCTAGTCAATCCGTAGGCACACGCCCCTCAAAAAAATCGAAAGCATGTCACGTCGCAGCACCCGATGCCATCGCTTCCACACCCATCCTTTACGCGCAACGGGTGCCGCGAAGTGAACTGCTCTCGATTCTTTTGAGGATTGTGACGTTGCATGGGAAGAACACGGACAGGATGGACCCGACTTGCAGTTTGGGATGATATTGCGCTTGGCCCTTATACGCATGCACGAGTTCGTACCCCCGACTGCGGGGATCAGGAAAGGACCTGCTTCATAGCCTGGGCTAAACCATCGAGAATGACGGGCTGGCGATGTTGCTCGCATACAACCCGTGCAGCTCGTACACAGCTCCCCTCCCGGGAGTCCGAAACGGATTCGGCGGACCGGCGCCGGTGGGGAGATTGCCCGATCATCCTTATCGCATCCACGCCGTACATGTCTGTGATCAACACGGGGAGGACGACGCTCTGGACCGCTCGACCGTGGCTTTGACGCACGAACCTCACCGCGAAAAGGACCCGCGTTCTCGAGCGTACTGTGCTGTGCTTCCCCGCGCTGTGGACGGCAGCCAGCTCATCAGGCGCCGATTTCGCCACGTCCGTCCATACACATGTCACGACCTGTCACTTAAAAGCCAAGGGGAACTCGACCGGGGTGCACTTTTATATGAAGCATATGGACATAACAGGAAATCTTCCATGCCTTGACGTACTAGAGATGTATGGGGAACAAAAGCTGTGATCATGTCTCGGCGAAGGAAGACATGGCCTGCCTTTCTTCCCGTGGCCGTCAGAAAACTTTTGCAGAATTCCACGTTTTTGGAGGTCTCTCCGTTGACCGCGCTTGTTTGTTCAACCTGCATAGGCCTGCGCCATGGCGTTGCTTCTATCTAGCCCGTGCCATTGACGATATATTACAGATCTAAGTAACGATTAGGTACAGTACATATGTGGGAACAGCTCTACAGTCTCGCCGTAAGCGGCTCCCTCCGCGCGGTCCTCCTCTCGGTCGTCGCGCCAAAAACACCGCCCAGAAACTCGCTCAAAAACCGTCCTCGCGGATCCACGCGTTGCCTCAGGGCGGCGAAATCGCCCCACCGGGCATACGCATTCGGGAAGTCGTACAGCTCGCGCCCAAAATGCTTGCCCCAGTGCGGCAACCCCCCGAACCGCGCCAGGATCGCCTGCACCTCCCGCATCGTCTCCAACCCGTCCTCGCGGATGCTCCCGTCCTCCGCTAGGTACACCAGCAACCCGACGTACACCACCGGGCCCGAGTGGGCCGGGTTGAGCCATGCGCGGGATTGGCCGGTGGCGCGGTAGATGAACGGGTAGTGCAGGCGGGATTTGTTGTTGAGCGACCAGGTGCGGAGGGCCAGGGTTGCGGAGGTGAAGTGGGAGAGGGGGAGGGCGATTTCGCAGTTGACTTGGGGGACGGGGATGCCTTTGGTGAGGATCTGTTCTTGGTAGCCGGTGAGGTCGCGGGCGTCGGCGAAGCGGCGGACGGTGCGGAATTGGGGCGGGAGGGTTAGGTCTGTTGGGGGTGGGGGGGTGGTGGTTTGGGCGGAGGGTGATGGGGAGGATGTCGAGGAGGGTGATGGGGAGGGGGAGCGGGAGGATGTGTCTGAGGAGGAGTCGTCGTGGGCGGCTTTTGTGTCGTGCGACATGGCCTTGCAGTATAGGAGCACAGTGTCGTTCAGCGCAGACGACGACACCTCGGCTTCGAAGGGTCTTACGCGGTCCGATGCCGCAAACGCCTTGTAGGCCGGCGAGTCCGTGTCGGCCGGGTGGGTCAACCACACATGCACCTGGTCCGTCTCCGGGAACCACCACACCTTCACAAACTCGATGCTTTCGTTCCACTTGACATACATCTGCAGAAACTCGGTGATATCACACGTCAGTTTCGTGCAGGTAAAGACCCGGCGGGGCGCGTGGGAAATCTCAACTTCCGTGACGATGCCCAGCATCCCGATCGAGGTCGCGAAGGCTTCGAGGGGTAAGTCCTCACGGCCGTTGGGTCCGCCGACGGTGACAAGGTCGCCGTTGGGGAGGACGACGCGGAGGGAGGTGACGATGTCGGCGTAGCTGCTTTGGAAGAGACCTTGGCCGTGGGTGCCGGTTGCGATGGAGCCGGCGAGGGTTTGCACGCCGATGACGCCGGGGCTGCAGGGCATCATGCGGTCGTGGGTTCCAAGGATACGGATGACTTCGTCGATAGTCGTTGCTGCTCCAAACACTGCTGTATCCTTTGTCATCCGTCTGAGGCCGACAAAGTTCTTCATGCTGACTAGTATAGCGCTGGGGTCGTTCATGGGCGTCGTCATAATCTTCTCATACGACAATCCAGAGCCTACGACATTGACGCGGCCATGTGTTGACCGAATCAGCTGTGCGAGTTCCTTTTTGGATGTTGGGTAGTAGATCTGCGAGTGCTTGGCGATGGGGTTGACGCCGGACCAATTGTAGAGAATGTGGGGCGATTTGATCTCCGAGGAGGAGACGGCGAAGGAGACGTGGCCGCCTCGCTTTGTTGATGATGATGTTGATGCTGAAGTTGAGGAGGATGTGGATGAAGTCGAGGATGGGCGGTGGGGCACGACGGCGGTGCGGGTCCGCTGGTTGAGGACTGCTGTCGATATCATGATGCTGTTGGTGTTGTGTGTTGAGTGTGAGGAAGGTCGAGAAAGGTCCTGTATGTTTGCTGCACTGTTTCTATAACGTCGGTCGAAGGCAAGGTTGCTCTGAACGAACGATGGGAAGGAAGGTATCGTGGGTAGTGTTCTAGCAGTGGTGTGCGACAACTACTCTATACTCTGCCAGAGAAGGGCAGCGGCAGCAGGGTCTATGTTTATATACGATCGGGCCCTCCCAACTATCAGCGTCGGAGAAACAGCAGACGAGAAAAACGTGTGAGCAAAACCGTTGTGTGTCTCGAGAGAACAACTCGATCCGCTAAGGAGGGGGGAAAATAGGATCGGGGTTTGAAAGTTGAGCTGGTGGGCGAGCACCGGCAGACAGACAGGCGTGAGATCCAGCTACGTGTGAGGACGGAAGATCTGATACGCCAAGTGGGGGTTGGGAGAAAGAACGCCGGCCACCGATAAGAAGACTTATGTTGGGTGTGGGAGCGAAAGGATAGGGAAAGGGAAGAACGAGAGAGCAGAGAGTTGCGCGGGTGGATCGACTTGTTATGGGATGAATTGGATGCTTTGAATTCGGAAGGCGATCTCACGGGCTTTTACTTCCTGTGGCAAGACAGCCAAGCCAGTCCGAGTCGGAGGTCGGAGTGGAAGGGGAGTGGAAGGAAAGAGCGCGCGTCTCATCAGACTGGGGATTAAGAATAGCCATGGAACATCGCCCGCCCCTCGCCGCTTTTTGCTTTTTTTCGCCTGCCTTTTTTTCACCGCCCCCGCAATGGAGGAGTTGATCAATGGAGACGCGCCTGCATTCTCTCACTCTCAGCAACTCCACGGGCTCGGCTCAAATACAACGCTCCACGCTCTCGGTTCTCGTTGCAACGTACCCCCCGATCGGAATCATCACATACCGCCGATGGGATGAATGATCGTCACCCAGAACTGGTCTGTGACGTCAAGGCGGGGATCCTATAATTTCTAATCGCCTTGATTGACTGACAGCGGCTGCGCAACTTGGCGGGCGCCTCTCAACAGGCTCAGCACCTTCCTCATCAGAATCCTCACTCGGGAGCTGTTTAATGTTGCAAAAGGATGGGCGGATTCGATCGTCTCTCGCATTGCGCCATGTGTCAGGCAGCACGGTTCGAACTTCGATGCGATGGAGGATGTGATTCGCCGTTTGCACCCCTCATCAGCTTTCTTCCGACGGTGCTGTGCTTTCTTCCTTGCTCCTCCACTTCATCTATTTGAACCCATATGGAATCGCCACGTTCAAATGTCCATGCCCCATTGCCCCTTCCCAAGTCGATCGGGCTTGGACTTTTCGGGCTGGGGTTAGGGTTTTCGGGGATCAGTCTAAGCCTGTCGAGTGTCTCAAGGGGAATGAATGTCCCCGAGGAAAGTTCCGGACGGAGGCGGTCTGCCGATCTGAAAATGACTTTCGCTCCTCTTGAACCTTGCGTCGGTTATGTATGGGATTCCGATTGGAAGCGCATACCTGGGGAAGGCATTTGCAGCACACTCCGATGCAATTGCAGTAGAAGCATGCATAGTCTCATAGTCCTGACTGAAACAACCTCTCCTGAGCGGGCATCTCGGTACACAGCTCGAGCATCTCAGCGATACCACGTAGCTGCCCGCCTCCTGCCGTAGCATTCGTCCGCGAATGCGATGTAGACGGGGTCAAAGACATTCGAGAACCAGTCAAGGAAGAGGTAATGAGTTGGGAACACTGGGATCGTGGCGACGCGGTCATTTGACGGGAGGGTGCCGTCCATTGCGCGAGTCACCATGTCCGAACGCCCTCCTTTTCCGTGTCCGGTTTGCACATGTGTGGATGCACCCTTTCGCTGAGCTCCGCACGGCTTTCCACCTCCAAACGCCTCCCTCGTGTGCTCCCCATACCAAGCCGTACTGTAGTCCTCAGCTAGCTGCTAAAGAAGCGGGAGAGTGAGAGACTTCCTACAACTACCTATCCCCGTCTACATCGTAGTAGTCGAGGAATGGCGGGTAAAAAGCAAACCACTCTGGGGTAAGGAATTCGTAAACAAGTACAGTCGGAAGAAAGAGGAACGACTTCGAACTCACCCACATACCCACAATGGCAGTTCCTTCTTTGGTGGGAAGGGTGCGGAGCCCGTTCAGAAAAAAGCCAAAACGACGCCGTCGTCGCCATCTGCCAAAGATCCCGAGCAGGAGGTCCGTAAACATCCCTGTTCCCCGTGCTTTGAAGGGTATGCCCGTTAATTCGAGCTCACCATCTCCTTTACAGAGTCAGAAAGATAGCAACCCTTCGGACCCCCCCGACTCAACTACAACCCTCAACCCCACCAAAGAAACAAAACCCAAACCACCAGCCCTCCCTGCCCAAACCCCGACCAAAGGCAAAGAGAACACGCAACACGGTCCAGCCACCACAAATGGCGCCAGCGGCGAAATCTCAGCGAAGAAACGGAAGAGTGGGGAGTCGCGGAAGGTCGAGTCTGTCAAGAAACGGCGGATAGTGGAGGATTCGGAGTCGGGGACAGATGTGGACGCGGATGAGGATAAGGAGGAGAAGAGTAAGGGTGACGACTGGGAGCCTGATATCGACATGGCGCCGACGGTCAAGCCGGTGGCTGTGGCTGCGCGCAGTGAAGCGGGAGAGAAGATGGCGGATAGTAAACCGTCGAAGGAGCGACCGGAAAAGACCGGTTTGGTCCACGGTCTGAACACATCCTCAAGCGATGACTTTTCATCAGTGGAAGAAGATGAAGAGGAGGAAGACGACAACCTCGCAAACCCCCCAGAGAAACCCGACTCCAAAGCCGAAACAAAAGCAACACCCCCCGAGAAACCCGACACCAAAGCGGAAACAAAAGAAACCGCCAAACTGATCGACAAAACCTCCACAATCATGTCCCACGGCAGCCTCAAATGGAAACCGGGCAGTGCAGTCCCCTACGCCGCGCTCTGCAAAACCTTCGAACTCATCGACGCCACCACCAAACGCCTCCAGATCCTCGCCTACCTCACCACCTTCCTCAAACAGGTCATCGAGCGATCCCCCGACGATCTCGTCGCGTGTATCTACCTCTGTCTCAACCGCATCGGACCGGAATACGAGGGCAAGGAGCTGGGGATCGGGGAGAGTATCTTGATCAAAGCCGTTGCGCAGGCTACGGGACTCTCAGCGCAGAGCATCAAGCAGGACGTGGCGGAACAGGGCGACCTCGGCACCGTCGCGCAGGCCCGGCGGGGACATCAGAAGACCATGTTCCCTCCACCCCCCTTGACTGTCGCGTCCGTCCTCAAAACCCTCCGCGAGATCGCCAACATCACCGGCCAGTCCTCGCAGGCACTCAAGATCAACAAGATCAATAAACTTCTGGTTGCGTGTAAGGATAACGAGCCGAAGTATCTGATCAGATCGTTGGAGGGCAAGTTGAGGATTGGGTTGGCGGAACAGAGTATATTGCAGGCGTTGGCGCATGCGGGCGCGTTGGCGGATCCGAAGGTGGAGAAGATGGGGGAGGAGAAACGGGCAGCGGTGTTGAGTGAGGCTGCGGCGACGTTGAAGCATGTTTACAAGTATGTTTGGGGCTTTCTGTTCTATGCCCGCATTTGTGGTCGACATATCCAAACGGCACTAAACCCCACCCCTCTCTCTCCCCGCCCGCCCGCCAGCGAACTCCCCAACTATGATGAAATCATCCCCGCCATGCTCACCCACGGCATCCCCGCCCTCCCGCTCCACTGCAAACTCCGCCCCGGCGTGCCCCTCAAACCCATGCTCGCCCACCCCACCAAATCCCTGCTGGACGTCCTGAATCGGTTCGAGAACGTCGAGTTTACGTGCGAGTATAAGTATGATGGCGAGCGCGCGCAGATCCATCTGATCGAGAGCGGAGATGTGATGGTGTATTCGAGGAATTCGGAGAATCTGAGTGTCAAGTACCCGGATATTGTGGAGGCGTTACCGCAGGTTTGCTTTTTCCTTGGCCGGTGGTCGCTTTTTTTGTTTGGAGAGATGCATGTGGCCTCATTTAGTTCATTACCCCGATTTTTTCAGGTGTTTAAGCAAGGCACGAAGTCGTTTGTGCTGGACTGTGAGGCCGTCGCGTGGGATCGGGAGAAGCAGTGTATTTTGCCGTTTCAGGTTTTGAGTACGCGGAAGAGGAAGGTTGGTTACAGAAGGGGGGGGGGGGGGGGGGGGGGGGGGCGCTGCTTGTTTGGGAGTTTTGTGTTTTGAACAGCCTTGGCTTTTGCGGGAATTGTTCATGGCATTTTGAGTTGACTTGCATTGGGGATGGCGTAGGACGTGCAAGCTGCTGATGTGCAGGTGCAAGTCTGCGTGTTTGCGTTCGATCTGTTGTACTTGAACGGAAAGGTAGGGTCAAGAGCGTACCCACCATCTTATGGGTCGCGCAATTCTTTGCTCACAACCCCCATTTTTGCTTTCCCCGTCTCAGCCGCTGACCGGCGAAACCCTGCAAACCCGGCGCGCCCTCCTCATCGAGCATTTCATCGAAGTCCCCGGCGTGTTTGCGCTCGCGAAGCATATGGAGTCGAAAGATGTCGAGGAGATCCAGACGTTTTTGGATGAGGCTGTCGTTGGTATGTTTTCATCCGAGAGCGGACGCACATTCCCAATCCCCCCCCCCCCCCCCCCCCCCCCCCCCAATACGCAAACCCACACCCCTACCCCCACACAGGCAATTGCGAAGGCCTCATGGTCAAAACCCTCACAACAACCTCAACCTACGAACCCTCCAAGCGGTCGCGCAACTGGCTCAAAGTGAAAAAGGACTACCTCGCCGGGCTAGGCGACACGTTCGACCTGTGCGTGATTGGCGCGTATGTGGGAAGGGGCAAGCGGACGGGGGTGTATGGGGCGTTTTTGTTGGCGTGTTATGATGAGGAAAGGGAGGAGTGGCAGAGTATTTGTAAGGTACGGACGTGCTGACGGTTGGGGTGGGGGTTTGTCCACTTCCCTGCATCCGTACACCCCACTCACTTTTTCAACCCCGCACCCAGATCGGCACAGGCTTCACCGAATCCGACCTCACCACCCTCCACGCCACCCTAACTCCCCACATCATCCCCTCCCCGCGGTCGTACTACCGCTACACCGACTCGCCGAACCTCACGCCCGACGTGTGGTTCGCCCCGCACGCCGTGTGGGAGGTCAAAGCGGCCGATTTGTCCGTGTCGCCTGTGCATCATGCGGCGGTCGGGCTGGTGGATCGGAACAAGGGTGTGAGTTTGAGGTTTCCGAGGTTTGTGAGGGTGAGGGAGGATAAGAAGGCGGAGGAGGCGACTAATGCTGGGCAGGTGGGTTGTGAGAACGTTGTTGGGTTTTGCTTTGTTTGCTTTGTGGAGGAGGCTGGGGGTGTGGAATTTGAGCAGTGACTGACCAACATTTTGTTTTCTATTCGGTTTCTCGCTTTTGTTCCCACTCTTACACCCCACACCTACGACACGCACACACGCTATGCACAAATGCAGGTCGCTGAATTCTACCGCGCGCAAAAGATTAATACGGCTGCTGCCGCCGATCTGGAGGACGAGTAGGACTACAAATGGAAGATGGGGGTGGGGAATCGGGGCCTATGTGTTTGTTTTCAGAGCAGTGGATACGTAGGAAAGAGGGCAGAGAGGACTTGGGAGGCCCCCGGGGGTTTTTGAGAAGTCATGTGCATGCCTTGTTCTCATACACTTGGGATTGGGTATGAAAATGCAACTGTTACCCAACGTTGCCATCTTTTGCACTTGGGTGTTTGGGCACTTGTGGGTTGAGCGCAGGGTTGAGCGGGGGTTAGGGTTGCTGAGCCTGTTACTCCTGTTACGTCGCGCGCGGCTGCCTGACGCGTTTTCCCACAACCGCCCGGCGTGTTTTCGCTCCTGCCAACGCCTGGCTCAGCACTAGACAGTCCCCAGACCGTGGAAAATGGCTGCGACTGCTGCTATTGGGGAAACAACAGGTACATACAACTCGGCCTCTAGGTTCTTTTGCGACGGCGGGGGTATGCTCTGCTTGCGCCGATGCTGAGCTTCTTGCCCGCGTCGTGGCCAATACCTGCTGTGCCGGGGGAATGGTCAACGGGCATGCTACACGTAACTCACCATGAGCGCTTTCCTCGAACAGCAAACAGCACATTTCGGTAGTCGAACGGCTGCGGGAAACACAAACTCCGCTCTAGACGCCGGACTTTTGCACAGGGGCTGCTAGGGGACGCGAAAAGCTCGGTTGTAGGACGCATAGAACCACATATGCATACTGGAAGTCGGCGGCTGGACCTGGAAACTGTGCTCTCCACCCTGCGCCTCATCCATTGAGAGCCCCCCGCGCGGTTTCCCCACTTTCGGACGTAAGAACAGCCCTCAGCTATGAACAAGTACAAAATCGCCAAACAGATCGGGGACGGGTCGTTTGGGGTCGTTTTGAAGGGGACACATGTGGAGACGGGGGAGACGGTACGTATGAGAGGGGGGGCAACAGTACGGGGGGTATTGAGACCTGTATCGCTCACCCCAACTTTTCAACGCAGGTTGCGATCAAGAAAATGAAACAAAAGTACTACAGCTGGGACGAAGCGGTGAACCTGCGCGAGGTCAAATCGCTGGCCAAGCTGAGCAACCACGTCAACATCATCAAGCTGAAGGAGGTGCTGAGGGAACATGACGAGCTGTACTTTGTGTTTGAGTTCATGGAGGGGAACCTGTACCAGCATACGAAGAATCGGGAGGGGAGCTTGTTTACGGAGGCGGAGGTTAAGAGTTTGATGTGAGTTTGGTTGGAGGGACAGGCAGGGCGAGGCGCGGCGTCTTGAAGGTGTTTGAAGTGTGATTCGAGTTGTGACTGATGCTGGAAATGTCTGTGCAGATTTCAAGTGTTACTGGGTCTCGCGCATATGCATAAGCATGGGTTCTTTCACCGGGACATGAAGCCAGGTAGGAGGAAGAGCCCTTGGGGGTTACCTGATTCAACTGGGTCCTCATCACCGTCTTGTTTGTGCAGAAAACCTCCTGATGGCCGGGACAACTGTGAAGCTGGCTGATTTTGGGTTGACACGAGAGATTCGAAGTCGACCGCCATATACGGAATACGTCAGCACTCGATGGTAAAAGCTGATCACTCGGAAACGTGCCGGCTGAGAACATCACTGACGTTGGGCATTGCAGGTATCGCGCGCCAGAAATCATTCTTCGCTCCACATCATACTCCTCCCCAATCGACATGTGGGCAGTCGGTTGTATACTGGCCGAGCTATTCACCCTCCGGCCCCTGTTCCCCGGAACCTCCGAAATGGACCAACTCTTCAAAGTCGTAGAAATCCTAGGCACCCCAGGGTTAGAAAGCGGAGGGAACAGAGCAATGGGAACAGACGGCGCCTTTGCCGGAAAGTACGGGGCGACAGCTGAAGTCCCCCGACAGCACATCACGGGTGGCGGGGCGTGGGCGGAGGGTCTGCGGTTAGCCGGGAGCATGAAATTTCGGTTTCCGCAGTTGCCGAGTGTCCCTCTGGCGCAGGTTATACCCAACGCGTCCGATAGCGCGTTGATGCTTATCGCCGACATGCTTCGGTATGATCCGAATCTCCGACCGACGGCGCAACAGGCCTTGCAGCATCCGTGGTTTGCGGATATGTGGGATACACCAATGGCGAAACTGGCTATGGCGGGGACAGTGGCGCAGCCATCGAAGGAGGCACTGGAAGAGCGGACGGCGGTGGGGCAAGAAATAGTGAGCAGTCGAGAAGGCTCCGCACGGCAGAGCATAGCGCGGCGAAGAAGTTCGCGCATCTCCCTCGATCGAACAGCGTCCGTGGCCTCCTCGCTCGATCTGATGCTGATAGAAAGCGAACTGGACGCGCTGGCAGGCCAGAACGCGCTATCTTCAACAGCAACGAAGGCAGCAACGGGAGAGGCAGCGGGTGGCTCACCCACTGGGAAAGAGATCGACTATGAATCCGAACGCCCCAACCGGGAGAGCGTACGGTTGAACCGTGACGACGCGGATCAGAACCAGTTCGGGCGGTGGGCCACGCCATCGTCGAAGCTTTCGCCTCGGCATAGTCGTGCCTCACTGAACGCACATCCGTTCTCGTTGCCTGCGCCCGGTAGTCGGAAATCATCGGCTTCAGCAGCGGGCGCTGGGGATCGGAGGGCACAGCAACCTGCCGGAACTTCATATTCACCGCCACATGCATCCTTGCAGACAAATGCGTCTTCCGATCCGTATGACATAGGTGGAGGGAGAGAGTCAGATACGGTTATGCGACAACCGAAATCGCGTGCTTCCATCAACCTGCAGGTAGCACCCGGGAGAATAGACCGCGACGGGAAGATCACGCCTTCCCGGCATATGTACTCCCCATTACCCGGCATCGGTGGTTTCGGAACCGCGCACACAAAAGACCCACCAATACATCGCGCCCCAGACACCGAACTTTCCCCGCAGCACCTGGACCGTCTTCTTCGTGACCTCTCCGATGAGCGCATCTCGGGTTGGTCGCAGGATGAACCGGCGCTGTCGAAACCGGAGAATATCACCCACTCCCCGCTGCCACAGATCAAGAGTCGAAGACAAGGAAAGGAGATAGCCCCATCGAATGCGATTCCACAACGGCGGCCGCGCGCGTCCGAGATGACGGCTGGTGAGCAAGTTGAGATGGATGTGACGAGATCCCATCCGGCGAACCTGCACAAGACTGCGGAAGCGGTACGGTTTGAAGCCAAGAGTCAAAGCCTTGGGGCGATGGATGCGCCGGCGAACGAGTCGTTGCTGTTGAATGACTTTGATGAGGATGGCGTACAGCGACAGAGTCATGCGTCACCGACGGCGCCGGGGAAGCGCTCGTCGCCACCGTTCCTTGGGGACTTCTTCTCTGAGCAGACAAATACACGAGGGAAGCAGTTGCAGGTGCAAGGTAATGCAAATGTATTTGGGAAAGAGCATGTTTGCAGTGTAGCCTAACGATCTTCTTCATGTGTCTTATTCCCTAGGACTCAGTTTCGTTCAACCGACAAACCCTTACATTCCCCGAGCCAGTCCCAACCGCGCCCCCAGGAACCACTACTCCCTAAACCTCGCCCAAGCACCATCCTTGTTCTCCCAGGCAGCAGCATCAAATCCCTTAGGTCCCCGATCCACCTTCACCCAGCCCCAATCCTCCTTCAACCCCGCCAACCTCGCCATCCCCGGCGGCCGCCTCCGCGGCAAAGCTTCCCAACCCCACATCGACCCCCTGTTCGCCGGCCTCCAGTCCAACGGCTTCCACCGCCCCAGCATCAGCTTCACCGCCCGCGACTTCCCAACCACCCAACGTCCGCTGCTCAACCACCACCCACACACCATCCCAGCCCCAACCGCCTCCCTCGCTGAGTCCCTCTCCCATCGGCATCAACCCACCTCCCCAACCCGGTGGATGGGCGCGACCAGCATCCACTCGACGAGTAATAGCTCGCTTAACAGCACGTCCCCAACGGGCAGGAGACGCGTGTCGGGTGGTTTGAATACGAGCGCCAGGGGGCATGCGGGGAATCCAGGGTCGTTTGCGTCGGGCGTTGTGGGGACGTCGGCGAATACGCACTCGGGGCCTGTGCTGCCGCCGTTGCAGTCGGGCAAACGCGCGCGCAGGTTGAATGGACCGTCGAATTCATTGCCTATGGCTTTTGGGAGTGCATCTCGGAGATGATGCTTCTCGCGGGTCTGGCTATATATACCTGAACGACTTTGCTGTACATGTTGTTCCTGCACGAGGGCATCTCAACGGACCCGCCGTGTGTACATAGATTAGGTTCCGGATCGAGAGTCCGATCTTCACTCGCTCTTCCCTCCCCATTCTGTCACATATTTCCGCATACGTTTCTAGCCTTGTTGGTCCCTAAATGGGGTTCGTTTCATGTCGTGTGTTGATCTACACAATTAAATGACATCCTTCCTTCATGTTCTCTACATCGCATACTTTCGTCGGAATTAGGTCCGGACTCGCGCCACGTTGTCGCAAAGCATACTAGGAATTATCGCCATCTATTCATCAGGTTCCTCATCAAGAGGCTCCTCGACATCCAATCTATGGTTTGATGGCGTGGTATCCTCTACTGGCAGCGGCGGACTTGGCCCTTGTTCCGGCGATACCGCAGGACCTAAGCAAACCAAAGGGTTTGTTGAACATCACATATAGCAGCTCTGGCCAATAAGCAACAAACCCACCTGTCCGAGGTTTGCTCTCCAACTTCTGCAAAACCTGAGCCTCGAGGAACTTCGTGCTCTTGGCCTGCTTGAAGAACGCGTTGTCGGCTAGTTCGCACGCTGAGGGTCTTCATGATCGCTTTGTTAGCAGCGTGGATGAATAGCGGTTGGGACTCGAAACATGTGACACACCTCCGCTTGGGGTCTTTATGCAGACACGCATAGACCATATCGTAGAACTCTTTGCTCATCGCTTTCTTGGTGGGGATCAACGGGCATGGGTACTCGAGTTTGCTTAGCAGGACCTGTGATGTGGTTGTCAATGTGGTTGCCACGCTACAATGAAATTGGGGGATGTACATACTTTCAGTGGCGGCCAATCGTCGAACGGGGTCCGGTTGAACGCAAGTTCCAGCGCAGTAATGCCGATGCTGTAGATGTCTGCCTTCTCGTCATATACCGAGTTCTGCATTCCAGCAAATCAGCTCCTGAGCTGGATAAAGCACAAACCCCAAGACTTCAGTGGTACCTGAGCCATCACTTCCGGCGCGGCCCACTCGATGTTATCCCCGACAATAGAAAACACAGACTCGAGGTACTGCCCGCCTTCCGATAACGAGATCATCTGACGCAGACCTGTGATCTTGATCTCGCCGTGTTCCACGAGGAGGATATTGTCGGCGCGGATGTCACTGATTGGAAAACACCATTCAGCAATGTGATCAGGCGTTCTGCGGTAGCACTGCTGGAGAGCTCACTTGTGAATCAGCATGTTGTCGTGCATATATACAATGGCTTTGAGCAGTTCGCGCAGGATGGTGGCTACTACCGGTTCACTGAACCCTTCCTGGAAGTGATTGCGCATGATGTTGCGGAAGGATCCTTGGGCGGCACAAAGTGAGCGAACCGGCAAAGGAACGAAGAAGTACGTAGGAGGACAGAGATTTCATACCTGCTTGCATCGGACATGTCACATTCCACATGCGCTCGTTCTCGACGAACGTGGTCCAGTAGGGAAGGATGTTGCGATGATGGCATTGGTTCGTGTTCTTCACCGTTCTCTGTGTTGGGAAGTTCCCAACCATCCGTCAACATTTGCAGGTTCGCATCTCAAACTTGCGAACCGCAACCCACTATCAACTCCTCTATCAGCTCATAATCGGGGGATATCGTCAGATCTGTGTATTTCAAGGCCACAGGATCTCCGGTCGGAATGTGTCTGGCTTGGTACAAGTACGAGATATCATCCACCCCGCCTACAATGTAAATGTAGCAGTGCCTTCTGTCTCAAGATCTCGGATTGAACGTTCTCGAAGCTCCAAGGGACTGGGTGCTTACCGATGTCGCTGATGAGCTCATAGTCCCCAATTTCGTTCGTGAAATGGGTTCTCTCCAACGATTTTCGATTATGAAAGATCCCCGACTATGTGGGACAGAACACTTCATGAATTTTGCTTAAGGTGGCCTGGGTTTTCTATGAATTGGAAGGGCATACCAGCGAGGAGGCTGTTGATCCTCGTCGATGATGTGAGGACTTCGACTTTGCTGAGGCCTTCCTGTCATGGGAGGTTTCTGGATGTACAGACATTTTTTCGCCACGTATCAAATGGAATGGAGTTGTGATATGCAACGGTAATCTCTCGTCAAAAAGCCACCGTATGGTGAAGCTTATTTTGATGCAGGCCAGTCTTCGCACTTTCTTGTCTGCTTTCCAGTTCCGGAATTGGGGAGAAATGGTCTTACACACGGACAACTGCCTGCTTCAAGCACCGTGAGTATGTAGATAACAATATGCATGTCAAGCATCGTACTCCTTCATACTGGGTGCATACTATAGGACCCAGTCGAAACCCAATGTCCACGATGGGCACAATCGCGCGCGCGACAGCCGACCACGCCCATGGAGCACCCAGTATGCGAGGAGTGCGACCTCGAACATGGAGCCTTCAGAGAGCCTTCAGCCCTAAGAGCACTGAGCAGCACATTCCCGGTAGTCATAGGTCATTCCTGCCTCCTTCCTTCGCCGTTTGTATATTTCTCTACACAGAGCAACCGTCCGGAGGCCATCCGAAAAGTCTAGCGCCCTTCCAGAGGCCAAATGTCATTCGAGAGCTTCGGCCCAAGTCTCCCTGCGAGACGTCCCCAACGGTCGGCCGACCACGAGCCAGCACCAGCACCTGTCCCCGAATTAACTACCTTACCCGACTCGAACGTCCTTGTTGAACTATCCTCGGAACCACTCGACCTGACGAAGCTTGTCGACTTCGTGCGGAGCGAAGAGGCGGGGGCCATATCGACGTTTTCTGGCACGACAAGGAATAATTTCACGGGTGAGCAGACAAAAGTACCACTGGGAGAGGAGCTGGACGTATAGGGATATGCGCCTAGAGTCTTGCACCTTAGGAAAACCTATTGATGTGTAGCGTCTGAACTCCGACAGTGAACGGCGTGAAAAAGCGAGTATTGCTTCTCAGTTACGAAGCATACGAGCCTATGGCGCTTTCCGAACTGCGTCTGATAATCAAAGAAGCCCACGTCCGATATCCCACCATCCTGAAAGTGGGAATAGCACATCGGACAGGGGATGTACCAGTAGCGGAAGCCTCGGTAGTCATTGCGACCTCGTCTCCCCAACGGAAGGATGCGATGCATGCCACCGAATGGATCTTGGATGAATTGAAGAGGAGAGTTCCGATATGGAAGAAGGAGGTGTATGATGATGGGAGCGTGTGGAAACAGAATGGGGAGTGCGACTGGGCGAAGGCCAAGGCTTGAACGGGGGGCTTTTTGAGGAATCGTTTACGCGTAGCTCGATAGATAAAATCTCTGTTGTAGGATAATGATACACTTTTCAAATTTTGGCAAAATCATATGCGCACATGACGTAAAAAACAGAAACATGCAACGAAGAAGAATGGGTGAAGAAGAGAATTGCGGAAGGCAAGTTCGTACAAGATGATCGGTGTCGTTTTGCGTATGGTCAACGCGAAGAGAACGCTCGAAGCAGACAGTGGCGAAAGTAAAACAAAGTAGAACAGGCGACGGCGTGGATAGATGAGTCTCACTCGATGGGAAATGCAGCTGCGAGCTTAACTCAGGCTGCAACGCCTCGGTTGGACGGGTGAAGAGAGGGTACCGAAACAGGCGGCATCACACTGGCCAAGGTCCAAAACAGAGTATTTGAGAAACAGTGTGATGAGATCCCGGTTCAAAAGCGTATACAGTACTCACATCATGCTGCCTCTCCGACTTCCCGGCGCACCGCCAGTCACGCCGGTCACCCCTACCAGATTGGCGATACTGCCCCTCCGACTGGCACCTCCCGTCGCCTCCACGGCCGCCGTAGCTGCAGCAGCGGACGCCGCCTGAATAATACCCAACTGTGAGGGCGGCGGGCGGGGAATGTGCGCCAATGTGTATCGCTGAGGCGCATTGATGGTGAATGGTCGCGTGGTGGTGACGCCGTAAGGGTTGGTGTGCAGCGCGGCTGCTGGATGCTGGTGATGTAACTGTTGATGCGCTGGAGCGGATTGCGCGGTTATGTTGCTGCTAGATGAGGTCGCATGTGTGGCAGCAAGAGCGCCGGACATTGGGTGCAGAGCAGTGGCGGCGCCCAAAGTCGGTTGCGGTTGGGCGGGTGCAAAGGTGGAGAAGAAGGTGTTGGGCTTAACCATACACCGCTTGTACCATTCGCGGTAGTAGCGTGGAAGCAAATCTGCCTGGATCGGTGCGTTCCTATTGGGCAAGATTTTGGTGGTAGTAATGAGACGGTATTCACTGTCGACGTCGCCCATAATTCACATACCAAGGCTTCGCTCCATCCCTTAAACGCTCTTGCATTCCCTTCAGAAGACGGTAGTCCTCGACCACCCTCTTCGTCCACGCCGAGTTGTACATAGTGCCAACGTAAGGCAACCAGTCGACCCAGTTCCAGTAGTTCCGACTGTGTCTATAGATTACGCGTGTTTGACCCGGTTGGGTAGGGACGCAGTGGATGGTCTGATGGAACTTGTGACCTTTGATGTCGGTGCAGATTTGGACCTAGAGTGGTGTTGCGTTATTATAGCCCGGATTTCCATGCTCAAAGGTGCTTCTTAAAGACTTACATGGCAGGGTGGAATGAATCGCACTTCCACTGGAGTTTCGGAGGTAGTGGGGCGAATTACGTTGGCCAAGACACCTGGTCCGTCAGTCAGAAATTTGATTTCGACTTGCACCGGAGATGGCGAGGGATGTGGCGGATGCGTGATCATATGGGTCGGGTGGGAGTATGCCAACTGCAGAGAAACGGCATTCTCAGCATGGGTCTTACCCTTCAAGCTTCAGCTAATTTTCGAGCTACTTACATGAGTATAATCGAGGAAGCTCTCCAGCAGAATGCTCTGGTCGATATCGAGGTCGACGACGCTAGTGAACACCTTGCCCCACGAGTCACGCGGTCCCTCATCATCCGAATCATCAAGGTTCTTTTTGCTAGCATTCGCGTTGGCATTTGCATCCAGTGAATCCCCCTCATCGCTCCCACGCGCAACCTTCTTCGAGACTGCGGCGCGTAGGGCGAATGCGGATCCGGGCGAGAGGATCGGAGGGAAGCGAGCGTGGATGTCGTACGCCGGCAGAGTCGGATCTCCTGGCCATACCTACAATTTGAATACGATTATTAACCAACATGACATGACTTGAGGGTTCAATAACAACGCGACGCTGCACAATCCGAAAAGGACGTAAAGACATACCCAAAGCATCCCGTCGGTTTCTACGGTAGGATATCGCCTCGCGCACGCATTTGTGGGTATATCTCTATCGGGCAGCAGCGCGGGTATCTTTGTGACGTTTCCTTCGGAGTCATAGCGCCAGCCATCGTATGCACACTCCAGCTGGCCTTCTACAATCCGTCCGAGAGACAAGGGCGTGCTGCGATGGGCACATTTGTCCTCGAGACACTGGTGGAAGTGATGAGTCGCGTAATCAGAGTTTGTTGATGTGGACCTTTGAACATCAACTGCCAGCAATACTTACCACAGCAGTGCCTTCACCATCACGCCACAAGACGATTGGATCACCCTGCATTGTTGGCGGATGTGTTATTACATATGGCCTGAGTTATGTTGCTGCACTGATACCATTCGCTCGTCGCACTTACGAGCAAAGTGGCGCCTAAAACGGCGCCCTTCCGCAACTCCTCCGACAAGAACACAGGAAACCACCACCTCCTCAAATCCGTGCTGGTGTGTTCATCAAAGAACTTCGCCCTGGCACGTTGCTGCGCTTGTGATTCAGGCTCTGTAGACTCCGCTTCAGCAGCACGAGCCAAACGCAAGTCCGGTGCGGAAAACCAGATCGAAGGCGTCGAGGTCAGTGGCGCCGGCTGAGCAAGCGTGGTCCGCGACGATGACCTAGGCGACCGGTTGAGTCCTCCCTCCAGGCTTCCGGAGCGGGAGCCAGAGGCGGCCAACGACGGCTGACGAGCGTAATCTGCCATGTTGCACTGTTTAACCAATCGTGCTATGGTGGTTTGGTTGGATTCGAATTCTTGCACACGACCGACAGATGTTAGAAAGAAGGTACAAGGCTCAAGGTCAAATGCGCGCCGTGCTCGGGAAGTCGCCCCTGTAATGCTCTTCAGGACGCTTCTGGATGGGATAAATGTGGCTTTTCTGTCAACAAGTGTCTCGGGTGCAAAGGAAACACCAGGAACAATGGTCGCATGGGGCGCTCGGAAAGGCGGTCAATTGCTGACATAACGCGTCCGCTGTACGCGTTATCCACCATCAGCCAAAGCGGATACACGGGGACTTACATGGAGAAGGTTCCTGCATGGAAATGAAGATTAGGAACGAGCTACCGCCTTCCTGTTTTCTTTTCCGGCGGAATAAGGCCCTCGAAGTCCCTGCACGACAAGAACGTACGGGCCGAAGGCGCAATTTACATTATGAACATTTTCTTAATGCTAATTGCACAAAGCCAAAAGCAATCATGGTGCGTGTTTTCCAAGTAGACTATCGCTCGCGCGTCACCGTTTGCCAGTACCTTTTTTCTTCGGCTGCCCCTTATCCGCCGCAACGCCTTGAGCAATCTCAGCTTCCGCACTACTTTCAGCAGCAAGTGCCGACTCTCGCGCCGCAGCTTCCATCGCAGCCACAGCCTTCGCCTGAAGCTCCTGAAACTCCCTCAAAGCCTTCTGTCGATACACCTCCCTCCTCGACAGATCCGTCTCCTTCAACGCATCAATCTGCTTGAACTTTTCTTCCAGCTTGTCCAGGTACATCTGCCGCATGTGCGACCGTTTCTCGCGGTCCTGCGCTCGGAGTTTCCGCACTGTGTCCTGATACTGCTCGTGCTCGCGGTGCTGCATCTGCCGCTCCTCTTCCCGTGCCGCTTTCTCCTCCTGGCTTAGAACTCTAGGAGGTCGCGTTAAGGCTGTGCCGGGGCGGGACGGCGGTGCGGAAGGCGGACGCGATGTACCGGGCAATCTCGGCGGGGTGCCCTCGTTGGAATGAATGCTGGTGAGATTGTCGATGCTCGGTCGAGCCATACTGACTGACGAGCCGAACTTGCTTTCGCGTGGCCGGACCGCGAGCCGAGATGCCGCTCGGGTGCCGTGAATCGTCCATGGCTTGTAGGGGACATTCTCGCCCCCCACGCCTGTGATCACCACCGGCCGTACAGTCCCCGCTTCTACCTGCTTCAGGTAGCTATCGCGTGCCTCTCGTGCCCGAGCAGCACGACCCTGCTGGGCAGCTTCCCACGAATCCTTCACCGCTCGAAACCGATCTTCTTTCTCCGTGTCCCGCGCAACCACCAGCGACGCCGTGTCGGTCGATATCAGCCGCAGTCGCCATACAAGCTCACTGTAAGTCTGCCTATCGTCCGCGCTGCTTCCACCGGCGCTTCCACCACCGATGCCCACGTCGCGTCCCAGTGCAGCTGAGCCTGTCAGGCTCCCGATTGCCGGTACAGCTGAAGGGCCGCTGATAGTTGCTGAGCGTTTCTTTTTGGCTGATGAGGCTGGTGGCGGCGCGGGTTTGGGTCCGCGAGATGGTGGTCTGTTGGATTCCGTGGGCGCCGGCGTTGACGAGGTCCCAATCAGCTTTGCGAGGTCGGTTGCCTCGATGGTGCCTTGGATGATGTACCTATGCTTGGGCTAGGGGGCGCGATCAGCTTTGTACATCTGCCATGCTTCCTGCCAGAGATGACTCACCGCAGGAGGCACATCCCCAGCGGCCGCATCCGCCAACGCCGGATCTATCTTCTCCTTCTCCTTCTCTTTCTCCTCCTTCTTTGCATCTTTCCCACCATCCTTCCCCTTCTTGTCGCTTCCTTTCGTCTCCTTCGTTGGCGCAGGCGCCACGATCTGTTCTTCCGTTTGTACCAGGTTGAGAACTGGAATGGTCGCAACGCCTTTCCCCCGTGCCGAGTGCATCTCCACTCCGTTGTCGAACACTTGCAATTTGACCCAGACGGTCGGGAAGGCAAACGAAAGCTGCAGAGAGACGCAGTTCGTCGGTGCGTCCTTCACTTTCACCACGTATCTGGTGCAGAGGAGAGTTGATGAGAGATCGTCGCCCCCAAGCACAGGTTGCTTCAGAGTTCACACTCACCTAAAGAGCAAATTATACTTATTCGGCGTAAAAACATCATCAAAATCCTGCACAATCGGCTTGATCCACAACTCCAACGGCTTCTCCGGTCCCAAAATCGGGACCGCCTCTGAGACATATCTCAGTTTCCACTTCCCAGCCGGTTTCGGGGTCAATGTGCGACACTCTGCGACGAAGGTGTATCCGTTCTTGTTGGGGTGGTATATCTGCGGTCGGAGAAGGTAGAAGACGAGGGGCACTTCTTCGCCGGTGTCGTTGTCGACTGCTCGGAGGCAGGTTTGGGATTGGACGTATTCGGGGACGTAGATATACGCGGCGAGGAAGGTGGGTTGGGAGAAGCGGATGACGTTTCTGCGGAGTGTGGGATATATACGATCGAGGTTAGCGCATCCGGTATGATAACGGAAATGGGATGTACGTACTTGACAAACAGAAACCATGAATTCGCAGGTTGAGCAGCGAAGCCATCATCGATGTCCTTCACATGGAGGTCCAGACGCTCCGTCATGTATTTTCCTTCGTCTTCGAGGAGGAATTCGCCGTCCCGAGCATACACTGACAAACTATATGCTGTTGGGCAGTTGACTATAAACTTGTAGGCTTGCCGGCTATGGAAAAACAAAGTGATGGACGATAAGTACCACATCACAAATCCATTCGAAGCGAGAAGAAGAGTGCCAAAGCACAGAAGGGCAGAGAAGCGACCTGCATAAGCAAGGACGTACAGAATCTCAATCTCACTCGTACCCGGCAGGTATGCGGAAAAAGCTCATCAACGCCGCGTTGGTGGACATCTTCAGCGCAAACGGTTTCTTCGACGCCGTGCCGCCTGTCCAGTCATATTCTTCGACCAGCACGCAGGATACTTGGGCGAGTTGCTCGCCTTTGACGCGGCCGTAGGTTGCGAAGTAGATGTGGACGGGGAGCTCCTTTGTTGTGTCTGAGAGATCTAAGTTTTCGGAGGAAATAAATCGTTTAGCACTCCGATGCTCATGGTCCAGGTTTGCGCTATACGCTCTACCAGTCACCTACAAAGGAGCTGCGGTGTCCGGAGTGTGTCGCTGGGTTTCGATGGATCTGGGATGTTGTTGATGGTTTTCATTAACTTGAAACTGCTTGGGCTGTGATACACAACAATTGCTCTAAAATAGCGGGGTTTCACCGTTGAGCATATGCACTTGATCAAATGGCATATGGTACACGGTACGTACCGGAAGGTTCGAAGGAAATCCTGGTACGGAATCCATAGATCAGTTGCGTCGGCAGAAGCATCCGCGGATTCATCCACTATCTTCGAGCCCGGTTTTCCTTCGGTCAGCTTCTTGGTCCGAAACCTGCATATCATCATGTCGTCAAAAAGGGATCACCAGCATATGATTGGGGCTCCTAGGGCTGAAACCTACCCGCAGCTGAAGTAACTCCGCAATTTCATGAGACGTTGAGGTATGATGCCCGGGAGTTCCCGAATGTCGATTACACCGAACGGACCAGACATGTTGTGCATGTCCACCTTATCCGTCACTTCCTAAGAGTACAAAGGGATAACCTTAAGGGGATGAACTGGCAAATGCACTCTGAGCTGCATTGGCACTCACCTCAACTTCTCGCCACGCCAAAACAATCACATGCGCATTGATCTTCCCACCCCCAACAGTCGCAGCCGGCGCGCCCGGCACCGCCCTCCCTCCCTGCGCAGACGGCATATTCGATCTATCACCCGCCGGCGCCGCCTGACCAGCTTTCTGTGAGGCCGCAGTAGGTACGGGCGCGAAGCTTGCCCGCTGGTTTGGTCCAAGGTAAACGGATCCAGTTTGCAGAGATTTGAGATTCAGTCCGGAGATGAGGGTCCAGACGGAGTTGAAGGGTTTCCCTTCGAGGGCGAGCTTTTCGGGAAGCCAGCCTTTGAGGGTGTGGAAGATGTCGACTTCACCGAATTCGCAGGTTGATTCGCCGTCTTTGTAGCTGTTGATAGTGGAATTAGAGACCGCTAGGAAAAAGATGAAATCATATAAGATGGCTCACCTCGTCGATACAACTTTAAGAATCGCTTTCGTCAAAAGCATCGGCCAAATCTCATGTGCAACAGGGGTCGAAATGAGGAGCACCCTTCCTTCGCTATCAACCGGAATCCGATCGTCCACCGTCACTTTCCTCCAAGCGCCCAGCCAAAAGAGCTTGACCGCATACTTCCCCGACACGTTGTACATGGGCAGGCCATCTTTCGTCTTTGGGTATATGTGATCCCACGGTGCGTATTCATCGGGTACGGAGGCAGCTCCGGGACCTCCAGATGCCCGCGATTGCTTTATTTGGTCGTACAGGAAGTGCAGGTTGCAGAGGATCGTCCGCATCAGTTCCGATGGGAGAAGGTGACGGTTAGTTTGGAAGAGCTTTGATGTTCCTGAGAGGGCTTGCAGCTCGTGATCTGCGACGCTTTCATCGTCCCCTGTTCCGCCAACTAGCTTGTGGGTGACTGCCTCCTCGTCCAAGATATTTTGGGGCGGATGTGGTTTCGACCCGTGCTCGGATTTATGATGTGCGTCCCCGCTCCCGCCCGTCTTGTGAGCACTATCATTGGCAATCGCGGGGTCGACTGGTGATGGGTCCGCATCACCTTCTGTGCGCTCCCCAGCATTCAACGAATCCGGAGTCTCCACGGTCGGGGTCCCAAGTCCCCCAACGCCCGCATGAGTATCATGGGCAGTAGACGGCTTTGTGACGTTATGTGACAACCCCGGCGTCAGAGCACCAAAGTTGAACCCCATACTCCCAGGCGTTGACGAAGCAGCGCTATGAAAAACATCGTCCTCCAAATGCAACGCCTGTATGCATATCGGCGTCGTTCCTTCCGGGGCCAGCTCGGCAGGCCGCTTGTACGCGTCAACGGATCCTCGCAGAGACCGTGGCAGCCATCCCAGCCCCTCCGGATCCTCAAACGCATGCTTGGCCGCCCACTTCTCTGCTGCTATCTCCGCGTCAGACCATTCGGGCCAAACCACGACCGGCGGATCCTGAGGCTCGTCTGTTGGAGGGTTTGCGGCGGCTTGGTTGACACCTCCGACGGGTAAGCCGATAGTCGGCCTATCTTGCCCACCAGCGGAAGATGACCGCTTCCGTGTGTTTCCGGACTTTGCCAGCCGGTCTTTCGAGCTTGATCCTGCCTTTTTCATGATTGACGGGTTTCGGCTGCAGCGGACGGCAAGAGGGGGAAGGGGGAAGATCGCTGAGCGACCACACTGACAGGAAACTCGGTGGTGTTTCTTGACGTAAGCAACCGTTAAATGTTTCACGTGATAGTGCGTGACCCTTGCGATAAATGCAAGATGACACGGAAGTGACGAAGATCGAGCAAGCCACTCTGACGGCTCCGGGTGATGTCACCCTTCATTTTGTGGCTTCGTCGTCTCTCTCTCGACAGAACAAGGTAACAACAACACGACCCCAGGTCACTTGCGGCCTTTGAATTTACGTTCGGAGGATCGATGTCTCATCGCGAGGTTTCCTCAGGTGAGTTGAAGATGGAATGAATGAGATGTACCCTGGGGAGCCCGCTGATGAATCTCAATCCACCACCGGCGATAAAACGTACTGTGCATGTTTGCAACCGCGGCAGGCCCGAGTCTTTCTAACCTACGTTGCGTTGCGCTCACGGTACTGGGAATCGGACGGGACAGTTGTAATGCACAAGGCTGGAGCATTACCATGGTTTATGGGTTGCATGGTCTGGGGAACAGGGCAAACTGTCAACGCCAATTAGCGGGATGCTGTCAGTAGTCACGACGCAAATGATGTCATTTGTGGTGCCCAAGCCCGCGCAACTTGTTCAGGTTATATGGGACATTGGACACTATTGCCTTAGGGAGGGCCCTGTTTCCTGTGTTTGTTGGACAGAGGCGGGGGCACGGATGACCCTTGCGTCAAAGCCACAGCAATCGCATATCGGGGGCGCGGGGAGCAAGGGGCAGATTCCTGCAAATATAAAAGCACCTGCTTGCCTTCCCGTTCCCTGCTTGCCTCGTCTTCAGAACCCCACTCTGACTTATTGACGCAACTGCACTGTCTTGGAAATCCTTCTCCCACAGCAATCATTAATCGAAAAACGATATAGCCAGCACCCCATAACAACTACCACCATGGATATCGTAAACGCAGCAATGGGAGGAGCAGCCTCCAACCTTCACCAGGCAGCGAACACCGTCCACGCCTCCACTCCCGCACATGGCGGAGGCACACCACTCATGGCATTGGCATCGTATATGATGTACTCGGAAGCCGCCCTTATCCTCCTTCTCAGCGTGCCAATCTACATTCCATACAGGAGACAACTGATGGAGTGGCTTCATTACTCACCAAGGTGAGAAAAAGAATGTTTTAGTTCTAGGTGGCTGACAAAACTGGAAAGCTGACTTGGACCGTCTTGATCACTTCTAGCCTCTGGACATTCCGAGTGATCATCGTTTGCATTCACGCCTTTGTTGGAATCCTCTTGGCAGACACCTACCTGCGTCTCAACCGCATTAGCCTGCAAATCGAGGGCATCCAAGCCGCCCACGCCCAGGTCATGACTGGCGGCGCGGCCATCCCCGGCGCCACCCCCGGTTACCCTTCAGCCGCGACGATGGCCCCACCGATCGACGCTTCCGGCAACGTCTCCAACCTCAACGACCTGTTCTCGGCCAAATTCCGCGGCCAGCGCGACTTTTACGTCCTCGCATTTACCCTATTCTGCTCAGCGGTCCTGCTGAACCTCCACATGGTCCTCATCAAGATGGACAAGTTCCGCGCGCAGAGGAACGACCTGAAGCAAAAACTCAACGCCCTTCGCTCGTTTCCCGCCAGCTCGGCCAACCTGATCGACGACGGCGCCCCCGCTCCTTCCGTGACTGAGACCGCCGCTAACCAGGCCAACAAGGTCGCGACGGGCATCACCAGCACCGTCAAGAACGCCACCAACATCGTCGCTGATAAGATGGACAGCTTGCTGCACCACCGCGCATCGCAGCCTGAGATTGCGCTCGGAACCGCACCGGTCGCGCAAAACATCGATGCTGTCGCCGCGCCGGCAGAGTCCGTCGTGCAGCGCACTACCTACGTTGTTCCCCAGGAGCTGTAAGCTTCATCAACCTCACTTCGCGGCGCATTTGGGAGATGTTGGGCATCTATATACCTCCACGCGTGATAGGCGAATAGAGCGGGATTGAAGCTTCAGTACCCAGTCTCTAGCATATCTTTGAGGACTGTCGTATTCTTTCAAAACCGCGCTGGCTGTCATCTCTGCTGTTTTTGGGTTGATCGTCAACTCGGAATCCTGTTTTTGCTTTTCTTGTATAATAAAATTTGATTCTTGGGCATGATACCTCAATCTTGGAGCTTCCCGTCTTCAGTCGTGTCCCAAATGAAATTTGATGGCGTGGTGAAGCAACCATTCATAGCGATACGGAGTCTTCGAAGCTGAGGCTCAGGAGAAGAGCGGAATGATAAATAAGACACACAAGACGCAAAAAACCTCTCATTCTATTCTCCACAACCAAAAAAGAAGAAAAGGGAAGGTCCGAAGGAATTTGATAACAAAACACATGCGGGTAAAGGGTCAAAGGCAGCGCAGGGTGGTGGTAGTAGTTGTACGACTTTTGCAAGAAATGTGCAAGGGGATCCATTTGTGGGAAGGAAAGGGAAGGGGGCTTCTTGTCGCGACCTTATGTTGCCAGCATCAGCTTGATTGACTTTGGGGTGGCTTCGTCGTTGAGATGGAGGGTGGAGTAACGGAGGGAGTTGAGGAGGTTGTTGCTGCCGGAGCCGCCGTGAGATTGGATGACTTTGACGGAGGCGCGGATCTAAGGGTGTGACGAGATGTACGGGATGTTAGCATTTGGAGAAGACGCAGCCCAAATTTACGTCGATAGCGCAAGGACACAGGAAGTCCATAGAGCCTCAACCCTCTGCCCAGTTCGGGCTCCTATTGCCTCATAAATGCCTAAGACCGCCCCTGACCGAGCCCCTACATTCGGGAATCCCTCCAACCTTGCAAGTCTTCTGTCTCGAGATCACCGAACTTACGTTGACTTTCGAATTTTTGCCGAAAGCCCCTTCAGGATCCACATGATCGTACAATATGATCGCCACTACGAGCACCCGCAGGCAGTATGGGATCATGGCGTCCCGCGCGCGCTCCTTGACGACGGCGTTGTAGGATACCCCGCAGATGATGGAGAGCAGCGTTGTTGTCGAGTCCGCGCTGATCCTTGGATTCTGTGGATACAAAACGGGTCCGAATTTGAGCATTATTTTCGCATGTTTGCGGTTGATTAAGGGTAGTTATGGATCGTACCTCCTTAAGAAGCTTCAGGGTGGCGTCGACCATCGCCTTGGACATGGGATTCGCGTGGGCGTAGAAAAGGGACATGCGGTTTGCTAATTCGTCGGGAACCACGGTGTTTTGCTGGGACTACGGAAAACAAATAACAAATTGAATTAGCCATCACCACAGTAGAAGGAAGGTAATTCGGAGTCACACTCACTGGGTTGGCCATTCGCATCCGACTTGCTGTGCGGCGGTAATATGAGAAATCGTTCTGTACATTTGGATTGCCCATCTTGAAAACGGAAAGGACGAATGAAGGTCAGCGAAATTAGAAGATGGTGGAAGAAAGGGGCAGAAAGGAAGTGCATGCTATGTAACCCACCTTCAGCTCGTCAAAGAGAGACACAAAGTGCAGAATATCCCCCAACTGTTTCGCTGTCGCTTGCCGCACTTCCAAATTGCGCATAACGTCTCCATCACATAAGAACGCTACCAGTCGCGGGAATGCCTCCTCTGCGTATCACAATTAATCAGGATCCGATGCGGGACGGAATTTGTCCGGCAAAGTGTTGTTTCTTACCGAGCCTTTGGGCAAACTCGTAGTACTCCCGCAGCTGTAGCACGGCAGGACATAAAGCAGCCCACGCAGCTTCCTCGCTCTCTTTGCTTGGACTTGCGATGGCCTGTTCGAAGGGAGAAGTAAGTCAACGTTCATTTGCGGAATATATCCCTTGTGCAAAACGCGTCAGACATTTTACCTTTCGAATCTCCTCTTGACACCCGGGATATTCCCTCAAAGCGTCGAGGTATGTTGACGATGGCTGCATAATTTGTATTATGTAGTGGTATATGTCTGCTTCTTCCGCCGTTGGCTGGGCCCCTGTGAAAGTGATGAGATTAGGGTCATAGTTTGCAAATAGACGTTTTTTGCTCATTCGCATTTGGTCCTAGCTTTCTCCCCTCCCCTCGCCCAACCTTCCAGCGTTATGGATGATATGCTCAACATCTTAAGCGAAACATGTCCAGTTTGACCGCGCTTCCGCCCATAACCTCCCGACCTTTGCGAGCGTTCGACGCGTTCCGTCCGAGTCGAATTGCGTGCCCACAGCAAAATCGCTCATGCTCCCTTACCTGCGAGGTCCACTGGTATATCGATCGGCGGCTCATCCGTCGGGCCACCACCCCGAAGAAGTGAGAGCAAAGCCCCCATGCTTAATGTCGCTCAAGTTACGATCCCGGGGTGGAGTTTCGTTCGGATGGCCTACTATTATGTCTCCTCGTTTGTTCACGAGTGCTGTGCAATATCTCCCGTTGGCGCCAGCGCTTTTCGTGCAGCTGAACCGCAGTCCGTTTCCCCGACGGTGCGTGATTTACAGCGAGAGTGTCACAAACTTCCAGAACGACTCGGCGAGTTTCGAGGCAAGATGGCGACGGACCTGGTTGGGTCGCTGCGGCTTCGAAGCTATGCGATAACTGACGGGCGGGCGAGTGTTCTCTAGTTCCTACTATCGTCGAAAGTTTCGCGACACAGAGAGTCGCAAGAGATTGCAGGAATTCAGACGAGCGAGATGTCCTAGGCAAGCGAGCTCCGCAGGTGATTCCTCGTTTTCTCAGACGCTTCGGGCGTCAAGGACGGTATCCGGAACCGCTTCCCGGACGTGTATAAATATGTGCAGGACAGGAATAGATATAGGCTGTGCGCTCATAAAGCGTTCTATGTGTGTTCTGGAGGGTATGAGCGGTAGGTCAAGTGCGGGAGGAAGGAGGTGCCAGCGGCACAAAAGCGCTTGGTGCGGCTGCATCTGCAGGACGACAGCTGGCTCTTCGCGGCTCGGTCACGAGATGTCATCGACCCCCCATCGGCGCAAAAACGCGCATGCTGGGGTCGCTCACTTCCGCTCTCAGAACTTGACACCAGAAGCCCAACACGCTCCTCAACTCAGAGGCGCTCGAAGGCTTCACATCCTTGCATGCTGCATCAACGACCGCATACGTGAGCGACTGGAATCATTTTGACACTCTAGCATCCACATAGAGGACGCTCCCTACCATCCTGGATGACACCGGTACTGATGATTGCCAGGGGTCCGAGTTTGTTTCTACCGACACTCCCGTCTAGGCTTCAGATATGGGTGATGCGAGGGGAACAAAGCTTTCATAAGGCCAACATAGTCTCCACATCCATATTGAGGTAAACCGCTGGACGTCAACGCATGTAGAGCGACGAATCGGCTAGCATGTAAACCATACATTCAAAAAGTCACTTGATTTATAGAATGAGACCCCAGCTGTTTCCCAAGCTGTCGCCGGCGACTTGCGAACAACCACTCATTCCCATTACTCCAAGCTTTATTGCTGCCAACTTGGTGAAAACCGGCGCGCTGTCGAGTTTCTTAGGTAAGCACGACGCATATGAAATTCTCCTACCATTGACAGGACGCCCACGCACAGGCTTGAGTCATGCTGCTTTTATAGTAGGTAACCGTACACTCAGACAAAAGCCACGTTCCAACTCCAATTTACATTAGTGCCGTCAATCAAGCGCTCGTTTCAAATTCAAGTTGCTAGAACCAATAGTCGATCAGCCACGACGTAGTTATCACGGAGCTGAAGCCGCTGAGTAGCCGGCGTCACCATGATTGTTACCGCGCAACCAGGGGTGGACTTGCAGACAGAAGCAAGAACGTATTTCGAAAGAAAGCGGATTGGGCAAATTCTAGAGGTTGGGGCTCTGCTCATCTACTTTCGATCGTAAGACTTGCGCTGCGGAACTCAACTTTTCCCTCATCCAATAGTGTCTTGTAACGGGATTAACCTTCAGCCGGCCAGAGGATCCGCTGGCATACATCGAGGAGTGCGTCCATCGCCTTCGCGTGGGCGACCTACCCGACGGCAAATCGCAGTTGAAGTGGGACGTTTTCATACCTCCGCCACTCCAATCTTCCACCGCAATCGCAGCTTCTTTGCCTCGCCCCACATCGGTCAAAAAGCCCAAGAACGCCGTTCCGCCATTGAGAAAACGCCCCGCTGCTCTGCCTCCTATGCGTCAACAAGGAATCGACCTGCCTGTCGTCGGTGGGGAGAAACCGTTGAGCAAGCGCAGTGCTGGTCTGAGAAAAGGAGATGCACAGAATGGGCTCGCGGACGCTGCAAATCATGGAAATCAGACCGGCGGTGGAGGCTCCCTTCTGTCAAAACCGCTGCCACCCATCGCGCATGAGCAACCCGTGACAGCGACCACGAAAGCTCAACTGAGCCCTGCATGGGACAACATCGTCTTTGTCCTCGGTGGCCCAGGATGCGGAAAAGGCACGCAGTGTGTTCGAATCGCTAAAGATTACAACTACTGCCATTTATCGGCAGGCGACCTTCTGCGAGATGAGGTGGCCACCGGGTCGGAGCTGGGCCAGGAGCTCAACCAAATGATGAAGGAAGGCAAGATCGTCCCTATGCACGTGACGATCCGGCTTTTGAAAGAGGCCATGGAGCGTGCACCACCGACTTTCAGCGGTTTCCTCATCGACGGGTTTCCGAGACAGCTTGACCAGGCGGTTGCGTTCGAGGAGCAGATTAGGCCGTGCAAGTTCGTGCTATACTTTGAATGCTCGGAGGCCGTGATGGAGAAACGGCTCCTGAAGCGTGGGGAGACTTCAGGACGAGCAGATGATAACATGGAGACGATCAAAAAACGATTCAAGACCTTTTTGGATACCAGCTTGCCCGTCATCCGAGCTTTCGCAGAGAAAGGCAAATGCGTACAGATTTCATCTGAGCCCGCGCCAGAAGAGGTGTACAAGGTGGTCAGGAAGAGTTTTGATGCGCCAGCTCCGCTCAACCACCCGAACATTGTGTTTGTGCTGGGAGGACCTGGGTCGGGCAAGGGCACGCAGTGTGTGCGGTTGGCCAAAGAGTTCAATCTTGCCCATCTGTCCACCGGCGACCTACTCCGGGCCGAGATCGATACAGGATCTGCTATCGGCCACGAAGTCGAAGGCATCATGAAAGAGGGCAAGATGGTTCCCATGCGAATCATCATGGGTCTTCTTCGCAGTGCTATGGAGCAGAACATGAATACACCGGGGTTCCTTATCGACGGGTTCCCTCGTGCAATGAGCCAAGTAGTCGAATTCGAAAAGAGCATAGGGCCGTGTAAGACGGTCCTTTACTTCACATGCTCGCTGCAGACGCTGGAGCAGCGTTTGATCGAGCGCGGAAAGACGAGCGGACGCGTCGACGATAACCTCGAAACGATCCGAAAGCGGTTCCGGACCTTCATGAACGAGAGCGTGGAGGTGGTCGAGTGGTATAAGCAAAAGGGCACAGTGATCGAAATCTCCTCCGAGGCACCCATCGAGGACGTCTACCAGACCGCCCGCAAGGTCTTCGTCCAGGAGAAACGTCTGGACCACCCTAACGTCAACTTCATTCTTGGCGGGCCTGGCTCGGGCAAAGGCACCCAATGCGTGCGGCTTGCCAAGGACTTCAACCTGAAACACATCTCTACGGGCGACCTCCTCCGCGCTGAAGTCGAGCAGGGCACGGAGGTGGGCCGCATCGCGCAGGATATTATGGTGCAGGGCAAGATGGTGCCAATGGATCTGATAATGGGCCTGCTGGTGAAAGAGATCAAGAACAATTTCGGCGCCAAAGGTTTCTTAATTGACGGTTTCCCGCGCTCGCTGGATCAGACGTTAGCGTTTGAGCGGGTTGTGGGTATTCCAAGACAGGTGCTTTATTTCAAGTGCCCTTTGGATGTGCTTGAGCAGCGCTTGCTGGAACGTGGGAAGACGAGTGGGAGGGCAGACGATACGCTGGATACGATCAAGCAGCGGTTTGTGACGTACGAGAACGAAAGTCTGCCGGTTGTTGAGCATTATCGGAAAGCTGGAAAACTCGTTGAGGTGCGTTCAATTGCACTTTATTCATTTGTCAACAGTGTGCTCAAACGCTATGAACTGTTCCAGATTTCATCGGTACCACCTGTCGAGGAAGTCTACAAGAACGCTCAGCAGTACTTCCAGGACGCATCTTCAGCCCCTTCCGAGCACGCACGACCCTTCGACGGGAGGAATCTTGTCTTTGTCCTGGGCGGTCCTGGTTCAGGAAAAGGTGAGAATTTCGCATCTGATGACGATGTAAATTTCTTGATGACAGCGAACGACTAGATTATTTTCATCTAAGTAACTCTCTCTTCTGCAGGAACGCAATGTGCTAAACTTGTGGACGAGCTGCACTGGGCGCATTTGTCTACGGGCGATCTATTGCGAGAAGAGGTTGCTCGGGGATCCGAGCTGGGCAAGAAACTGGAGGCTGACATGAAGGAGGGGAAGATGGTGTCGATGGTAAGTTGGTCCGAGGTTTTGTTTTGCACATTTATGAACGACATTTGGTAACCTGATGAGCTCTGCGAAGGACGTAACACTGCAACTGCTTCTGCAAGCGATGAAAGAAAAAAGCGACGCAAAAGGCTTCTTGATAGACGGGTTCCCGCGAACGATGGAGCAGGCCAAAGTGGTGAGCGCTTGGTTTGCAACAGATATGTTGCGCATATCTCCTCCGGCGCATCGTACTAAGCTCGCCTCATATCCGTATTTCAGTTCGAGGACACGATAGGCCGCTGCACCTTCGTTCTGTACTTTTCCGCCAACCACGAAGTCCTAACCGAACGCCTTCTCGAGCGCGGCAAGACCTCCGGGCGAGCCGACGACAACGCCGAGAGCATCGCCAAGCGGCTGAAAACTTTCGACGAGATGAGTCTGCCTGTCATCCAGCACTTTGCTAGGGATGAGCGAGTCAAAGAGGTACGTTCATGCATCCGCCGGCACGCTTTTATAAACCCATGGCTTATGGATCACTGAGTTTATTTATGTTCTCCTTTAGGTCGTGAGCGAAGGGTCGATAGACGAGATTACGAGTAGGACTTTACATTGTTTTGAAGGCCTGGACTGATTGCCGTTATGTAGCAGGGAATAGCGTTAGGACAGAGCGCCTACCATAGACTGATAGGAAATATGATGCCATTGATCATTTGCTGCCAGCGGCCTCGCGTGCAAGACTCTTCTACACTTCTCTAATGTATTTGCGGCCAGAAAAAGGCTCAATGGCAGGGCATCATGAATTAAGGACAAATGCAACACATGTCAATAGATAGGATGAGCTACGCCGATGCCTCCCTACCCCTGCGTTCGGATGTCGCAAGCCTTGACCATGTATGTAGCGTATCATTCGTAGCAGCGCCTACGCATGCGCGTCAGGGGAGGTGCTGGATATCCCTACGCCCGATGCGATCGGAGAGCCGCATCATCCACTCCATGACGTTCAAAACCCTTTCCTGCGGGTTGGTGCCTTTGGCGTAAACCAAGGCGTTCGCGGCGTTGTCGATATACTTGGTGTCAAAGTCGATTTCGTTGCTGATTCTCGTTGCTGTGGGAGAGGCTGTGCAGCCGGTGTGGAAGGTCCTGCCTGTGCCGTACTCCTCAATTGCATTGCGGCTACGCGGGTCTTGGTTGGCGTAACGCTGCTTGTCACTGCCGTTGGTAAGGTGATGGTGTGGATCCAGTGTCTGTCGTGACGGCGGCGACATGGGAGCTGGGTAGCTGCCGAAGGGTAGGGGTGTGTGGTTGACGAGTCGCTAGCACAGTGGGTGTGGGTACAGATATGACTTTGGCAGTGGTCACAGTCATCGCGACGGAATGTGCGGGCATGTTCACATCATCGATCCTCGCTCGCTTCTTGGGCGGGGTCCGCGTCGGTGTTTTCACTTGCGGTGCATGCGACAAGGCTGAGGATGGGCCGTCGGTGGCGGATAGGTTGGCTGTCTGCGCTGCGCCGGTGTCGGGGTGATCATTGCGCGAATCGGTGTCGCCAATCGAGCGCTTGCGTTTGCCGGGCCGTCCGACAGGTGAGGCTCTGGTCGTATAGAGCATGTCCTCCTCTACGTGTGTTGTGTCTTCACTTGCGTGGTCCTGCTCCGGTTGCTGTGTCTGATCCGGCTGCAGCGGAGCCTCGAGCGGAGTTTGCAAACGACCTATGCTCTCAACCACTTCACCCTGGGTACCCTTGTCGGGCTGGGACTCAGCAGTATTTTGGGCTACAGCCAATATCGGTTCCGCGTCCGCATTTACAGTCGCTGTCAAACCGCCCGCATCCACATCCTCAGGTGCCTCCTCAAGCATCCTGAGTACATCGTCCAAATCTGCTGCCGTAAAGGTATCCCTGCTCCCACGTTGATCGGTTTGATCGGAACCGTTGTCCACATTTGCCTCCACCTCCACTCCGCCCCTTTGATGGTATCCCTCCTCCTCCTCGTCAAACAAGGCCTCAACCTTGAGCCCCACGCTCTCAACCCACGCTCGTATGTCGTCACTCAATTGCTCGCGTTGCCGCAGCCCAAAACGGCGCATCCACGCGGTGCAACGATACTGCGCTGGAAAGAGAATGGCTGCGCAGGTTGCTTTGGCTATTATGAGCTCTTCTAGAGCCGGTGAGAGGGTGTTTGGTGCTGATGACGGTGCTGGGGGAGCTTGGGAAGGTTTCTGGGACGGCGATGATGGTGGCGAGGGAGATGATTCAGATGCAGAGGACGTCGACGAAGTAAACGTAGATGAGGACAATGCCAGTGATGTTGAGGATGATTTTGATAGCGATTGTTGTGACACTTCTGGTGGTGCTTGTTGTGAAGGTGATGGAGGCGCACGTTCAGAGAAATGAAATGCGGGCCACCAGTGCTTGCGTCTGGCCCAATGTTCGCTTTCCGAAGACATTTCGAGTGTAACGTTATGAGAATGAAGATGATGCAGGTGGGTTGCGAAGCGGGTCCAAACGTGAGCCGACACAGCGGTGGTGTGGTCCAGGCGCTCGCCGATAAAAGCGATGATGTCGAGGGAGATCTGTGTCTGAGTACTGAGCGAGGGCGCTGGCAGTGGGGATTCGTCTGTCGAGGCCTTCTCAATTCTACTACCAACTACCGCAGGAGCAGGCGCAAAAGGGGGCGCAGAACTAGACCCTACAGCGCGCCATCTACCTTCCAACTCCTCCAACAGGGGAAGCAACGCAAAACCTTCTTCACATACAGGATCCAGCATGAGCACCTTTTGCGCAACGGGCAACCACTCCTCCACCTTCGTAGTTGCGGCCATGCGGGTGCGCATGAGATGCAGCAGATACCTGTACCCACAAAGGTTTTGCGGAGTAGCTTCGATAAACTGTAATAGCTTGTCTTTCGCGATATCATCATCACCTGCAGCCAGCAGCAACTTGAGGTGGTAAAAGAGGAACAGCTCGTTGCGGTCGTCGAGCGTGAAGGATACCGCGAGATGTCGGAGTGCATTTGAGTAGTGCCGTGATGCTAGATTCCCTTCCGATGCCATGTCCAGGTTGAGTGCTGACGATGTTGCCGTAAACGACGCTTGCGATGACCATACACTGCCCTGAGATTGGTAGCTCTGGCTCCATGGGAGGGCTTGGTCATCGTCGCCACCATCAACTCCACTACCATCGCGCTGTGCATCCTTGCTCAGCCGAGCAGCCTCTCTCCGCCACAACACAAAGCTTAGAACGCCAGCGTAACCGACCAGTGCAGCATGCTCATTATAAGGGTAGGTCGACAGGTAACCTTCGAGGCGGTTGTAACCTTCCTCAAACATGCCGAACCGCATGTAGTAAAATGTCAGTTCGAGAAGATGTTCTGGGCTAACGTTGCCTTCCATCCCGCTCATCTGCGCTACAAAACGGAGGAGCCGTCGTGCGCCTGCTAAGGATTCCACCCGGGCTTCCTCGTCCTCTTCCTCGTTTTGATTGTTTTCTTGATCGGTTTCATCGTTCTCTTCCGTACTAACTTTATCTCCAGCCGTTGCCTCTGAGGGTTTAACTCCATCGCCCTTCTCACATTGCCATCCCCTTGTTCTCAATACAACCCCGTTATGCCCCGCATCGTCGTCCTCTTCCATCCGAGCACGGTATGGCACAAACCCACGCAACAGCTCGACACCCACCCTCCACATAATCTCCCCTGCCACAGCAGGACCGCGCAGCGGCAATTGTTGCAGTAAGGTTTGTGTCGCTGCAATCGCCAGACGGTGGTGTGCATAGTTCGTCCTGTTGCTGTTACTGTTGATATGACGCATCTGGACCTCCCCGTCCAGCCGCAGTAGACATGACCTTATAATAGTACGCAGATGGTTGCCGGTCGTTGGCCGCACGCCGCGGCGGTCGTGCACCGCCTGAAATGCGAGAGAGTCGGACGGATATGGTCTGTACGACTGCTGTTTTCCGCTCATTGCACTTATACCGGGCGGAAGTGAAGAAGGCCAGGCCGAGTGCTCAAGTTCTCGCTCCGGACCACAATGACTCTCGCTAGCTCGCTAGGGCTCTTTGGTCCGTCCGTGCGTGGCCTACGCCGACGATGCCAGTAGCTCCCTAGACAGCGACCTTGAATGCACTTTCACGGTGGACAACGCGTGGAGACGCGTGGCTCGATAATCCCCGACATCGCCTACATCCCGCAGCCGATGAGACCAACTAGACCGGTCTGAGGAAACTTCGTATGTTTCAAAACGAGCACAAGTAAAGCAATATCAAGCCAGGAGTAGTATAGTTCGAAAGTACAGTTTTGATTGAGAAGAGTATGATAGTACAACAGAGAGTATATATGTAAGAGAGAAACCCCCGACGGGCTTCACTGTCCACAGAGTCGCCCCAGCGATCCTTCCATGGCCACCGAGTATACGGTCGCTTTGCTTGGATTTGCACCCCACCAGGCCTTTTTAACGTGGTTGCCCAGCACGGGCCTTTTAATGTACCTAAATAATGACAGTTAGCCTGGAATAAGGATACTAGAGAAAAGCCTTTGCTATCGAAACCATTTGAATAATGACCTTGCATATGAGTTTAACGTGGATTCCTAGCACACCTTTGTCTACCCGAAGGCAGCCACCGAGTATAACGGTCGCTTCGCGTTGATTCTCACATTCCAGGATATAAAGCCCATTACGCCGGCTGTTTAACGTGTTTCTTCCGCATCACGGGCTGGTTAACCTGCTGCTCCACCCAGGGTGTTGATATGGGGTTTTTTGCACTTCCCCGGCTGTTTAACGTGTTTCTCCCCCACCACGAGCGTATTTAACGTGTTTCTTCCCCACCACGGCAGAGTGTTCCCTCCACGATTCGAAGACTATTGTATGAGTGAGTAGTAGAGTAGTAAAGAGGCCAAAGACGTTGCGTTGATGAGGAAAAACTGAGGAGGGCGTGCCGACTTTGGCTCTGCTTTTATAGACGAAGAGGTCCTGCGAGCTTTCCAGTGCGCAACAGCAGCAGCAACGACGCGTGCGTGAATCGACTCTCAGGGGCTCGGGACCTGTGACTCGACGCAGGCGCGTTCTCCCATTGGCCCGGGAGGGTCGCACTGGCAATCTGCCCTTAGAGGGATATTCCGGGCCCTTCGCGGGCACATCTTCCTCGGTCTTCCTCAGGCTAAGGCCCGACGCGTGCTGCCCTGACCCAGGCATCCCTACTAGTGCATGCATATTCCTCCAGATTCCATGCACCCGTAAACGTACATGACGCGATCGAACTGCTCGTTGTCGCCCAGGAAGGCTTGGTGGGGTGACAGTACCGTTTATCACAGAACACTCCGGGTGAGACCAGAACATGCATGACACGGAATCTTCGTCGTGGAGCACATTGGCTTTCGACGAAGGAAGGAGATTTGCATTCTCCAAACTCGACAGCGATAAATGCAAGAGGGGTTCCCTTGTCCATGATCCAACATTCGGTGCGATGTTTTGCCCTCGGCTATCATGAACACAAGGAATAGGCGTTCCCTTCAACCGACCTGCTGATGATGGACACTCGTTCCGACCGAAAGATATCCAATGACCGCCTGAACGGTTCCTCTACATTCGTTTATCACCGGGAGGGGAATGGCGTTTCCCTACAAGGATGGGATGGGGCCCATTTCGACGATGCGTATCGTGGCATAAGCACGCCGTGAATAGGCGTCCACTGAAATCATAGGATTACCGTTCCCCAATGCCGCATTCGATCACGTTAGGCTTGTCGAAGAGCGGACTGACCGTGGGTCCGATATGATAGTCTGCGCAACGACGGTGGGAATCTGCGTTCACTGAGTTATGGGATTACCGTTACCCATGAGATGTATCGTATCGCATTTACGTCAATGGAATGGACATCGGCACGTCTTCCAACGCGGATTATTTTTTCGTTGCGCAAAATACAGAACGAACGACCGAAAACGCCGCTGGACACTCGCTTGGACATACGATGGGGACATAGCACACTATATGGCGCTACGACTTTTCTGAAAATGACGAAATGATTGCCGAGGTAGGAAGATCATGACGGCCTCCACGGAATTTCGAAACATATGCCGGGAATGGAACGTATGATCGTTCTCAACGGAATGCCGGGAATGGAGAGCCCCGAAGGCCCTCGATGGAGTCTCCGTAACATAAATGTATTCATCCTTTTTGGTGGCAAGAACATGTAGACGAGCAGCCCTGGCTTCCTAGACATCCATGCATTGGTCTTATGCGTGGCGATCCTTGAAGTTCCACCAAAGCGTCCGTGGCGAGAAACTGAATCTAGCCGCCCTGGGTTTGATGACATATGTGCATTGGTACGCGTCAGTCGGCGGCTCCTGGTTTTATTTGTGACCCACTTCCATTCGGACATATGTGCAGCGGCCCTGGCTTTCATACATCGATGTAATGCCATTATGCGTTGGTGGCCCTTGGCTCGACGCCGGATTTAGGTACTGCCCATCTCGATGGCTTTGCACCTCTGCGTTGAGGGCTCCCCCTTTCTGCACATCGCTTTGATTTGTGGCGTCTTTGTCGGGATGTCATTGTTGAATAGTTATGCTGTTTTTCAGTACATGTCTTCCGTACCTTCCCAGGAATCATGTAGGTACCTACATTTCGCGAGGGTACTTTGCTTCGGCACGCTCGTAAAGGCCAGCCAGTGATGCATGCCCTGGCGTACCTAAGTACATCTTTGACCTGTTAGTAGTTTTGAGAACAGAATGGAGCAAAAGCTTTGCCGCCTTGATTAGTTTACACCAGAGCGGCACCAACCAAAACATACTTTGTCGCCATTAATCAAAATACACCGTCCCAGCGCCAAAACATACATGTACACCTGCGCCGAGCCCAATGGCAGTAAATCGGAGAGCGAGATCCACAGCGACCGCAATCTCCGCACTGAAAGTGGTTAGAGAGGAAGTTGTTGGGAGATGCGAAGGACACTTACCGGAGGTATCACGAAAAAGACCATATTCCGAAACGGGGGAAAAAGGTCGTCAAGAAGCCCGGTTTTGCCATGTCATGATATGTATATCGTTGACGAGAGGATATCCGCATTTTCCTGCTATGCGGTAGGGCAACGGAAAACGGACAACTCTGCAATATGCAACGAGTGCAGCCGCCCCCGATGGGTTCATAGGCAGCCATACCATTTCGTATGTGAAAATGTACCATATGCAGCCACCAGGGTTACGGACGCGCTCCTTACACATCTACGAAGGACGAAACCGCCAATCGCACGTTGTTCGTCTCGACAACCGCCGCATTGGAGGTTTCTAAACAAGCGTGATTGTCATGCCCAGCTTTGGGCGGTGAGCCCCCGTCCAGGCCGTCTCCTTGTCTTCCGTCTCTTTCCTTCCGCGAGCGTTCCATACAGAGAACAGTAGCGGCTGACTTTTTTTCCAGGTGCCCGTTTAAGATTTCTTTCAAAGGCTGTTGCGTTGATGGGTTTGCATCGCTTTTTGGACGGGAGCAGGGAAGCCTGGCTGCCCACTGGCTGCCTGTTGTGCCGCGGCTTAATTGCCCTTCTACGTAGTACTGCTTGGTACAGTTGCTAACGACGCTACCCGTGTTTGCTATCCAGGCTACCTTTAAGCACACATACTCTAATTGTTAAGTGCCCCAGGGTTAGGGTTAGGGTTAGGGTTAGTAACACCCAGCCCTAACCGGCCGAAGGCCGTCCCGACTCCCGAGCGGAGGGTGTTGTTATGGTACGGTTAGTTACCCAAAAAGTCACCAAGTTTATGTCGTTTATTATAGTGGTAAGTGGAGGGTAGGGCCGTTAGCAAATGGGCTAGCGTCTTCTGCACCTGCTGCGCAACAAGGATGCGTGTTCTCAAGTGGCGCCGTTCTGCAGTCAGTTTCCGGTCAAATTCACGTCCACCGCCGCGCAGCCCGCACTATGACGATTTATCGTTTGTATTTCCCATTCAAGCACGAGGAGGAAATATACGTGCAAACCCAATGCGTCGAATGTAGTAGCATTGATGGAAGGTTGAGGAAAGCAGGGGTCTTCAGACTGGCCACACATATACATATCAGTCAAACAGTAGCTTTGGAGGGACTGTTTGCGGAAGCGAAGCATAATAATATATTACGATGGGGTTTCCGACGGTAAAAGCCCCCGTCGTTTGCCCGTGGACCTTTTGCCTTGCTTCCCAGAATAAGAATAACCCGAAAGGAATGCCATGATATAGGTGCGGTATTGAGCGTTGCGCAGGTATGCGAGCAGGTTGCGGTCGCCACATCGGGCCCTGACGAGAACTGCTGGACTATTGTGGAAATGGACAACAACCTTGTTCTGTACTGAGGCAGGATCGGTTCATTGATGTACGCGGTCTAAACCGCTGCAGCGAATGCCAGAAGAAAGAGAGTGTTGGAAACGGTAGTATGTGCAAGTTTGGAAAAGAAGTAGAACAGAACATGAGCGCTCGCCTAGCTACAAGTGATAGTGCCGGGCCGTCATATCCGCACCTACGCCTGCCACAAACCACACGCCACAGTAATTTCATCCCATCCCAAGTGACTCTCCGTTCGCATGACTACGCCAATCCAGTTAACATCCGAGCAATCTGAATGTGTTGGTGAGGGACAGGGGATGAAGCGCCCATGTCAGAAGGGTATTGTTTGCGCTCTGTTGTTTGCTGATTTGCTACCCGGTCGATGGCGACGGATACATTGCTGGGCACGGATGGCTTTCGATGCACGAATCGGGCGAGAAAATTACATGTTGACCGTTGTGAGGGCGATTCCCCATCGGCGCGTTCATGAAAGAGGTGTGATGGGGACCGTCGCGTTGTGATATGGAAACCGGCTCGCGCCTATCTTCTGCATTCATTCTGCTTCTTCCCTCCTTTCTTCCCTTTTCCCTCCCATTCTCATTTCTTGGCATACGTGACCTTGATCTCCTTCTCCGGGCTGATCTTAAACGCGTTGAGGGCCTGTTTGGCGACGCCGGCTTGCGCTTCGGACTCGTATTCGACGAATGCTGGTTGTTGCAAGATGAAAGGAAGGGAGAGACCGCCAGAAATGTGAGTATAAGTGATGCCAGATCCCTCGTCCGGCCCACCAACATACCAATATCGCTCTTGCCCGGCACAAGACGAACTTCCTTGAACCCCTGGAACTGTTGGAAGAGTGCTGCGAGAACGGCTTCTGTCGTTTCGATTGGAAGGTTCTGCACGAACAAAATGCTGTTGGGGGGAAGGAGGTCTTCGGGCATCGCTCCGCCATAGTAATAGCCTACAAGTGGGTGCGATGTCGGTAAATCCGTGGTGAAGGTTGGGATATATCAGTATAAGGATCATACCTGGTCCGTAGGTAGCAGCGACAGCCGCCGGATCGACCTGTGCCGGTTCTTTCTCGAGTTTTTCTGCCCGGACAAAAGCACATTCTTGATAAGCAACAAAAGCCGCAAAAACGTGCGTGCAAGAAGCCATGCCGCTCCGGAACCTTACCTTTCTCCTCCTTGCGCTGCCTCTTGTAGTTCTCCAAGGCATCTGGTCCTTCCAACTCTGCCACTTTGTCCGATTTTGTCCGCGAGTATTGTATGTCCTGCAACAAGATGGGATAATAGTCAGCGAATGCCTCTTTCCAATGATGCACAAAGTCACAAAATCAGCGAAAGTAATCCGACGCGGATAACGTACCATCGGCCTGCCAGACAAAGGGAACCCCTGCACCTCCTTCAGCGCCTTAGTCGCGCTGTCGACCTGCTTGAATGTCACGAACGCCTGCCCACGCAGCTTGATGGCACGTTTTATGCGGATGTCGACGATGTCGCCAAATTGGCTAAAGACTGCCCGGAGGGCGCTTTCGAGGGCTGTGGGTATGAGGGAAGGGTGAGGATGAGCATGATCGGCACGCTTTTGAAGCCCAATCCCAACTCTATATCGCGACCGATACTGTGCGCCGGGCTTCGACGAAAGAGAGGAAAGACAACGGCTCCCCAGTCCCGCCATTCTCGTCCCTTTTTCCCCGGACCCGCCCGAACATCATATGCGCATCCTTTTCGAAACCAGTCCCAAAAGACACCGCACCAGAGCCTTCCCATAACTTCCACATACATTTCAGCATCCTCGTCTCAGGCAAATTCCTGATATACAGTGTTTGGCATGGCTATAAGAAAGAAGGAAGGCACAGCGTCAGGAAACCAAAGCTTCGACGACAAACGGAGAACGGCAGGCTCATGATTCCACACCGCCTCTTCTCATTCCTCTCGGCGCAATCTCCCTCTCGTCCTGGGTGCCTTCGTTTTCCCAACCCAACGAACTGAGCTTCCCTGGACCTTTCACCTTTCCTGCGTAATACGTGACCGACTCACATACCTCAGTAGGCGGTGGGTTCTTCGGTATCCTCGGCGGCGGCGGGACCAAACCCGGCATGTGCTGCATATGCGGTGGCGGCATACCGGGCATGCCAGGCATGGGCGGCATCATGGGCGGAGGGTGGTGTTGTTGCGGGTTATACATCTTTGGTTGGTGAGATTAGCTGTGTGAGGTTGATCTGGGGGTTGAGGTCGTTGAAAATCCGCGAACGTCGAAATGCGAAAGGACCGAGCGACCGAGCGCAAATCCACGCGTTAACCCTGTAAATCATCCCCAATGCCAACAAGCGCACATCAGCACTAACCAACAAGAGAGCATAGGATCTGGCAGTTTGTTTGATGAGTCTCTCCGCATCATCTGATATCATATTCAGAACAGGGCAATGCAATGAGCGTATTTACATGGAGGGCATATTCTTGACCTCGAACAAGCGGCAACACATCGGAGGGATCCCACAACCAGTGAACGCGGAAAGGAACCCGTATCGGATTGCCTAGCGTTTCTTCTTGTTGTTATTCCTCTCATTCGCCGGGGCGCCTCGCCATACTTGTTCCGTGATCTCGCTGGCACGGGTTAAACCCGGGGGTGGTCTAACGCCTCCACTTCCACCTCGCCCTCTCCCATCCCCGCCGCCACGCCCACCCGCAGAGTTAGTGGCATCTGCTACAGGCTTCTGCCTAGCCTCCATCTCCTTAACCAGCCGGGGAGGCATGGGTATCCCAAACTTGCTTCCGGGTTTTCCATAGCGGTCAAAGGTCGGAACCGGGATCACTGGCCTACGTGGTTTGCCCCAAATGGGCTCGCCGCGTTTGACACGGCCGAGTAAGATCCTTGCCCAGCCGAAAGTGAGAGTGATAGCGGTGAAGATTGTGAGTAGGCGGGAACCGGCTGCCTCAATATTGCTCGCTGAAACGGCGAGCGACACCAGAGACGGCGTTTCGCTGATCGTGGCCCATGTCGGTATCGAGTCATGAGGCAGCGTGTAGTTGACGACAACGCGCCAAAGCAGGAAGGCTTCCGCGATCTGCATGATGAAGATGACGAGCGGAACGATGTTGATCAGCAGAAGGGCATGGAAAGGCCGCGGCAGGTAAAAAGAGGGTGGAAGCATCTCGGCCGGCAGACGGCGAGAAATTTCGTCCATGTCCTTCCTAAACTCCTCTCGTTCCTTTTCTGCATCTTGGTTCACTACGTCCTCCTCATCCTGCGCGTCGCTCTCGGCTTTGACGAGTCCTCTGACCACGGCGCTGACAAGCATGCTCATAAACATGGTCCATATGAACGCGGCCGACAGAACCACAAAGAGATAGAATGTGTAGGTATGTCTCCCAGAATCACCAATAGACCCAATGAACGACGCCAGATCTGAGGTAGAGTACATTTCGCGCCGTGTGTCGGGTAGGAGCTGTCGCCTACGGCTGAGCATCTCGAAGTTCAACACTTCCTCGTGGGTTACGCCTTCAGGGATTGACGGGGTGAGCTTGCCGTAGTATCGCCGGGAATGTTCTGTGATTTCCGACTCGTACGAGGTCATTGTCCAGAGACTTCCGACGTAGCATGGCAGCAGGACGCCCAGGATAATGAAAGGATGAGGATTGAAGTCCATCAGCTCGTGGGACACCCTGAAGAGAGCATTTTCCAACCTTCCCATTCCCAAGAAGGAAGGTTTTGGCTCGTAAGTTTCGGGTGGGTAGTCCATGAGGCCCTGCGTAACAGTTTGCGCGGCCACTTGGATGAGAGGTTGGACTTCGAACCCAACGGTAGGTGTCCTACGCAGATGTTTTCCTTGATATGATCCCAGTCGGGTCAGACTGCTGCTGTGTCGGACGCTGCTACTGTAGATATGAATTTCGAGAATCGTCGGCCGCCGACAAAATCGTGACCAACGTCCGCCAATTATTAATGGACAACGCAACCGGCTTCCATTGCCTTGTCTGAGCTCCTTGGTGTTGTGTGCGTTTACATTAGCACGATGATTAGAATCCTGCACATCGTGTCAAAGTGGCTAATCACCCACGCGCGAAAAACACAAGCCGCTTTTTGGGTCACCTTCCGAGCCTTCCGAGCTGCCTTCCGAGAGAGCTTCTGACGGTGTGTCTTTCCGAGTCCATCCCCATCGCCACAATTGCACTCAACCAACAACAGCGACAATGCTCTCTACCGTCCTCCTCCGTCGCTCGCCCGCCTCTCTGCGGCTTCTCTCCTCTTCCAGCTTCTCCCCGCTGGCTGGAGCAGCTGCAGCACGCGCAAAGCACACCCTCCCCGATCTCCCCTACGACTACAACGCCCTCGAGCCCTTCATCTCCGCCGAGATCATGAAGCTGCACCACGCAAAGCACCACCAGACCTACATCACTAACCTCAACGCCGCAGAGGAGAAGCTCGACGACGCCTTCGCCAAAAACGATCTCAAGGCCCAAATCACGCTCCAGCCCGCTATCAAGTTTAACGGTGGTGGTCATATTAACCACTCCATCTTCTGGACCAACCTCGCCCCGCAGAGCCAGGGCGGAGGCGAGAACCCAAAGGGTGCCTTGCTGAATGCTATCAATGACCGCTTCGGGTCTCTTGACGAGTTCAAGAAGAAGTTCGCGGAGCAAACCGTTGCTGTACAGGGATCTGGGTGGGGTTGGCTCGCGTACCATAAGGAGTCGAAGCGGTTGGATATCCTTACCACTCAGAATCAGGACCCCGTCACCACTCATGTGCCGCTCCTCGGCATCGACGTTTGGGAACATGTACGTGCGGGATGTCATGTTTGGCGAGGATTCTGTGAATGGGCGTGCTTCATTGGAGTTCATCGCGTGATTTGTAATTCACCTGCTAACCGTCTTGCCCGTTTTCCCGTGCAACCTCAGGCGTACTACCTTCAATACAAAAACGTCCGTCCCGACTATCTCAAAGCCATCTGGAATGTTGTCAACTGGAAAAATGTCGCAGAGCGTCTTGCTGCCGCTCAATAAATTGAATCCCAGATGTAAATGTGATGTAAAGAGGGTCCACACGATGGCTGCATATTCTTGTAAATACCCACTTGAAAAAATCTCAATATTCAAAACCGCATGATTCTTTGATGTCGAGAGTAGCCATATCGAAAGTACGTACGCCGCCAGACAGCCGCCAGACACAGTTCACCGCAAGATCCACGCCCCCTCCTTCCGCAAAATCGACTCTCGTTCCTTTCCTCTACTATCGACGTCACCTACCCCAACTCCAATTCCAATATGACGACCACCACGACTCGACACCCCAACTCTCTGCCAAACGGCCTCCCATAAGTGCGGGTACCGCCTTCGATACACATCCCACAAGCGGTTTTCGTACACCTCAACCTTGTTTGAATTGAGTTCGGCAGCGCGGACAAGGAGGACGACGTTGGTGAGGGTTTTGGCGTCCATCCAGGGGTACGCTGTGTTCGGTGGTGCGGCTACTTTGGTGTCGTCGACGGTGTTGTCAGACGCGTCGTTGGTCGATGGCGAAGACGATCCTTCGTTATGGCTCGCTACACGGCCTTCTTCCGTTCCGCGATCCAACACCTCAATAACGCCCTCAATGCGTCCACACCGCACACACGCCTCGAGATAGGATGTTATGCAGTTCACGTCCACGGGGATAGGCATGCTGTGCTGCTTTTCCCTTTCCACTCCATTCGGGTCTCCCTCCCGCTTCTTTTGCTTAACTGGTATATATCCCGTGATCACGCCCCACAATGTCTGTACAGCGGTATCCTCCCTAGCGAACGCGAGGACGTCAAGCATCACAGACACGGTCGCGTGCCCAATGCCCCAAATCCGAGCGTCAAGTGGAGTGGTGGTCGGCGTTGGTAGCGGTAGAACTTGGGAGTGGGTGGCCAGAGCCGATGATGTTTTGGCGTTGCTTTCGAGGCGCTGTGTGGCGGTTTTTCCGCCTGGATACGGCCCTACACCCGGTACCAGGAGCACCTCCTTGAACAGCTCCCATGCATTTCTCGGCTCGCGCGCGCGTCCATAACCGTCGAGCAGGATCGTGTAAGTGGCCGTGTCGGGTTGGAAGGCTAGAATATTCGTATCATTGGGTCTTGGCGGCGACGGTGAATACGCATCACCACCAGCAGGAGTACGAGTGAAAGTATCTGCGAACCACACTCCCTGCCGCATCTCGACAAAAGCATATTCCATCTGCTTGGCCAGACCTTGTTTGGCATAAAACTCCAGCACTGTGTTGCCGAGCTTCGTGAGTGCACTGGTTTGAAAGGGGTCGGGCTGGGTCTCGGTATTGTCGGAAGGACTGGTCCCGGCGATGAAGGGTATGGCTGGTTGTCGTGTCCGCTCACCACCCAGATCAACGCCTCCGTCCCTGACTCGCTCAATAATCCATCCACCGAATTCCCACATCTTCGAGCGATTACAAGCGCTCAAACATGCCACCGCCGCATCCCACCTCAGATTTTGAAAGTGCTTCAAATGTGTCGTTACCACCGCCTGCAGTCTCCGCCGTGCAAACTTGGAGTTTCCGGGAATCTCTGGTTTTTTGGTGTGATTGTCACCGCCAGCATCGGTAGTTGCAGCCAGCAAATCCTTGACAAGAGGTATGATCAGGGGAGCATTGGCGTCCGCGTCGAGGGTGGACGGAAAATAGCGCACGGCGTCAGCGTGGTACTTGACCGCCATTCCCAAATCATTGCGCTCGGTGTAAGGCGGAGCGGCACAATACGCGGCCACCACAGCCGCGTACGTCGTGTGCGAGATCACCACACCGTTTACACGACCGTCGAAAAGCTTCCTGCCCTTCGCACGGTGGAAAAGCAGCATCGCTTCATCGCGGTGACCATATTTCAGCAACCTCGTGATAGCCCCATCAAACAGCGGCGCGAGGACGACGCTTCGCTTTGCAAGATGGTTGGGTAGGCGATTAGCTTCCGCGACGCGAGGAAGGACGTCTTGTGCCTCGGTGAAGAGTTGGAGGGCCGTGGTCACGCCTCCGCCGTTGGCATCAGATGCGGCGGCGGCGCCAATCAGGGCGAGATAATCTTTGACGGTGACGAGGTCGCGGTGTTTCTCCTTCATTTCGGAGAAAACGGCGAGCGCAGAGGGTAAGGCGTCGTGTTGGAGATATCTGTCGAGCATGATGTCGTAGAGCGTGTATAACTTGTGTGGGGAGGGATTCGGTTGTTTCGGCTTCGATAGGTTCCTGGCATCTGCAACGGCGCCATCGCTGCCTATCACTCTCGCCATGAGCTCCCGAAACACCAACTGGATATCATCCTCCAGGCCACGCTTAAACATCAGCGGCCACATGATAGAGAATGTGACATGATTGAAATCCCTGTTCTCTCGCATATTCGTCCACAGCGCCCAGGCCGTGTCATCATGCCCCGCGTCTATATGCGACCTCAGGAGGGCGTTGTTCGCCAACAGTGAGCTATACCCATGCTTGGGATCAGAACTCCGCAGTACGCCCGCCACAGCGTCCACGCGCCCGGCCTTGATTAGTCCGCCCATATACGTGCTATAGATTTGCGGAGTGACGGCCACCCCCGAGCGCTGCATAAAGCCCAGCAAGCCCGCCGCGGCCTTGTATGCGCCTTCACGCATATACCGCTGCATCATAACGGCGCAGATGACCTCGTCGGGGATCACGCCGTCAGCCTCCATGTTGTGGAACACCCTCCCGAGGGTGACGTCGTCGCGCGTGTTGGAGCAGTAAGCCACCAGCGGTGTGAGCGTCATGCACGAGGGGCGAAGCCCCAGCTCCCGCATCTTGTCGTACACCGCAATAGCTTCGTTGGTCGCGCGCCGCTTGGTAGCTTCGCGGATGAGGACGGAAAAGAAGCGTTCGGTGATGGGTAAGCTTTCGGCGTCCTTCAGGTCCTCGGATACCGATCCCGTCAGCACCCGGAAGTACTCGTATGCGCGCTCGAAGTGGCCTACAACGAGCAGATCCTCCACGATGCGCTCGCTGGTGTACTTGCTGGGGTACTTGGCAGCCTGGTGGATGTCGGTGGCGACTGTGGCGGCCATTTCGGGATACCCGTGGTGCAAAAGGCGGTTGAGAAGCAGCTCCATCGTCCTGAAGTGCTTACGGATCAGTTCCTGCCGCGCGCCTGCAAATCGGCCTTGATACCAATCTGCCAGTTCATGCCCTTCGCTTTGCCGGACGAAGAGCCATAGAACATGGCCTTCTAGCGCGATGTCATCCTCGAAACCTCGCCTTTTGGCAAGCCCAAGGAGCTTGGCTACGTCGCTCGGTTTATCCAGAAGAATGAGGGGATCGATGAGATGACCAAACGTGCGGGCGTCTGGGACAAAATTGTCCGCACCCATATGTCTTAAGTACATGGCTGCTTCCTCAAAGCCCGTTATGGAATGTCGCTTTAATACAGCGAGAATATTGTAGTCCTCTGTGGTCACCGCCCCATGCCCGGCTGACTCGCGGTACGACAGGATCAGCTCCCTCAGGACACTCTCCATGTTCGTTTCCAAGATTGCCAACTCCCTCCTCATTTTCTTTTCGAGCAATATCGCCTGCTGCGTCTTGCACAGAGCCATAAGCTGATTCACGACCTCCCGAAAAAAAGTAGGCTTCCAGACAAACCTGCGCTTCCGGTCAACATGCGCCCCGATGAATCTCCCAGCCTCCTCCGCCTTTCCTTGCCTCAGCAAACCCCACATCAGCTGCACGATCAAGGCAACATTCAGCTGCTTGTCAAACGATCGACCCACGTCAATCAAGAAGTTTTCAACGTCCTCCGCGGTGCTCAACCGGTGAGCACTCGCAGCGCTCAACATAAGCACGTCATCGTCAGTCACATGTGAGCCATAACGGGCTTTGCTGCGTAATGCGGCTGACAACCGCTTTCGAGCGACCTCCGGCGGCGTGGACCGCGCGATGGCTTCGATGGCAGCCGACCAGACAGTCCTGGGGAGATAGACTCGACGTTCGGTGTGACTCGTAGCCTTTTGAAGGATCGCGTAAACTACATCGGGGTCCGGCGTGGGTTGTCGGAGGAGCTCGCAGAGGTCCTCTACGGCTGCTATCCGGTGGGGCGCATCTTCACAACTCTCGACCGAAGTCAGATACTCCGTGACTTGTAGCGCCTCCGGCGACTCCGCATAATCCGCTTCCGTCGACGAGGTTGTGACGGCGTTGACGGTCGAATATCCTCGGGTTTGACGGCGTATTTTGCCCATATCCCGTGGCAGTTCGGATGCTCTTATGCTTGCGAAGCAGCAGAATAAGCGTTGGCTGTGACACGCTGTTAAGGAATTCCGTCTCTTGTTCGAGCATTCTCGGAAGCAAGCTGACAGGAGCAAGTAAGCTTCATCACGGCGGGATTTTCGAGTCGTCGCCCGAGTCGTCGCTATACTTCGTGGAGCGACAGTAGGCCCTGTGGCGACGAAAGCTATGGCCGACAGCGCGGACCTCCTCGTGCTCATGGCTATCCAGGATGGTGTAAAACATTTCAAAATGCCTCGAAGTGCGAGCTGGGGCTGAATCTCAGCAGCAGATCACTTACAGTCACCTCGCATAAAGCTGTGCCCCCCATGAATTAAATCAGCGATTGCCACAAAGCCAAATTCACGTGAGTGAGAAATACATTTTGCAACGTCAGGCGGAACGGAAAACAGAGAAGCCACATCTTATGCGCTGTCAATCGACAAGCGATTTCAAAAGTGTTATTTAACACACCTTACGCGTCTCGCTGCAGCTCCGGAATGCGCAAGATGCGCATCGTGCCTTGAAAGCGAAACAGTAGTGGATCAGCTGTAACGATGGTATCTATATAGACAGTGGTGCAGCCGTTACGTTTTGAGAACCAGGAGCCAGACACTCCTGCGGATGTTGTGTATGTTGTGCATAGACAAGATCCACAAGTGTGATGCACCTTGTACACTGGCGGTTTTTCCTCCCTTTCCTTTGGATGTGCCTGAGGATTCTTTTACGAGAATCTGTGCCATCCAGACATCATGCTCATCATGCACTCATAATTATTTTCTCCTTCTTTTTTTTTCAGCGAGGATGGGTTTTCCCATGGGAAGCTCCATGCCATCCAAGCATCATGCTTCTCATTCATTCACATCATGTCATCCTCCAATAGAAAACGTCCTCTCGTCGTGATCTACAAAGCTGCGGCTACTCGGGTATACTGAGCTTGCGAGTTTCGAAATCCTAGTTTCCAAACAACTTTACGCCTGACTGATAGCGTCATCGCCGAAATCTTCTACACCGTGGGGGATCCCTGCCTCAGAATTGCTAGTTCCAAGGATGAGTTAGCTGATGGGCATGAGAAGGAAATCTTGAGACCACCCACCCCGCCTGGGTCAAGAGCCGCGAAGCCATTATGTGCGACTTCCTTGTCGCTCTTTTCTTCAAAGGTTTAGCCTCAATGTTCTTGATCGCGGTCCCCATCACTATCTGACATGCAAGAAATTAGTTAGAGATTCGTTGCACAAAATCGTGTTATCATTTTACCGTCCACGTCATAATGCATTGGTATAGTTCCACGAAAAGTGAAACATCAGATTCCTGCGCTGGGACGTTTGCTCTTTCCAACTCATGACAGAAAAGCTGCCCTGCAAGCAATCCAAATATCAGCCATTTTCGCATGTCATGACTTGCTTCGCAGTACCATACCATGAAGCTTTAGAACGCTACAGATCACTTCCAATCCGACGGATTGTGCTCCAAAGGTCATGAGGGCGTCCGGGACACGACGACGCGAGCTCAGGAGGTTGGTCACAGTGCTCGCGAAAATGGTCGTTACATTCCTCAGGATCTTCTCCCCATCCGCTGCCCTTTTACCTTTCTTCGGAACTGGTCTCGCCCCCTTCGAAATAACCAATGGGTAGATCGTCGCGATTTTTAACGACAGCAATTCCATCAGCCTTCTCCCTTTTGACGGAATAGTCTGTGGCAATCTCCCCCGATCGCCACACTGTTCCCTGAGCAAACCTATGGCAACTCTCCCGGAAAATGGGATGGATGAACGTTCCCAAGTGCTCGGCCTCCAACGTGCTTCTGCTTTTCAGCGGGTTGTCGTCGCGTTCGAACGCGCGGCAACTGGTCAGTACAGAATTGTCAGTAAAATGCGTCCGTGAATGTGTGTACTTGGCACTTGGCACATGTTCACTCACAATGCAGGGAGAGTGTGCTTGATGACCGCCAAGACATCAGCCACCAGGGCAGACTCTGGTTTTGGTATGGAATCCATATATTCCTCCCACTTGTTCGCGGAGCGATCTTGCAAACTCGAAAACAACGTTTCCAGGAAGGACTGTGCCTCCTCTGGGAATATAGTCCCGAAGCGTTCATCTAGCGATTCGCCGTATTTCTCCACAACTTCGTCCGGGAGAACGGCAAGTTGCGTTGAGCCAGTTCGAAGATCCACTAGCACGGTTCCCTCTGATACATTTGCGCATTAAGAAAAAGGGTGGCCGGAAACCACACACCGGCAGCGCAAAACAGACATACTGACCGGATGGATTTTGGAAATGCTGTGCGATATCGTTCAATGTTGCACTCCATCGACACAAATGGTCATTCTCCAAGGACCGCGGCACAAGGTCCCAGATTTTCGCATTCAAAACATTACGCCACTGATCGCCGTAAACGCTCTGAATGACGGGACACGTAGTCAGTTGGATGTTTGATCAAAAAACCGAGGTACAGCCCCCATCACCTGGCTCTTGGATGCCCTGCGTATGCGCTTCGTGTTTTCCGTCAGGTCTTCATCCGCCTCAGCCAGTCGCTTAAGCCTGTTTTGACGCTGTGTGCCACACATCAGTCAGCAAATTGGATTTTCGAAATCAAAACTGGAGCGGTGCGTCAATGAAGGCATTTACCATCTGCGCCTTCAGCTTGGTGGCTTCCCAAAACTTTCCCCGTGGACCTTCATCGGACCACTATGAAGCCTTTAGCGCGTACACCATCACCATGGATGGCCTCGGTGCAAATAACTCATCTGATTATTACATCATACGTCTTCAGCCTCTTTACGTTTTTTGCCACGAATTTCAATTTCACTTTCATATGCCCATCTTGCTTGTTCAGACTGTCCACAGCGGCTTGAACGCAGTCGTGAACATATGACTTGGCCTTTGGCTCGAACTCCTCCGTCCACTTGCATCGCTGCGCAAACATGATTGGTTCGAAACAGTCTGCTTGCAATTTTTTTTTAACGTAAAAAAGGTCGTTCGGGTTCACCGCCCACGCCTTTGCGTCGTCGGCATCCGACGAAACTTCCACGACGCAGTCGTCGAAAAGACCTCCTTCGTGCTCGGACTCGTAATCGCTCGAATCTGCCATGTTCTTCGGGTTGCTGCTGTGCGCTGGATATACAGGATAGGGTACACAGGGATATACAGGATATACAGTCAGTGGACATAAAGCTGTGTGCATGCCAGATTAAGTCAGTGTCTGACGCGCGTTGCGCGACATCAACTCATCATCCTTAATCTTGGGGCATTGCGAAACCTGACCTAAATGAATGGATCTAGATCTGAATTTCGCTAATACCTAGTTGTCCCCCCATTGGCTGCGATTACGGCTGCCATTCTTGATGGCATTGACCGTGTCAATGCATCAAGATGCGGCTGCATTGTGGGCCATATAGTTTGCACAACGTTGTCCAACATTCCAGGGATGGGTTCGCTTTCGATGCCTTCCGTTTGAGCATTGCCCACAGATTCTCAATCGGATTGAGATCTGGACTCTGCGCTGGCCAGGGAAGAAGCTCAATGCCGTGTTCATCAAAGAACTGTCGAGTTTCAGCCGATGTATGAATAGGGGCGTTGTCCTGCATGAAGAGAGGATTGGGAAGAAAAATCTCTAGATTCCGCCACATTGGCAACATGTTAGCAGTAAGATGTTGCACATAGGCAGTAGAGTTAATCCCTCCACGGTTTTGACCCTCTCGCTGAACACGCTGCATCTCTTTCATTGGACCTACTGCATTTCCAATGAATGCTCCCCAGTACATGAATGTTTTTCGTCCACTCTTCCTGGTGCCCTGGATGCAATCGGGATGAAAACGTTCAGTTCGTAAGCGCCAGCACCGCATTTTAGGTACCCAGCCAATTTCAAAGGACGTCTCATCAGTCCAGAAAACACGAGACCAGTCCGCTTCCGTCCAGTCTTGGTGCTGCAGTGCAAATGCAAGGCGTGCTGCTTTATGGTCCTCTGTCAATAGTGGCTTTTGGACCTTGAAACGCGAGGTGAGATAGAGCAGGTCCCGTAGGTAGCGACGCACTGTTTTTGCAGACACCTGGAGTCCGGTGAGCTGTGTGAATTCAAAAGTGATCTGTTTTAGTGTTTTCTCCCGAGTGCTACTGTCAGCAACGACAATACTGCGGAAGGCAGCCAAATCATTGTCAGAAGGCTGGTACTTAGCTGGTCTTCCTGTTGGCTTCTTCGATTGATAGGCGGTTGGTGCAGTGGCACTCTCGTTCGCAAACCTCTTAATAGTGTTCTTCACAGTATTCCTGTGAACGTGCTCCTGCCTTGCAATTTCAGATGTCGTCTTGCCTGCTATATGGAGGGCAACTATGGCTGCCCTTTTTTGTGGTGTGAGAGGTTTCCCCATAGCTGAGGTGGTGAAGATGTTGGCGTGCATTTCGCCATCACGGCTTCGTCGCTGGCTTCAATACTCAAGCTTGCGGCTCCAAAACGCGCGGTGCGCTTTGTGAAACGGTCATTGAAATCCATATGGGGTGCACACAGCTTTTTGTCCACTGACTGTACAGTACGTCTGGGCGGGTATATACCGGTTTACAGTAAAGGCGTGCCCCGGTTGGACCTGCAATTCTGTAAATGTTGTCCGGACGGCCGGACGCCGGCTGGACGCGTCGGCTGCGCCGAGTAATCAAACACGTGACTGGGCCCCTCGCGGGAGATATCAACGACTTTCCCACAAGGGTGTTTTCCTCGGTCTGTTCTGCGCATTGTGCGATCAGCATAGTTTCTCGACGATCTCCCTCCTCTTGGCTTGCAGTTGCGGTCTCCTTGAAATACGTTCAAGTATACTCAAGGCGGCGCGCTCAGGTGCTTGAAACCACGATAAGTCCAAAGAGCTCGTGGGTGTAGAGCGGGTGTGCATGGCGTCTTTCACCTCCTCCTTGTGGGCAGGAAAGGAGGTGGATGATGAAAAGGGTGTTGGCGACGTAGGCGCGTGGGCTACCCATGCACTGACTGCATCACGCCGGGAGGCAAAGATACCTGTTTTGGTTCCGGGCCTGGCAAGGCCGCGGTCAAGTGCTTGAAACCACGATAAGTCCAAAGAGCTCGTGGGTGTAGAGCGGGTGTGCATGGCGTCTTTCACCTTCTCCTTGTGGGCAGGAAAGGAGGTGGAAGATGAAAAGGGTGTTGGCGACGTAGGCGCGCGGGCTACCCATGCACAGGCCAAAGGAGGGCTTTGTAATGGGAGGGTTCGGGAAAAGGTTCGTATATGCTCGAAATGCGCTTCGCTGGCAACACATTTTGCACTGATCGCAATCTCAAGGTATGGACGCATGCAAGTGAGAGGTTTTTTTGGCATTTGCACAGACACTAATGGGTTCGAGTTTCGAACGGGGACTAGTAACGCCTCGCCTGAGACCATGTCGACGTTACTGAGTTTGCGGTCTACAGGGGAACTTACGATCAACGGGAACCTGCATGGAGCCACAGTGCAAGTCGGATCGAGGGTGTTTACACCCGAAGCGGTCATTGATACGCAAGGACCCTTGACTGGGCGGCGATTTGGGACCACCGGCGGCAATTCGACGATATGGTTTCACCACTTCCGGCTATCCGTTGAACCCTTGGAGTTGACCACGTTGGGTCGGGCTTCGGTGCTCTGGAAGGAAGAAGAGCAGGGGCGATGTGGTTGAGGTTAAGAGAAATCTGGACCCATCGCAGCGGGTTGGACATCCCGTCCATCGTCTCTTGGTCGTGATGGCCGGGCGGGGTGGAATGCTGGTTTCGCCATCGAACTATGTGGAGAATTGTGTAGAGGATTGCGCGCGCTGTCAGAAACGATGAAGGTACGTGCATTTGCTTTCGCTGTTCTTCAAATAAGTTAGACGATTGTCCAATTGCAATCGGCTAACTAATGAGCCGACGGTGGTCCCAAGCCCACATACCTCTTCCGAGGGAATCCAGAGGGGTTAGCACTTACTTATACTTCTTCCACAAACATCTTTCTGTTATAATCCCGTGCACGCTTGCTTGTTGTATAATACCGAATTTTCAATATACTTCTTTGTATTGCGCGCGCTGTCAGAAACGATGAAGGTACGTGCATTTGCTTTCGCTGTTCTTCAAATAAGTTAGACGATTGTCCAATTGCAATCGGCTAACTAATGAGCCGACGGTGGTCCCAAGCCCACATACCTCTTCCGAGGGAATCCAGAGGGGTTAGCACTTACTTATACTTCTTCCACAAACATCTTTCTGTTATAATCCCGTGCACGCTTGCTTGTTGTATAATACCGAATTTTCAATATACTTCTTTGTATTGCGCGCGCTGTCAGAAACGATGAAGGTACGTGCATTTGCTTTCGCTGTTCTTCAAATAAGTTAGACGATTGTCCAATTGCAATCGGCTAACTAATGAGCCGACGGTGGTCCCAAGCCCACATACCTCTTCCGAGGGAATCCAGAGGGGTTAGCACTTACTTATACTTCTTCCACAAACATCTTTCTGTTATAATCCCGTGCACGCTTGCTTGTTGTATAATACCGAATTTTCAATATACTTCTTTGTATTGCGCGCGCTGTCAGAAACGATGAAGGTACGTGCATTTGCTTTCGCTGTTCTTCAAATAAGTTAGACGATTGTCCAATTGCAATCGGCTAACTAATGAGACACCTTGAGCGCCCAAAAGACTCTATATAAAAAAAAATCCATCGACTGCTGCTCATGGACGTCCTGGTCGTGAAATGCGAAGCCCAACATTCCAACTATTCGGCCGCCCCCTGGCCGCGGGATGCGATACGGTTGACGCGAGAGTTATGTGATGGAATGCAAGACTAAAGCACTCGAGGTGCTCAAATGGCTCCACGAAAACAGCCGGCAGAAAGTGCAAGTATTGCTGGACGAGCATCAGGTTGTCCTTTCGACATGTTGGGGTTGTCCTTTACCAACCATACTGCATATTCACGAACATCAGACCCATTGTGCCAGATATGCAACCTAGCGAAGGCTCGCTTTCCCATCTCCGACCTCTCGGACTTGTTTCGAATAGGTACACAACGGAGTCAGCACCACCAACCCATCAGCGCTCTCGGAGACTGGAGCTACATGCGGATTGTTTGATGGAACTCGAACTCGCAGAAAAGGCATAAGGGGGTATGTAGGATAACGGGTCGGGAGACCGATGTAGGGGGGAAGGTGCATTATGGACCAGATTATGCACCACTCAGCATGCATGCAGAGAATCCACCGCGCGTCTCGTTGTTCCACTTTAGTCGCCATCCTAAACAGATCCTAGATCCTGGTCGCCATCCAGTCGCCATCCCCTTGGGCCCTTGGCCACCCTTTCAAACATCAGCAAGCGGTAAACTAACACCGCAACGTCCCGACGTTTTGCCCTCCATTCCAGAAGCAAAGTCCCTCCGCGAGCTTCGTTGCATTCGATTTTAGGTCCAATACAACCGTGAAACGGTTTCACGGACGAGATCGGCGAACGGAAGTTTCCCTAACGAAGCTGTACAATACTACGCACTCTGAGCGCAACAACCAGGAGACGATGGCCCCCCGAGACGCTCTCCCTTCCGATTTACCGCAAAGCCCTTATTATATGATCACCCCAGACCCCGTCCCTCCAACCTCGGCAACACTGCAAGTTTCAGCCCACTTTCTGGCCCGGCTCACCGCATTGCTCCAATTTGTCGTCACTGCTACAAAAAAGACGTATATTCAGCTTCGCACAAAGAACGCAAACGCTAGGGTGATCTACAACGAGGTCTTGCTGCAACTCGCTCAGCAAGTACCAAACCAGGAGGCGTATCGTCATATTCTACTGAATGTAACACATCTGGAAGACGTTGAGGCCGCCGTGGCCGCGTGTGATAAGTTTGGACTTGGCGGGGTGCATATCTCAGGAGCAGTACTCAAGGCACTATGCTCAGGACCTCCATTGAGCAATCATGAAGGGCAAACCATTGAGAGCAAGAGCGCGGAACTCGTGCAGATTGACGCGGCTCTGGGGGTGTTGCAAGCCCATCGTTTCGGCCGCGCGGAGGACACTCTCGCTGCGGACCCGGAATCATTGTTGCCGTCCTACATCATGGCCGCATCATGTCACTCTGTCCAGGACATCTTGCTGTGCACCCCGCCCCCCGTCTCCAACTCATCAACCCACCCGCCAGCTTTCACATTTGCATTTGTGGTCCTCTCCCCTGTTGCTCTATCAACATCGTGCCCGCCGCTCGACGCCGCCGCTACGCTGGGCTGGGATGGATTCGAACGTATTCTGCGAGATGCGAAAGATGCGGCAGTGGATCGAGTGATACCGCCCGTGTATGCTTTGGGCGGCGTGGGCTTGGATGATATCAGCACTGCGATGTACAAAGGAGCCGTCGGTGTAGCTGCTATCAAAGCTTTCTGGAACGCACATGACTTGGCCTGTGATGTATTACGTGCTCATTTGAAAGCAAAAGGTCATCTCAAACCGTTCACGGCAAATCCAAATCTCGAAGCGTATCACGCAGATGGACTGTGATGGAAAGCGAGTGATGTTCTGGCGGGAACGGTCCGACGTGCAGGAAGAGGGCCGTGTTTACTTTTCGGACGATAAAAGAGAATGGATTCATGGAGTTGTAGGAGTCCCAGAAGGAGATTGCTGGGATGCGCTGCTGTTTGCGCAAATGTAGTGGGCTATTCCGCTCTGTTTTCTCCCTTAAAGGGCTATGTATTCGGGTGGTTTCACGGTACCTGTATATGTGCAGTATTTATGTGCATTGGCTTTCGAGTCAGTAAGTATCCCCTCTGCATTGACGCGAAAAACTCGAGAAACCATTCCAAAGTAGGACTTCCATTCTGCCTTCACCGCCTGTTGCCGGGCACTGGAGAAGATACGAGCCGAGCTGCAATCACGTCAAGGCCCACAGAACTTCGGCACGGCCTCGCTACCTCAGTGAGATACGAATCTTACAAGGCAGCAGCACCATGTCGAGTAATCTCCTTCGCCATCGCGCTATATACCCCGTCGAAGACCGCATCATCCTCGACATTGGCTCCCTCTATATCAAATGCGGCTTCACAGGGGAGTCAAGGCCCCGGTTCATCCTACCTCACACAATTGCCATCCCGCACCACGATGGCTCTTGCTCGGGCGTAGGGGAGATGCAGCCCCTATGGGGTCTAGATCTCGCCTCCGCGGATATGCACGCGCTGCGGTGTAGAATCATCTATACGCTGAGGAACATGTACAATATGTATCTGCTGGCGGATGCCCGTGTGAGGAAGGTTATTCTGGTGGAGAGTGTTTTGATGCCGACGGTGATCAAGGAGATGATCGTCGCAGTACTCTTTGAGGTCATGCAGGTGAGGCGACCCGAAGTCGGGTTTAGATGGGGTTGTTGGGCGTGTTGCTTGATCAACGCTGTGGAGATGAACGTAGGGATCTGAATGACACTTTGTTTCGCTGACCTATGATGTATCATGTAGTAGACGCCGTCGATAAATGTGGTTCCGGCGTCCGTTGTTGCGCTTCTGACGGTAGGCCAGATCACTGGCCTGGTCGTAGATTGCGGGAACCTGGAGACGACCGTAGTACCGGTACGCAGCGGTGCTTAATTATTTTTTGAAAAACTTCACACTGTTTCCTGGGAGTACGGGATCTTCCATTTTGGATCCCTCAATGCAAAGGGTTTCTGAATGTCATCATCAACACAGGTGTTCGAGGGACGAGCATTCCTGCACGACGTGCACGCCGTTGCTCTCGCAGGCAGCGCACTCACCCTGCGTCTCAAGGCACTTCTCATGCAGCACGCCCAGCTCATCGACGGCGACAACGATGATGATGACACCACCGACACCCTACACAGCGTGCTCGAACGCGTGACGCTGGAAGAATGGGAAGAGATGAAAGCGCAGCTCTGCTTTATCGACGACCGGCCGGCGGCGCACGAGATAATGGAGACGGGTGGTGAGGGAGCGCAAACGCCGCGGGATGGTGTAAGATACACGGTGTACGCGTCGACTACACCGGATGTCACGTTTGTTGTCGGGGCGAGCCGTCGACTCCGTGTGCCTGGATGGGTCCGCGCCCGGGCTGCGGAGGTGCTGTGGGAAGGAGATGAGGACATGCGAAGCGTTGCGACTGTCATACTTGATGCACTGCATAAGGTGGATTTGTTTTACATATATATCCTACACGGCTGACCCAATCTCTAACTCCTGCTCACACATTGACATTATAGTGCTCGCCCGACCTCCGCCCCGTTCTCGCCGGCACCACCCTCCTCACCGGCGGCACATCGAGCACGCCCGGGTTCCGCGCCCGCCTGCTCGCCGAATTACACCACCTCACTCAAACCGCCAAACATTACCGCTGGGCCAGCAAGCTCGCCATCGCCATTACCCCGTCGCCCGCCTTCCCGCCCGCAACGCTCAATTGGGTCGGCGCCGCCCTCGTCGGTTCGCTCAAGATCAATGGGCAGGAGATTGTCAGGGCGGAGTATGTGAAGGACCCAAATGCGGCGGTCGCGGATTGGGTTCGCGTGGGGGATGGGGGCGGGCACAGGGCAGAAGGGGTGGAAAGGTAGAGGAGAGGCTGGAAGATTTGCGGCTGTCTGCTAATCTTGAAACCCTCGACAGACGCGAGTGTAATTTCTGGGGCAGTAAGGGAGTATGATGACATCAACCCTGAGTCCCCCATATCAGCACACTTCGCTCTGGTATGTGAGTTCGTGCTAGCACAGGCGCTCAAGTAGTATAGCGCGATGTTCTCCGGGTAATAGGTTGAGAGCATCTTGATCGGAAGCAGTTCTATTTTTACCCGACCATTATACCAGCCAATGCACTATCTAAGAATGGGAGTAAAACGTACGTGACGGCGTAGATGCAATCGCGGGACTATCGTACCCATTTGAATCTCAGTCGATCTCTATCTGTAAAGCAAAGTCATGCACGGCGCGAAATCTAGACCACCCGAATGATCGCATTCATCGGAGCTGACGGTAGCAGAAGGCCGCCTGCTAACCGGATCCAAATCCGAACTCGACTTCGGCGTCCAATTGGATCGTCACCGCACGCGGATCAGATCAAGCGTGCCGATGCCACTTCATTATTGAAAGCGCCCTTCTGACAAAGTCCAATGTGGTGCCAACACTCAAACGGCGGCGCCGAAGCGGGGCCGCGGAGGCCTTCTGCGACGAATGCATCTTGTTCGGGCGGGAATGCATGCCCCGACTCTTGTTCGCAGTAAAATTGGTCTGGGCTATCAAGACGGTTCCTGCCCCTCCACGGAGGGCAGACCGAGCCTTTCCAAGCGGCAGTTAACTTCAACCGGCGCTCCACCCGTCTCACTCTCTACTCCGGCGGAGGCAAGACCGACGGATTCTCCTTCCAAAACGCATCCCCAATGATATCCCGATACTCAACACACACCAAATTGCGCATGCGTAGCGTTGGCTCCTTCGAAGGGTCCGCCTTCGACTTTTCGGCGACGAGGCTGGGCTTGCGGTAAAGCACGGATCCTTTCCTGAACATGTCGGGCAGGGCGTTGTAGTTGATGCCGTAAGAGGAGAAGAGAAGCTCGTTTTTGGCGGCTGAGTCGGTGTCTTTGAGGATGACTTGGGCTTCTCGTTCGGTTCGCGGGTTTTTGGCATCTTGGACGAGGGCCCAGAAGGCTGTATTGTACTGTAAAGCCGAGCAATTTAGTATGTGTGGTTACATGATCGGTTGTCGGGAGATCAAGCCTTCGTTTTCCGCTCCAGGCGGACATCTCTCCGTCCGTTCCTTAGCCCTGCACTCACCAAGTTGTTGATATGGCAGTCCGCCTGCCTCCAGCTAAAGTAATCCCTCAAGTTCTTATCCGTCGGATAACACACAGCCCTAGCGTCAAAGCTCGGCGGATACGCCATCTTCGTATCCGGAAAACAGTCGTTCCACCGAAACATATACTCCGCGGTAAACAGAGACGCAACCGTCGACACGATTTTCGCCTCACGCCGTTTGTACAGTGTCGTAGCCCGCTTGAACACAAAGCTGAACTCGTCGCTTTGCCCATACGCCAGCGTGATCTCCGGATACGCATCCATGCACGCACGAGCGGCTCGTGCCATTAAATCTAGTCCGCGCGCATCATTGGGTTTGGTGAAGTTGTGCACGCTGGTGAACCGGTGGAAGCCGTGCCCGTCTACCCGCACGACCAGGTGGCTATTGGGGAGGAGCGTGCTGTGTTGCTCAAAGTGCTGGAGGAGGGAAAAGAGGGATATCAGGATTGGAGTGTGAAGGAAGCGAGCGAGCTACGAGACGAGGAGCTCGGGGCAAAACGGAGAGAGTCCAAACCTTGACATACTCGAATTTGGAGCACGCCATTGTTGGTATGCTCCTCTCGGGTTCGAAAGATCCTACGGAGTGTGCAGTCTGGCAGGTGCTTTCTGCTCGGTGTTCACGTTTCGATGGACAAGACGGAAAATGAACGTGACAGGCAGACGCTGTGTCATTCAGTCAACGGCACGTCCACCTCAGCGCTCGCATACGTCCACGGTTAAAAACCACACCCATATCAGGAAAACCCCGAGAACGCCAGTACCTCAGTTTCGCCCGTCAGAGGACGGAAACGGATAGCTATGTGGTGTATCAATGTGCAAATATAGAAATAAAAGATGTAGAAAGCAAAAATGTACACAACAGAACTGCCATCATTCATCCCACCCTGTTCTACCTACGTACCCAACGAACAACTTGAAGCCAACTTCGAAGTGAAAATGCGTTCAGACATCCACCTTCCTAGAGGCGGGCGCTCCGTCGGTTCCATTCACATCCTTAGTCCCACTTTTGGCCCGCCTCGCCTGAGCATCGACCATCTTATTCACCGCATTGACGTACGCTTTCGCCGACGCGACGAGAATGTCCTCATCGGTACCCTGGCCCTGGAACGTCTCCGCCTGTTGCTCGTAGGGCAGGTTGGCGGTGGAGTCCACGGGGTCGTGGAATCGTGGCGGAGGTGCGTCGGCGGTGGGGGAAGATGAGGAGGTTGGGGTAGGGGCGGCCTCCTGAATCCGGACGAGGACACGACCGAGGGCATCGGAACCTTCCGTGACGGCTTTCACTTCGTAGGAAGCCAAGACATTGGTGCGCTCGATGATGCGGTTAATGGCGTTGAAGATGGCATGAACGGGTCCGTGGCCGATGGCGGCGTCACAGCGTTCTACGCCGGGATTGGCGTCTGTCTCTGTCGGGGTCGTCCCATTTTGGTCTTCTGGCTCCGACGCAGACAATGACGTGATGGAGGTGGCTCGAGGGCTGACCGTCTTGTCAACGAGCGTGATTGTGGCTGTGGCAAGGACGCCAGATGTGGAGACGACTTGGCAGGCTTTGAAGACGAAAGTCTCGAAACCAGAGTCGGACGCGTTCATCTGATCATCCAAGAGAGCATACAGATCCGTATCGGTGACGCCTTTCTTCTTCGTGTCCGCTAGCTTTTTGAACGCGACAAACAGGCGCTCAAACACGGCAGCATTTCGCTTCAACACGTCTTCGTACACTGTGTCCTTTGTGAGCTGGGTCAAGCGCGAGCGTAGGGCGTTACGACCGGAATGCTTGCCCAGAACAAGGACATTGGAAGGGATACCGACAACGGCGGGTTCGATGATTTCGTAGGTCTGTTTGTGTTTCAGCACGCCGTCCTGGTGGATCCCGGACTCGTGAGCGAACGCGTTGGCGCCTACGATCGCCTTATTTGGTTGAATCGGCATGCCCGTTTTCTTCGTAACGAGCTGCGAAGTGTGGTAGATTTGATATGTATCGATGGTTGTGTGCACGGGGTAGGTTGATGGGTGAGTGTAGATGGCCATCACGATCTCTTCCAAGGACGTGTTGCCCGCCCGCTCGCCAATCCCGTTGATGGTCACCTCCACCTGCCTTGCCCCGTTCACGATGCCGGCCAACGTGTTGGCAGTAGCGAGACCCAAGTCGTTATGGCAATGCGTGGACCACGTCACATTATCGCCGCCAGGAACATTCCGCACGAGGTGTTTGATCATGGATCCATACTCCTCGGGGGTGTTGTACCCAACTGTATCGGGGATGTTGAGCGTTGTTGCCCCCGCCTTGATGACCTCGCCCAATACTCTGCACAGGAAGTCAACGTCGGACCGACCAGCATCTTCAGGCGAGAACTCGATATCGTTGCATCCGAGGGATTTGGCAAATTTCACGGCAGCCACTGCTCGCGCGACGCATTCATCGCGCGTTATCCGCAGCTTGTGCTCAAGATGGATGTCGGATGTGGCGAGGAAAGTGTGGATGCGGTGATGCGGGGCGTGATGGATGGCATCGTACGCTCGTTGAATATCTGCCGGCACTGCTCGTGCTAAGCCGCAAATTACCTATGGGCAATGAGGAAATGCGTCCAATTAGTACGGGAAGTCTCGAAATGCGAAGACAACAAGAATGCTCGTCGATCTAGCGTCGCTGGCAGTGACGCATCCAGCTCGCTCGACCGGGTTCGGCCCGCTGTGTGCTCTCGTTCCTCCCACGCCGCCATTCCGCTCCAATTCACACAGATCCCGCCCGCTTCCTTGCTTCTTCCCTATTCCAAGTCCTTACCATAGGCTTCCCACTTGCTCTCCCAAGATTCAGAGGTCCAACCTCCTTTGCGATTCTCTCAACGGCTTCGAAATCGCCTTGCGAGGCGATAGGGAATCCTGCTTCACAAACATCGACACCAAGACGCGAGAGCTGCCTTGCGATCTCGACCTTTTCTGAACCTGTAAGGGTGACACCGGGTGACTGTTTCGAGGGAAACATAAAAATGTCAGAATTGGGTTGCTGAAGGGCTTCACCATCCAGCCGAGAGTTTGCAGGAAGCTCTCCCTGTCCACGTTCCTCCTCCCTCCCAATCCTCCCTCCCACTCTCTCCTCCAAAGCACAGTCTTTCTACCCACCTGCTCACCGTCCCTGAGGGTGGTATCGAATATGATCAGCTTGTCCTTTGCGGGTTTCGTCATAATGTAATAACTCTGCTTTATCTATATGTGGGAAAGCGGAGAGAAACGGGGGTTCTTGCGTTGACTAGTTTGTTATCGTGAGAGCCGAGGGGCAGAGGACCTTTTCGACGACTGCTTGCGAAGGGTGGGGGGGGGTTGATGAGAGAAGGGACTGTGGCTGAGCGAACGCACGCGTCCCATTACTTATGAGAAAGAGATGAGAGAGGGTGATTCCGATGCGTCATCCTGATTCGCGGGTTCTATTCCAGTCACGTGGCTTGATATGAATCCTCCGCAACCCTAACCCCCGTTGTCTGACGTGACTTCTTCCAACCAACGCGTCGCTCTTTCCCTTCTTCCAACGACTCTGGCTGTTTTCTAGAACGGCGTTGTTCCCACGCATCCAGCTAGGAAGTCAAGGCTTGTAACACGGCCGAAGTTCCCTTTTTCAGGAACAGGTCGACTACTCGTTCCTGGGCGTGTTGCCACGACGACGAGGAAGTGCAAAGATGCGAGAAGATGGAACGGAGGACGGTGACGGTGACGCGGCTGCCAGTCCAGGGCGCGGCGGCTCCATCCTTTCCGCTACATCACCCAACGGGCGCAACCAGGTCATCGGTCGTAGCAAATTCAAAGTCGCTCCTCGCCATGGCTCTGCTCACCATGCGGTCACTCTCTTGCCTTCTACGTTCACTCGGGACTGGGATGGCTTTGCCGGCGGGAGCAGCAGCAGCGCCCAAAACAGCCCTCACGCACCTGCTCCCTTCCGACGCGCACAGACTGAGCATTTCGGCTCCCCATCCTCCCCATATGACTCTTTTCCACCATTCCAGAGAGCAGAGACCAGCATCGATTTGGATCTGGCCACTGCGCTACGCCGACGCATCAGCCGCCACGCGAGCTTACGGCGGATGAGCAGTTTCGGAGGTGCCCCAATCTTGATTAGGCCGCCCGAAGCCTTGAAGCTGGCCATCACAGAAGAGGGCGATGAAGAAGAGCATGTTGCATCAAATCTGCGGTGGCTGGTTTTGGGTCTCACCTGTATGCTGCTATTCGGAAACTACTATGGTATGGGGACGGCTGCATCGTTGGATTGGGCGGAAGCTGCGAGTCGGATCCTGTCTCTAATCATCCCGCATATTCCTTAGCATACGACAATCCGGCCGCGCTGAATTGGCCATTACAGAAGTACCTTGGGCACGATTACGACACATGGCAGTACGAATTGAACCTGCTGTACTCGGTCTATTCATTCCCAAACATGTTTCTGCCGTTTCTTGGGGGCCAGCTGGTTGACAAATTCGACATCAAAAAGATACTTCTGGTCTTTTCGACAATCGTTTGTCTTGGACAGACCCTCTTTGCTATCGGGGTGTCGACGAAGAGCTTCCCAATCATGTTGACCGGTCGCGTCTTTTTCGGAATAGGGGGCGAGAGCATAGGTGTAGTGCAAGCTAGCATCACCACGGCCTGGTTCCGCGGCAAGGAATTAGCATTTGCATTAGGTCTCACGCTCTGTATTGCACGATTTGGCTCCGTCGTCAACGCCAACCTTTCTCCTCGGATCGAGAAAATCTGGACTTCATCGGGGGCGGTTTGGGTCGGAGGGCTTACCTGCTACTTGTCCTTTGGCTGCGCCATCATCCTGGTCTATATAATGGCGCATCATGCTCCAGACACTCCTGGGTCGCCCGGATTGAGCACCAGCAGCCGGACTTCCTCAAAGGAAGACATCCCTCCTTCGTCGGCTCGGAGAGGCAGCATCCAGGATTCCGCTACAACGCCCTTGCTTCCAAAATCCTTAAACTGCGATTCTCCAACGACAACGTCCAAGGAAGCTCCTGCTTGGCTTGAGGGATTGGCGGAGATTGCAATGTTTCCCTGGACTTTCTGGCTCGTCTGCTTGATATGTGTGCTGTTGTATGGGACGGTGGTACCCTTTAACAATATCGCTTCGGATTTCTTGATGTCGAAATGGTTCCCGGGCGATACACAGACCGCCGGCACAGTCATGAGGTGCGTCTGTCAGAAATGGTCCTGATACTGACTTCGATACTCGGTGCTGACGATCCTTTGCCCCTTCCTCGCTGTAAAACAGTATACCGGACACCATGTCCGCAGTCCTAGTCCCTATCTGCGGTGTCTTAGTCGATCGGTATGGCGGCCGCGCCTCGCTCCTAGTAGTTTGCGCTCTCGTCATTGCCGCCGTTCACGCCACCCTTGGCTTGACCCAACTGTATCCAGTCTACCCGCTGGTGTTCCTTGGCCTCAGCTACTCCATGTACGGCGTTGCCATCTGGCCCTCCATCGCGACGGTCATTCAACACCGTGAGGACACCCTCCATCATGAAAATCCGAACGATCCACCCCCAAAGCTGCTCGGCACCGCCTACGGCCTCTCCACCAGCGCCCTCAACACCGCACTGACCGTCATGCCCCTCATTTCGGCACAAATTCGTGTGTGGGGCGGGAGCTTCGTCCCCGTCGAAATGTTCTTCGTTGCCCTCGCCCTGGGTGGTGCCGCAGCGTCAGCTGTGTTGTGGGTCGTGGATGTCAAACACGGGTCGTTGCTCCAGATGCCTGAGGCCCACCAGGATGAAGATTTCCACCATCACCATCGCAAACACCACGATAGCGACGGTGATGACACACCGCCACCGCAGTCCATCCTCACAGACTCAAATTACGGGGCCATTGGACAGTCGGCGTCACCAAACTCCAGAACCTTCTCCCCAGGATCACAGCACCGTGGCAATGATCTATCGTCATCACCAACGACAACATCAACGACGAACGACGATCCCACCGGAGCAGGCGTACATCACCGCCGTCCCGTCGCCCGCTTCGCCAGCCAGCCCTTCAAACCCGGCAAAGCATTTTGCGCCGCGCCCAGAATCAAAACGAGAGCTAATTTGGACGCTGTAAGGACTCCATTTGGGGATGCGGCAGGCGAGGCCGGTGAGGGCAGGGAGAGTGGGGACGGTAGCGTGAATGCTACGTTTGAGGGCATGGTCGCTAGTCCTATGAATGAGGACGGGCCGGGGTAGGGCGTACCCTGCATGACAGCTTTCTTGCTAATTTATCGTGTACCTTCGGCTGCCTATCGAGTAGGCAGACATGCAGCCGAGTTGACATTGTCCCTTACTGTCGCTTTCATCTCCCCCTCCCATCATCCTCGTACTATAAACAACTCTCGCTTCCTAAGCATACTTTTTGGAAGAAACTCCGTATCAGACGTGCATCTACAACGTTCATCTCTCCCGCTGTTCCCCCAACCAAGGCTTCAGGCAAATCTGGATGGGAAGAGCTTGACATGCCTTGTACGTGGCTTCTCTAAGTGATAGGACGTTCATGGGCCCCTTCGGGATAATGACCATCAATAATGAGCTTTGGGATGCTGATGCGAAATCTTTTCAAGCTCCTAAGCAAGAAAAGCGATACCTTGCGCCTGGGAGGAATACAGAGCCCTAATGGAGAAACAAACTGGGAAATCGATCAAAGTCCTCAGATCTGACAGAGGCGGTGAACACGAGTCTACCCAGTTTGCCCTAGCCTTCAAGAAGAATGGCACCCAACACCGTCGAGCTGGCTACCAACACCCCACAGCAGAATGGTGTAGCCAAACATATGAACCATACACTGGTTTGAAATGGCATGGTGCCTACTCACACAGGCTGGGAGACTGATAACAAAGCCAAGAGTGCCTCTTTCTCGGGTACAGCTCCTTCAGCAAAGCCTGGCGGCACTCGAACCTGACAATCAAAGTGCCATTATCAAATCCAGAGACATTCAGTTCAACAAAAACAGGTTCTACAACAGTCTGGAAGACGATGATACGCATGAAGGCACGTCAGCTCGCTCCCATGACAGCTTAGCGAGGTTTGAGTTTGACTCGGCCTGGGCAAGCTTTGAATACGAACAAGTCATCACGAGCCTGGAAAGCAGGGCAGATGACTTAGACATGGAGTTCTTGACGGCCAGGCTTCTGAATGAAAAAGCCAGGCTGTGATGTGGATGGCCGGGTTTCCGCATGTAATTACTGCCTTCCACATGGAATAGTCTAGTGTTAGGGTTGGAAGAACCCTAACGCCCAAGTCACGCTCAGCGTGTTCTTCAGTAGCTGATGAGACCTCTTAAGAGATGATGGGTTTGCAGAGCTCTTAAGAGATGATGGAGCTCGTCTCCTATTCCTCTCATGCAAGTACCTTTTCTAGTAGCACAGAATAGCAGTGAACTACACCATCTGGTCCATCTATACTACTCCAGACACTGCAGTATATACAGATATACCCTTGTGAGCCCGTAGATGCCAGTCTCCATTACACAGGCGCAAGGGGAATTTGAAACCAGTCAGATCAACTGAAAACCTGTTGGTTGGGGACGGAGAGCACTAGCAGGAGGCTGAGGGCTCAGCTAGGTATACTAGGAAGAAGGGAAAGTGCCATCACTGTGGCTCCAGGGCATTGGAAGAAGGAGTGCAAAAGACTCATACGAGAGCTAGCTCAAGCCAACAATGCGAATCAAGTTGTGATCTGGACTACCTTCCACACGGGTTGTATAACTAATGTTCATATACAATAGCTACTTTGCTGTAAGGTATTGTAGACAGACTGGGTGTTCGCCGGCGCTGCTATTCGATATGCAGTAAAGAGTTACTTCTTGTGAATAGGAACGCGCGACGAGCACTGTTAAAGTACCTATGAGGCTGGAGTCCACTGGAGAACACTCTCGAGACTCGTAGGCCAGAAATACCTGTATATCCGCAGTATATACAGGTATATTCTGCGAGGCCTGTCCCGCAAACCTGTGGTTCTCCAACTAGACCGGACAACCCGCATTACATCCCCCCCGATTCTACAATGCAAACCTACCCCAACAAGCACGAGCAATGTAGAATATGACGGTGTCCGGGATTGCACCCAGCGCAATCCTTAATGGTCCTCGTCGTCGGTCCAAATAACGATGGTTCTGCAACTGAACGTCACAATAGTGTGTCATTCAGGAAAGCTTTCCAGACGACCGTCGTGGGTAGCAACATTTGCAAACCATTTTGATTCTATGGTAATTGCCATCCACGCCACCTACAACTGGCAGCGGGCATCCCAGCTGTGAATGCAACAGGTGTGCTGTATTGCACGTTGCCTAATACAAGTTGTACGGCAATGGATGTACCTAGCCATTGAGCCAATGAAACTGTTATGATCTCGATGACGGAGGCGGAAGCGAAGTAGAGAAGACAGGGCGAGAGTGATAGGCGACAAGAGATTGTATTGGCGAAACAAGAAACAAGGACTAGAACAGGAGATGAGAAGAACTGGTGTTGATCTGCTGGGGAGGAAGGGAATGGACGAAGAGAAGCCGGCTATTTATAGATAGGCAACCCAGCAGATCAGAGAACAACAACAACAAGAGGGGACTGGGGGGGCGCCAGCTATGCTCCTAGAGCGTGCGTGGCGAGCGTAGAGAGCATTGCTACAGCTGCTGGCTATGGGGAAGTAGTGGGGGGTGTGGAGAAGCCGAGGGGGGATTGGCAAAATGAGAGGAGAGAGGAGGAGTGGCGATATTGCGGGTGGATTGGCGAAATGAGAGGAGAGAGGGGGAGTGGCATTGACATTGACATTGACACTGACATTGACACTGACATTGACATTGACATTGGGGTTTGACATTTGGCGGTTGACATTGGCGGCTGTCAGTAGGTAAGCTTATGGTATGGGCGCGTCGTCCATAACATCACCCCTCTCTTTAGCGGCGGCGGCGGCGGCGTCGAGTTTGGTGTGGCCGCAGAGGAGGTGCTACGGGGACAGAGGAAGGTTTGTTGGGATACGCGCTGTGGAAGTCCTGGAGGAGTGCGTCGGTATGGGTGGGGTGTTCCACGGGCTCCCAGTTGTTCTCAGAGTCAGGCCAGCCCTGCCATTTGACCAAGTACTGAAGGCGGCGACGATGGATGCGAGAGTCAAGGATGGCTTTGACAACCCACTCTTCTTGACCCTCAACGGTCTCTGGGGGCGCGGGTTCGGGTTCGTGTCGTTCGGGGATGGTGAAGAGGGGTTCAAGGAGCGAGACATGGAAGACATCGTGGATTTTGTACGTAGGCGGGAGCTTGAGCCGGTAGGCGACGGGATTGATTTTTTCAACGATGGGGAATGGCCCAATCTTGCGATGGTCGAGTTTCTGAGAGGGTCGGGTTGTCTGGAGGTTTTTGCAGAGGAGTCAGACGTGGTCGCCAGGCTTGAAGTCCGGTCCAGGAATTCGTTTGGCGTCGGCGTAGCGCTTCATTTGATCTTGGGCTTCCTTGAGCTCGAGGGCGAGCTGTTTATGGACTTCCCTGATTTGTTTAGCGCGGGCTTCAGCGGCGGGGTTGACGGATTCGGAGGTAGCAGAGGCCGCGAAACTGAAGCGGGGGTGGAGACCCTTGTTGGCGTAGAAGGGGGTGGTCTGGGAGGCGGACTGATGGGTGTTGTTGTAGGCGAACTCGGCGGACGACCGAAGCTGTTTCCAGTTGTCCTGTTGGTGGTTGCAAAAGCATCGGAGATACTGCTCCAGGATCTGGTTGGTGCGTTCCGTCTGGCCATTGCTCTGGGGGTGGAAGGCCGAGGAGAGGTTGGCTTTCGCCCCAAGGAGTTCGAGAAGTCGACGCCAGAACCGGGACTTAAACTGGGGTCCTCGGTCAGAGATGACGTCGTCGGGGAGGCCGTGGAGACGGATGATGTTGTGGAAGACTAGGTCGGCGGTGGATTCGGCGGATTCTGACTCGCTGCAGGCGATGAAGTGGGCCATCTTGGTGAGGCGACAGTTGACGTTCAGGATGGAGTCGTACCCGTCCACGGGAGGCAGACCGGTGATAAAGTCCAGGGACCAAGATCCCCAAGGGCGGGTAGGGATACTGTTGGGCTGGAGTAGGCCGTATGGTTTGTGTCGACTGGATTTCGCTTGGCTACAGGTATCGCAGGACTTGACGTAGGCCTTGACGAAGCGTCACTGGCTGGGCCACCAGTAGTTGCGGGAGGCGAGTTCGAGCGTCTTGGACATCCCAAAGTGGCCGGCTAGGGGAGTATCAGGCATGTCGTGGCAGACTTCAGCTCGGAGCTCGTTGGTGGGGACATAGACCAGGGTATCGTGCAGCAGGATCCCATCTTCATCTGAGAATCGCTTGATACGATCTTGGGTTTCCTCAGTTCGTTGGGCGAGGGGTATCTTGAGCTTTTCGCGAATGGTGTTAGCGAGGGGATCAGAGAGCTGGGCGGCCTTAATCTTGTCAAGCAGCGTGGTATCCATGGGTGTGAGGTAGGCAGCCGCGAGTCGAAGGCGTTCGGGAGTCAAAATTGTGGTTGCCTGGGAGCGGACTGCTTCTTCCCCCTCTTTGAACTCATGTTTGGAGCGTCAGGAGAGGGCATCGGCTTGGTGCTGCTGGGAACCGGGGCGATAGGTAATGACAAAGTCAATATCCGAGAAGAATATCGACCAGCGGGCTTGGCGGCGGTTCAGGGTGCGGGTGGTCATGAAGTACTCAAGGTTTTTGTGGTCGGAGTAAACAGTGATCTTGTGACGGGCGCCAATGAGATGGTGGCGCCACTGAGCAAAGGAGTCTTGGATGGCCAGAAGTTCCTTGTCGTAGATCTTGTAGTTGATCTCTTCGGCCGTGAATTTGCGAGAGTGGAAGGCCACGGGGTGGAGCTGATTGTCCTGGTCAGGTTGGAGGAGAACTGCGCCAAGAGCGAAGTCGGAGGCGTCAGTTTCGACAACGAAGGGCTTCTCTGGGTCAGGGTGAGCAAGGATGGGGGCGGTGGTGAATGCTCTCTTCAGGTTCTCGAAGGCGGTGTTTGCGGCGGGTGTCCAGGCGTACGGGATGTCTTTCCGGGTCAGGGCTGTGAGCGGGGTAGCGATCTTGGAATAACCTTGGATGAAGCGGCGATAGAAGTTGGCAAAGCCGAGGAACCGCTGGACGCCTTTGACATTCTTGGGAGGTTCCCAATCCGTGATGGCAGCGATCTTCTTGGGGTCCATCTGGATGCCTTTCTTGGAGATGATGAAGCCTAGGAACTCAATGGATTCGCGGTTGAATTCGCACTTCTCTGGTTTGGCGTACAACCCATGCTGTCGGAGGCGGGACAAGACTTCGTGGACATGTTGGGGTGATCTTTGGGGTTCTTGGAGAATATCAGGATATCGTCGAGGTAGACGACAACAAACACATCGAGAATGTCGCGGAAGATGTCATTCATCAGGTACTGGAAGACGCCAGGAGCATTGCTGAGTCCAAGAGGCATGACATTGTATTCGAATAGGCCGTAGCGGCAGCGGAAGGCGGTCTTCCATTCATCGCCCAGGCGCATGCGTAAGAGGTTATAAGCGCCGCGGAGGTCGATCTTGGTGAGACGGCGGGCGCCGCGCAAACATTCCATGATACCGTTGATCAGGGGCAGGGGGTAGCGATTCTTCACCGTGATGCTGT